CTTTCACAAATATTTTATTGCAGTTATGTTGATGCACGCACATAATTTACTGATATCTGATGATATGAACTCTGCTGTGGTACTAGAGTCAGCACATTTGGGGTCATATGAAGCGCTCCAAAACCTGCTATATAAGGGGACCTCAGCCCCTTTCAACCCTACACAGTCAATGAAAGCGGTGGTCCAGGCCTGGCAATTAGTAGTACCTAACTGAATACCTACAGTACATCCAGAAAGTATTCACAGCACTTAACTTTTGCCACATTTTGTTTTGTTACAGCCTTATTCCAAAATGGATTAAATTCATTTTTTTTCCTCAATATTCTACAAGCAATACCCCATAATGACAATGTGAAAGAAGTTAATTTTGAAATCTTTGCAATTTATTAAACATAAAAAATGGAGAAAAAAACACCCATGTACATAAGTATTCACAGCCTTTGTTCAATACTTTGTTGAGGCACCTTTAGCGCCAATTACAGCCTCAAGTAATTGTGAGTATGATGCTACAAGCTTGGGACTCCTTTTTTTGGGCAATTTCTCACATTCTTCTTTGCAGTACCTCTCAAGCTCCATCAGGTTGGATGGGGAGCGTCGGTGCACAGCCATTTTCAGATCTCTCCAGAGATGTTCAATTGGGCTCAAGTCTGGGCTCTGGCTGGGCCACTCCAGGACATTCACAGAGTTGGCCGTAGCCACTCCTTTGTTATGTGGGCTGAATGCTTAGGGTCGTTGTCCTGTTAAAAGATTAACTGGATTAACCGCTCTGGAAAAGAGGTTAAAGATTAACCGCTCTGGAACAGGTTTTCATCAAGGATGTCTCTGTACATTGCTGCTTTATCTTTCTTTCGATCCTGACTAGTCTCCCAGTCCCTGCCAGTGAAAAACATCCCTGCAGCATGATGCTGCCACCACTGTGCTTCACTGTAGGGATGGTATTGGCCAGGTGGTGAGCGGTGCCTGGTTTCCTCCAGATATGATACTTGGCATTCAGGCCAAAGAGTTCAGTCTTTGTTTCATCAGACAGAGAGTTTTGTTTCTCATGGTCTGAGAGTCCCTCAGGTGCCTTTTGGCAAACTCCAGGCAGGCTGCCATTTGCCTTTTACTGAGGAGTGGCTTCCATCTGGTCACTCTACCATACAGGCCTGATTGGTGGAGTGCTGCAGAGACGGTTGTTCTTCTGGAAGGTTCTCCTCTCTCCACAGAGAAACACTGGAGCTCTTTCAGAGTGACCATCGGGTACTTGGTTACCTCCCTGGCTAAGGCCCTTCACCCACAATCACTCATTTTGGCCAGGCAGCCCACTCTAGGAAGATTCCTGGTGGTTCCAAACTTCTTCCATTTATGGATGATGGAGGCCACTATGCTCATTGGAACTTTCAATGCTGCAGAACTTTTTCTGTACCCTTCCCCAGATCTGTGCCTTGTGCCTCCTGTCTCGGAGGTCTATGGACAATTCCTTGGACTTCATGGCTTCTTGATTTGTGCTCTGACATGCAATATTGACTGTAGGACCTTATATAGACTGGGTTTATGCCTTTCCTAATCATGTCCAATCAAGTGAATTTCCCACAGGTGGACTCCAGTCAAGTTGTGGAAACATCTCAAGGATAATCAGTGGGAAAAGGATGCACCAGAGCTCACTTTTGAGTGTCATGGCAAAGGCTGTGAATACTTCCGTACATGTGGTTTTTTTTTTTTTCGTTTTTTATTTTTAATAAATTGCAAAGATTTCAAAATGAACTTCTTTCACATTGTCATTATGGGGTATTTTTTGTAGAATGTTGAGGGAAAAAATTTAATTTAATCCATTTTGGAATAAGGCTGTAACATAACAAAATGTGGCAAAAGTTAAGCGCTGTGAATACTTTCTGGATGCACTGTAACTCCACCTCCTGCTTCTCCCATATGCCTTTATAGCTCAGTCCCACCCTCCCAGAATTTTACTCTGTCTGTTCTGTCAGTATGGGTCACCAAGCAAATACAATACTTATCTCAGTTAAGTTGAGAAAGGTGTTCTTAAAACATTTAACTCCCTAAGGATGCAATTCCATCTCCCTACACATTACTTTCTCAGATTTCTTCAGTTAAGGCATGCTTACCGGGCTCAATTCAGAACCTCTCCAATGGTACTCCAATCCTCCGATATGGAGCAAATGCTCAGAGATGAGGATATAGAGAAACCCTTGTCTACTATTTACAAGACCTGCAACCCACTATTTACCATGGTTTGGAGCGCTTATGGGGTTCATGGGAGGAGGTTGTACCCTGCTGAGATGATATCTGGGAATGCCCAACTTCAACACTAAGTTTCTTCCAGAGGCAGACTTATACAATTTAAAATACTGCATTGTATTTATCTCACTCCAGGAAAACTACATAAAATGTACTCTAGTTGTTCCCCAGCCTGGTGGAGATGTGGGGCAGACGCTGCCTACTTCATGCGTATGGTCTGGACATGCCCCTCCCTACAGAAGTATTGGGAACAAGTGCTTGAGTGTATTTTCAAGGTGATTACCATACGGATTCCATTTCTGGCAGAAATATGTATCCTAGGGTTGGTGCATGCTCTGGCACATACTAGAGCGCTCAAAACCTTATTAGGCTTGCTGTTATTCTATGTCAGGAAGGCAGTTGTCTTTCACTGGAAGTCTGCTACTGCCCCTTCCTTACAATCTGGAAAGCATTGGTTAATTGTAAGGCAACCTACCATGCTAGGGGGTGTCCTTAGAAATTTCAAAAGGTATGGAACATCTGGGTTGAATGTCGCATAATAGCTGTGTAGCGGATGCTTTATGTTCCGTCTATCTGCTTAGTTGTCCACGCATATTAGGTTACCGGTATTATCGTACCGCTCTTTCTCCCGACTTCTTTCCCTTTCCTTCCTTCTGCTGATCTCTTTGCCCTCTCCCTTTACCCTCCCCACTTTTTCCTCTTCTCCTTCAGACGTAATTATGCTGGGTACAGTTTATAACACCAAGCGGTTGGAGACCTGAATGTACTCCTACTTTGTTATCCTTAAGTATGTACTGGTACTCTGAGCGTGTTTATGCCTTGGCATAGTTTATTACCTCTTTTGTTTTACACTATGTGATAATTGTTTGTTGTACATTATGCGAGCCAGGGAATCCCCATGAGGCTCTGTTTTGTATTTATACCTTTTAATACAACCAATAAACAGAATTAGCTGCGCTTTAACAATGCGCAGTAGTCAGTGTGAATCTGCCCTTATTGCGCTCTTTAAAATCATATTCATTGTTTGCTGTTAAATTTTTATAACCTCATACTTACTGTATGTGACGGTCTTTCATTTGACCCTCTATTGGTTCATCACATACTTGAATGCTGAACTATGTTTGCCTCACTGTATTGTAACACTTGATTTTGATATTTTTAATAAAAATGCATTCAAGCAAAAAATATGAGAGGATCATGGTATGTGGCCAACTGGAGATGGAACTCTTCTCGATTGGTTTCACCACGACCTTCACTGGAGCATTGTGTAGTCATCTAGCGTATGCCAGAACAGCATGTCCTTAAAAATGGTTGAACACTTCTGAAATGGGAAATGAACAAGACATATCCTTATATAGCAGGGGTAGGCATCCTTAAATAGGTGCAGATCTACCTGAACAACACAATAGAAGTCAAAGATCACAGGCACAGTGTCGCCTCCTCACACCTGATTTAAACCTCTAATTACCGTACTACTGTGTCGCAATCATATGCATTTCACAGCAATCATGGGTTTAATAAATATCACCTCAACACCTGTCAAACACACTTGGATCACTTTTCAGTGGAGAATGTGAATGAGCACTTAGTTGCAGTGTCACCTTTAGGGCTCATTCATGCATAAGGTTTGGCGGTGGTAAAACCCTGTGGTTGAGTCAGTTTTACTACCCCCTTTAGTTGCTGAGGCAACAGCCAAAGATGTACACATGTCACACCTGGAATTAAACCCCCTGTTACTTTTGGTGGGTGTTACTGTCTGCCATTCGCAACCCATTTAAGTAAAAGGGGGGGGCCACACTGCAAGCTCCCCGCAACTGCATGGTTCTGCAGGGTCCATGGGGTTAAAGCAGGTCGTGAGAAAGCAGCACAACACCGCCTGCTTTAAGCCCTTGTTTGCTGTATTGTACAAGTTTGCAGGGCACTTGCAGAACTTCATCATTCACTTTGAATAGGTCATGCTTGGCAGGTGCTAAGCACAGCAAACATGCAGGAAAACTACAGGTACAGTGCCCTGCATCCGTGGTGTGGTTTAACCACAGTGCATCAGTGTGATCGCAGCCCTTTACTATTATGCCCAGAGTATTGCTTGGCACTGACTTGCAGATCTCTTCTTTTTGCTGCTGGCACCACTCTGGAGACCGCTAGCCGGGATAAGAGGTAGAGTACATCGGCTTATGCGGCTCTTGCTTCCTTCTACAGGTCCAACTTTACAAGTAGCCCCTCTTCATTGCAATCTATTTTATGTTCTGGGATGGCGGGTCAGCAAGCCCATACCGCGATCTACAAGTCACCTGGCTGCAATCTAGCACCTAGTATGATTTCTGCCTGCTCTGTCATTCCTTTATCTGCATGAGTCACCTCTGACACCAGATAATCACAGGAGACACCCCTCCCTTCCAGTACACACAGTAGGTGATTGACAGCCTCAGCTGTCCATTCCCTCCACTTAGGCTCCCTGCATTATGCTGTGGAGCTTGTGACATCAGATCCCTGCCTTTTGAAGCTCCGAAATGCTGTGTAAAAGGTGTGCTTTAGGAGGCTGTAGAGAACAGAGGGCTGCTGCTAAACAGATACAATGTATGTAGAAGGATTTGTTTTATATCTGTCTATCACTTGAGACTAGTCACTACAGTGGTTAAGGGGTAAGGTTTTACAACCACTTTAATGTGGCTAAATGTGTGTTGAAATTCTTCTTTTGTTTATAGAATCTGTGTTTATCAAGAAATGAATATTACTAATAAACCTCTTCAACATTGCCTCTCTAGACCTCCCAACCTCATTTGTGAAGGAGATCCATGACTTTGTGCTTGAACAGTTCAACAGTAGCCAGTCAGAGCTACAGAAGATTCTTCATGATGTAGAAAAGTTACACAATGAACTTAGCCCTTTGAAGCTCAGGTGTCAAGCAAATGCAGCCTGTGTGGACCTCATGGTGTGGGCAGTAAAGGATGAGCAAGGTAAAACTGTGATGAAGAGTGGAGGTAAACTGGCTCTTCAGTGGTATAATTCTAACATATGTTTTCTGCTTGTCCTTCACACTAAAGGTGCAGAAAACCTGTGCATTAAACTTTCTGAAAAACTGCAGTCCAAGACATCCAGCAAAGTTATCATAGCCCACATGCCTCTCCTGATCTGCTGCTTACAGGTTGGTTTTTATCAGTCAAGTTAGCAGGAATAACCCTTATTATCTGAAGGGTGATCTTCATGTGTTTGTTTTAATGTGGTACCAATAAAATATATATACAATATATTGTAATTTTGCTTTCTTTTACTCAGGGTCTAGGGCGCCTTTGTGAGCGTTTCCCTGTAGTGGTTCACTCTGTGACTCCATCTCTTCGTGATTTCCTGGTGATACCATCTCCAGTGCTGGTGAAGCTGTATAAATATCACAGCCAAAATCAGACAGGTACTCCTTCTTTTTTTTTTTTTTTTTTTCATTAAACTAGTATTTACTAAATTTATTAAAAGGGATACTGTATAAGAGGATTTGCTCCCCTTCTTTAATTACTATTTGGTCAATTATCATGTGGATCATTTGACTGTATTACTTTTACGGAGGAAAAACAATATACATTTATTCATTTTTTCCACAGGAGCCTGTAACACCTTGCACCCATGATCAGTGGGTTGCGGATGCTTTACACACACAAATGATTTTATTTTTATTAATATTCTCCTACAAAGTAACTATGGAAGCTGCTAAAAGTAATGGTGTAATTGGTATAACTGTCAAGTCTGTGAAGCACATTAGTAAAGCATGCTTTTCCCACTTTTCCTCATTTTTAGGGGCCAATGATATCAAGATTAGCATCACCAATGAGCACTCTGAATCCACAATGAACGTTATTCATGGCAAGAAGAGCCAACCATCTATGTATGAACAGCTTCGGGACATTGCTATTGAGAACATATGCAGGTACTAGAGTTTGTGGCTGTGTTACTGAAACAACAGGGAAGGTTAATGGGTGTAATGTTTGACAGTAGCTGAAGAAAGGTGGAAGTGATGCCCAACATAAATGACTTTCTAACCTGTTCTAGAAAAAGGATAAATGGGTTTGGCAGCTTATGCTCCCTTGAGGGTGATTTCCAAATAATACATTTAAAAGACATTACATTTGCTTAGTGCCAGTTATATGGCTAGAATGCTTCATTCTCTGGTTTCTTAACAGTAATACTTACTTGTGCTGACAGGAAGCATCCATCTGCAGGCTGTCTCTGCATCGTCATCAGAATGTGAACAACTATAGCGATGACCTTACTAAACCAACAAAAAGAGACTGGAAAAGGTCCAAGATACACTTTCAATGGCAGTATGCAAATCCACAGTTGCTTTGGCTTAATGTAGAAGGGCAGTGAACACAATGTGATATAACAAATGAAAACTAGCTATGTGAAACCTAAATAAAAATTCAGCCCATAATAGATGATAAAAATATTTTTGTAGGCATATTATCTGTCATCTGTCATATTAATTTACTCCATCTTTGATTTCAGGTGTCTAAAGGCAGGTTTAACCACTGATCCGGTTATTGTGGAAGCCTTTCTGGCTAGTTTATCCAATCGCCTTTACATATCCCAGGAGAATGAAAAGTATGTTACACTGCTTAAGTATAATTTCCAACGTATTGAGCCACATAACCTTTGTATGTGTCATTTTAATGTGTACTAAATAGAACTACTGGGTCTTCAAAATGCTTGAAATAGTTATAAATAATTTATAAATGATGTTGATTTGACAGCCAGTTTGATTTAAACCAAAACTAGAAAGTTAAACAGTTAACACATGAATGTAGGTCTGGGCAATACATTTAAAGCTCAACTCAGAGCACTAAATATATTTTTCCATAGATACCAAGGATATCAATCCATTTCGTGTGTACCAAATGCATTTGCAAACCCAGATATTACGTGTGGTAACATCATCTAGTCTATTCAGAGAGTAGTCTGTGGGTGGGATTCAGTGGGTCCATTAAGTACAGGCTGCTAGTAGAAAATTCAGATATATAAAAATAGGTGCTGCTACCTCCCAGTGTTATAATGCGGCTTTATCACTGGTGCTGTAGTAGAGGCAGCTGATTCCTCATCCACACGATCCATAAAAGCAAAGAAAATCTGGCACTCCAGTTTATAGACTGCCCCTACTAATAAAATTCACTGTTCAGCTAGATATTGGTCTGATCCGTCATAAGGTCAGCACCAGAATTGCCACTGCAGAACAGTGAATTAGTCAGGTTGAATACCTATCAGTGGAACACTGTGTGATGATCCACCCTCTAACAATTAAAGCCAAGTCCTTGGAGTCCAGGACTAAGGAAAATAGAAAACACAGAATTAGTATGCATTACTGTACATAGCTAATGCTACTATAGCCTGTTACTGTAGCCCACCCCTGCTTGCCCCAAACAAACTATTTAAAGTGATCATAAACCTAGAATTCTATTTTAATAGCAGTCAACCTGCTCCGACATTAGACTAATCATTTGACGGAATTTGTGATTAAGATGCATGCAATATTTGAAGGTGCCAGAATAACATCCATTTGGAAAGATTATTTTGTTTTTTTAAGTCTTGTAAGTAGTGGTGCACCGAAATGAAAACTCTGGTGCCGAAACTGATACCGAAAATTCAGAGTGCATGTGGCGGAAAACCAAACTGAAACCGAAATGTGTGTGTATGTGGGGGTGGGGAGGCTCCAAAATGTTTACATTTTCTCTTTACTTTCGTGTGTGTGTGTGTGTGTGTATATGTATGTATGTATATATATGTATGTATATATATATATATATATATATATTTTAACTCTGGGCTTGAAAAAGCCGCTCGACAAATGCGAGGAGAAATTCCTCTGGCGAGCACAGATGATGGATGGAGCGACTGCACCTGCGCTCCAAGCCTCATTGTGAAGCCGAGTTCCGGTTTACAACTTCCTGTGTCCGACTTCTGCGGCACCGCCACTGAGGGGACAGGTGCAGGAGAGGTCCGCTCTCCTCCGCTGAGAGGAGACACCCTCTCCACTGCCGCGGGGGACTCTGAGGGACTAGGAGTAAGTACTGTATACAACATGTCATATCACTATAATGGAGTACAGGGGAGCTGGGATATACATTACTGTATACATGTCATATCACTATAATGGAGTACAGGGGAGCTGGGATATACATTACTGTATACATGTCATATCACTATAATGGAGTACAGGGGAGCTGGGATATACATTACTTAGTAATGTAGTTGGGGGCCGGCTGGGGGTGGGGTTTGGGGCGGACCTGGGCAAGGTTGGGTGGGGAAACTGGTAGTGGAGAGTAAGTTTTGTGACCGCTAGTAGGTCTGGACTCGAAATTTTAACCCCTGGTATAACTTATGATTTTATTGCTATAACGTAGGGGACCAATAGCATATGTGATAGCATATGAGTGACAGGTCCTCTTTGTAGGGGGGAGGGGGTGGTTGCAGCGTGTGCAAGGAGGGGGCAGGAGAGGAGCAGTGTATACAGATATGCTCCCGTACTGGCTGTCACTATGGGGTTTATTTACTAAAGCTGGAGAGTCCAAAATCAGACTCCCTTCTGCATAGAAACCAATCAGCTTCCAGGTTTCATTGCCAAAGCTTCATTGAACAAGCTGAGGTTAGAAGCTGATTGGTTTCTATGCAGAAGGGAGTCTGATTTTGGACTCTCCAGCTTTAGTAAATAAATTAAGAGAGGGCGCACAGGCCTAGTGCATTACCATAAAAAATGTTTAATAAAAAATAAAGTAGGTGTTGTACTCACAAACGACAATATAGTCAAGGCACATCATTAAAAGAACAGCTGGGTCAACACCGCGCTGAGTAACAGTCCGCAATAGGGAGTTTAGGCATCCAAAAAGGCTGACGCGTTTCGAGGACTTGCCTCTTCCTCAGAGCCAACTGACCAAATGTCTGCTCCCTCTTTTATATGCTCACTACTAGTTAAACCAAAGGTCACATGGGCCGTCCTGGACACTCCCCTGTGCAGGTGGAGGAGTCACAGGGGCAATCGACATAGTGTAAGTAAACACGAAAGGTCTATAAAAATATATACACACATATATATACACATACATATATACATACACATATATATATATATATATATATATACATACGCGTACAAATAAAACCATTGAAACTAGTGACAATCATAAAATCATATGAACCATAAGAAGTGTGCATAGTGAAAAATAAATAAATGGAAAGTTACACATATATATAAAAAAATAAATAAAAAAAATAAATAAAAATGCATCACCAGGGAAGGATTTTTATTTATTTTTTTTATATATATGTGTAACTTTCCATTTATTTATTTTTCACTATGCACACTTCTTATGGTTCATATGATTTTATGATTGTCACTAGTTTCAATGGTTTTATTTGTACGCGTATTTGTGTGTATATATATATATATATATATATATATATATGTGTGTGTGTATGTATATATGTATGTGTATGTGTATATATATGTGTGTATATATATTTTTATAGACCTTTCGTGTTTACTTACACTATGTCGATTGCCCCTGTGACTCCTCCACCTGCACAGGAGAGTGTCCAGGATGGCCCATGTAACCTTTGGTTTAACTAGTAGTGAGCATATAAAAGAGGGAGCGACATGTGGTCAGTTGGCTCTGAGGAAGAGGCAAGTCCTCGAAACGCGTTAGTCTTTTGGATGTCTAAACTCCCTATTGCGGACTGTTACTCAACGCGGTGTTGACCCAGCTGTTCTTTTATGATGTGCCTTGACTATATTGTCATTTGTGAGTACAACACCTACTTTATTTTTTATTAAACATTTTTTATGGTAATGCACTAGGCCTGTGCGCCCTCTCTTTGTTCTTTCCCCATTCAGTATATTTGGATTCCCCCGGTCCATTTGAGGGCAGCAAGGTGTGCATTTTCCAGGACATTCTTAATGTGGTTGTAGCCTGCATCGAGTCCATCCCCAAGCGCAGGAGCATTTGTGTTTGCTGGTTCTTTAGTAAATAAACCCCTGTATGTCGGTGCCGATTTTTACATGCAATTGCCTGCTTTTTTTTTTTCTTCACTATAGCTTACAGAATTAGCTGTCATTTTCCCTGGAGCTAAAGAAAACTTTGTTTCTTTTATCTCAGGAAAGAAACTAAAAGGAAACTTTGTTTCTTTTAGCTGGGGGGAAAGTGACTGCTAATTCTGTGAGCTATAGTGAAGAAAAAAAAAAGCCGGTAATTACATTTAAAAACCAACACTGACATATACTGACAGCCAGACAGTATACATTGCTCCTCTCCTGCCTTTCTCATACAGTATTAATGTGACATTAAGCTACTAGTTTTGAAGATGAAGCGAAAATGCATAGAAAAGTGATTTTGAACATCACGTGATTTCACAGTCATGAGTATGTAGTCTTAGAGCTAAACTTAATAAATTAGGTCCATGAATATAAGAATCTGATTCATATTCTGCATTTACTTATCCTAGTTAATTCCACAGAGATATGTAATCTAATGTGTTTTTTTTAAACGTTTATTATAATATAAAATCAGTTTCTGTACTACAAAATCAATATTTTATTATATTTCTTGCATGATAAAGAGATGCTTGTATTGTGTTTTAGGGATGCTCATCTGATTCCAGATCATACAATCCGTGCTCTGGGACACATTGCAGTGGCACTGAGGGATACCCCAAAGGTGATGGAGCCAATCCTTCAGATATTGCAGCAGAAGTTCTGCCAGCCACCATCACCACTTGATGTGCTCATCATAGACCAACTGGGGTGTATGGTGATAACTGGCAATGTAAGTAGACAGCAATGTAAGTAGACACTATTTAGCTTTAAGAAGCCAACCAGCACTCTGGTCACTATAATAGTAAAGCTGAATATATTATTATTATTATTATTATTAGCGAGTTTATATAGCGAAGGGTTTGCTCAGCGCTGTACAAACCAGCACTACATGGCACAGTACAACAAAGACAGACAGCGTACGAGGGGTAATAGGCCCTACTCTTACGAGCTTACAATCTATGCTTCTTTGTTGCCTCATTTTCCATCAATCTTACCTGTAAAAGGATATACAGATTTACATATTTCAAGTACAGAAGCGGGTCAGTTTTGATTTCCTTTAGACTTAAGTTAGTCATATGCTAATATATTTTCAAATGAACATTCATATGAGAATTTGCACGGAAATTCTCAATACTCAATGAATGTAATTTGAAAAAACTTCACAATTTCCTTTGTTGCACTCTTTAACTTTGAATAAATATACTTTTCTAACCGAAAATCGCATACATTAATAGAAATTTGTTCATGTGAGAAAAACTATTTTCTTATCACTGTGGTTGATAAAATGTAGATTTCACTCCGCTGGCCATTAAAAATCAAGCAAATGTTCTTAAAATAAAAATTTTCGAATGAAATGGTACAAGTGTATAGCCAGCTTCAGCCCCTTTTACATGCAATATAAATTGCACAGAACATTCTGTTGCTTTGTTTGGGATTCAAAGCAGAAGGCAAAAGTACATTTCTGTGTAAATAGTGTCTTGAAAACGTGTTTGAACTCTTTGGACACAAAATGAATGTGGCTTGTGGCAGACTTTTACATTTTATGGTGAACAAATTATCTACTCAGTAGCCACTATAGAGCCATGAGGTGTGATTGCAGAGTGCCTGTCACATGTACAGTTAAATTAGAATTTAGCAATCTTCTTAAACTAAAGTCAAACGTGGGAATTTTGCAGGGTTGTTAGACACTGCTTACCTGCCAAGCAGCTTTACTTTTTATTCCAACATCAACATCTGCCTTCTTCTGCTGAAGGCCCTCATATACAGTATAGGTCCATGTACAGTGCATACAGAAATTATTCACAGCGCTTACCTTCTGCCACATTTTATGTTACAGCCTTATTCCAAAATGGATTAAATTAATTTTTTTTCCTCAACATTCTACAAACAATACCCCATAATGACAACGTGAAAGAAGTTCCTTTTGAAATCTTTGCAATTTATTAAAAAAAAAACCACATGTATATAAGTATTCACAGCCTTTGCCATGATACTCAAAATGCAGCAATGTACAGAGACATCCTTGATGAAAACCTGTTCCAGAGCGCTCAGGACCTTAGACTGGGGAGACAGTTCATCTTTCAACAGGACAACGACCCTAAAAGCACACAGCCCACATAACAAAGGAGTGGCTATGGGCCAACTCTGTGAATGTCCTGGAGTGGCCCAGCCAGAGCCCAGACTTGAACCCGATTGAACATCTCTAGAGAGATCTGAAAATGGCTGTGCACCGACGCTCCCCATCCAACCTGATGGAGCTTGAGACGTACTTCAAAGAAGAATGGGAGAAATTGCCCAAAAATAGGTGTGCCAAGCTTGTAGCATCATACTAAAAACGACTTGAGGTTGTAATTGGTGCTAAAGGTGCTTCAACAAAGTACTGAGCAAAGGCTGTGAATACTTATGTACATGGGGTTTTTTTGGTTTTAATAAATTGCAAAGATTTCAAAACGTACTTCTTTCACATTGTCATTATGGGGTATTGTTTGTAGAATGTTGAGGGAAAAAATTAATTTAATCCATTTTGGAATAAGGCTGTAACATAACAAAATGTGGTAAACGTTAAGCACTGTGAATACTTTCTGGATGCACTGTAGTTGCTAATATATACCTATTTTAATAGACCCGAGCAGACAGATTTTTTCATTGGTTCCATTGATGTTTTCCCTGAGCAAATTACAGCTTTGTCCCTATATTGTGTTGCTTGTTTCAAAGGTAAACATGGATTCGTGTGATGGACTCCAGTCCGAATCTATACTATGTGAGAAGTTTGCTGAATATGGCAGTATTGGGTTTTTTAAAATTCTGAATAATATTGTGGCCTGGTTCACACCAATTTTTTTTTTTTTTTTTTTAGCTCTTTGCAGAAACACACTACAGTCCATTTACCATGGTTTTCTATGGGACACATTCAAATGTATGTTTTTTTGCTACAATAGAGTTCAATGGAGACACTGCTGAAACACATGTAGTGCGTTTTTGCCACGTTTTTTAGTTTTTATTCTGCCCAGCAACAAAAATATTTCCCCTTTAACAAAAAACAACTAAACAAAAAATGCAGAATGTTGTAAAAAGGCGCATGCAAAAACACAAAATGCAATGCGAAAACAATTGCAAACGCACACTGCATTGGTTTGAATCAGGACTAAGGAGACTTTTTATTCACTAATCAAAGATATTCTTAAAGGATAAGTTCACCTTTTGGACAAAAATAAATGCACAGTTTTTTGCAGGTAAAAAAATGTGTATTTATTATTTTTGTCCAAAGGTACCTGGAAAGCATTGCACCAGCGATCAGTAGATCGCTGATGCCATGCGGGTCTTATACAGACCTATCAGAATATCTCTTGTATGGGATGTACACAAGCAGATATTCTGACAGGAAGCTTCAATGAACTACCATGGCGCTCCACAGTGCTGTGCTATTTCATTGAAAACTACAAGCGGACAGCTGCTAAGGCTGTTGGGACTTGCAGTTCATTCATTCATGGAAGTCTGTGAATGAATGATGCAGCCATGTGGGCTGAGCACCACATGGTCTTGCTGTTTTCAAATCTGACAAATTGTACGGGGAGAAGTTTCCCCGTACTATCTGTCACAGGGAGGGGAGGCAGCGGGCGTGGCTGCAGCTATGGGAACATAAAACGGGTGGAACATGTAACATGTTCCCAAAGGTGAACTTATCCTTTAAACCTAAGATACAATCGCCCAAATTGGGTTTCTTGACCAAATCAGGCAACAGTCTGGAAGAGCTCTGACTGCTATTTTTGAGGGGAACAACAGTATGAACAACTGCCAACTCAAGGTGATGGGTAGAGTCATTTGATTTCTGAAGTTGCATTTTGAAGTATGCCTGTCAATCATTTTACATATTAAAGGACTGTTCCAACCCTGACTTTTGTCTGTTTGATTTAATTGCACTTTAGTTGGACCTCACTTTCACAAGTCCTGCCTAACTGCCTTTTGTTTGTCCAGTGACAGCAATTCATTGGCAAATAAGAAAAATGGCACTTGCACCTGGGCGAGGCTTATCTGTGAAAGGGAGTTCTTCTAATAGGCTAAATAGGATAGCAACTTTATAAAGTAAAAAAAAAAAATCTTTTTAAAAAGTTTCAACTGGCTGACAGGTCCACTATAAGGCTGGAACAGCCACTATGGGGAATCTTCATCTGATGTGGGCAAAATATCTGTTCTCCACATTTTCTCACTGCAAAGTCTGGGGGATTTAGGTTTACAATACTGACAAATCTAAATTCTTTTTTTCCTGAGCAGATTTTACATTGATTTCAAAGTGTTTGCACTGTAATGAATAATTCCCAATTAAGATTTAAGAGTATAAACTAAATTAACCAAATTAAATCCTTCAGGAAAATGATTTTGGCAAATAAAAGATTTTTACAGATAAGCAGAGGTCAGGTTGATTGTAGTTTCACCCTTGAATAAAGAGTTATTCACATTGACATGATCTCTAATGTTTATATTTCCGTTGTTCTCTGCAGCAATACATTTACCAGGAAGTGTGGAATCTCTTCCAGCAGATTAGTGTGAAAGCCAGCTCAGTTGTCTATTCTGCCACCAAAGATTACAAAGATCATGGCTATAGGTATGTTTACGTAATATGCTTAAATGGCCAAGCTGATCCTCCGTTGGCATGTGTTGCGTGTTCTGTAAGCCCCACTTAATAAAGAAACTGTATTTCTCTGTTGTTCATTGAGGGACACAGATTGGTAGTAAAACAAAATGAGGTTTTAAACTGCCTTCTACAGGATAATAGTCAGAAAGTACATAGGGAGCCAAAGGCCAGCCGACCGAAGGCTCTCCTGCCTAACACCTGTTCGGTTTCTCTTAAGCTCACCATATATACATTACAATTTGGTTATGCAATCTCCTTTAGATCTACCACCAACCAAGTATGACAGACACTTGCCTAATTAGATGTAGATTGATTGGATAGTTTTGGTATGTGCGCATACGTAGTTTTGATAAATCTAAAGCTGATTGTACACAGATTGTATGGCCAGAATTTAATGTGTATGGTGATCCTAAGGGGTAGATTTACTAAAACATGGTAGCCAATCAGCTTCAAACTTCAACTTATTCAATTAAGCTTTGGTAATAAAACCTGGAAGCTGAATGTGTTGTTAGGAAAATGGATGTTTCTTTCCCTTTCTGCTATAATTTTTAGTTGAATTGGAAATTTTATTTCTTTGATCGACAGCTATTGATAGATTAATGCCAGATATTGGAAATCCTGGAAGTCTCTCCAGATAGGCAACAAGTGTAGGTTGGTATAGACAACCCATCTGTGGACAAACTGTTCAGGTCAAGCCAGCTTTTCTGGTGATTCCTTGCTAGGTTTTCAGGCTCAGTGCTCCAGTAGTTATGTTCTGTCTCTAAAGACTTGATGTTGTGAGTGGATTGAAGGCTTTGCAAGTTGAGGATTTCTTTTTTTTGTCTCTTGTACCTGAGGTTGTATGTGCTTTTTTCCACAGAAGTAGCTGCCACTAGCTGTGTCCTGTATTTGGTGAACTTTATTAGTGTTTAAAGGATAAGTTCACCTTTCGTAATGTGCCACCCTTATTCAGGGTGTAACATATTACAAAAGGACCAGCCCCCGATCCTCTGTTGTGACAGCTACTAGGGGAACCTCTTCCTAGCTGTCACAATTTTAAAAAAAAAAAAAAGGATGTGCGGTGCTCCGCCCGCCCGGGTGCATCATTCATGCACAGTATTCTGTGAATGAAAAAAACTACAACCTCTAACAGCCGTTGTGGCTGTCAGCTTTTAGTTCTTAATAAGCTACCATGGCGCTGTTGAGCTCTGTGGTAGTTCATTAATTCTACCTGTCAGTGTATCTGCTTGCCCATACGAGGTACGAGCACACAGGAACACTGACAAGTCTGCAGGAGTTGTGCATGGCACCAGCGATCTGCTAATCGCTGGTGCAGTGCTTTCCAGGATCCCAAAATGAAAAATAGTAACTTCACATTTTTCTTGCAATAAAATGTACATTTATAATTTTTTGTTAAAAGGTGAACTTATCCTTTTAAGCAAGTTTGGAAATGCCTCCACTTTATTACTATCTTGAGCTGCATATGTGTTGGATTCTTGGCAGCTGGGCAATGTTTATTCCCAAGCTGCCATTTGTATCTCCCACTGCTTTTTTATTTTGCGGCTATGTCAAGCAGTATATCCTTTGGCGGTTGAGCTGTGTTATGTCATAACCACTTTTTTGAATTCCCGTCGCTGCTCCTGTTAGAATGATGCAGCTCTGTTTGTTACAACTAAGCAGGTGTGAGAGGTTAGAGTCTCAAGGGGGTGGCCTTCAATTTTTCACTGTGTCTAGCGTCTTTTGCTCCTGTAGACTGCAGTAAAATTCTAGGCTGCTTATTACAAAGCTATGTTCCTGAATAGACTCAGAGAAAAGGATTTTATAGTAAGTATGAAAATCCATTTTTTTTTTTAAATCTGATATCATTAATGAACATAAAAGACATCTTTTGTTAAAGTGGAAGTAAAGGCAAAATTTAACTGATTCTAAACTTGCTCTCAGCCACATTATAAGCCTAATATATCTAGCCCTGTAAAGAACAAATTGCTATACTTACCTGTTCTGCAGCCGCTTCAGTCTCCAGTGGTTCCCACTGTGTGCAGGAGACAGCTGACAATGGATGGGAAGTGACGTCACGCATAGCGTTACTAAGGGGCTTCGGTTGCCTACTGCCTCTTCTACACACTTCTGCACACGGAAGCTGCCGCTGACATCTCAGTGTGGGGCCAGACCAGAGCGGCTGCAGGTAAGTATAGTGATGTTTTCTTTACAAGGCTAGATAGATAGATTAGTCTTAGACTGTGGCTGAGAGTAGGTTTAGAGTTTGTTAGGTTTTGCCACTTTAACCTTGATCTGCCTGTTTTTCACAAAGGCCTAATCTTGCCTAATTTTCACAAAAGTCAGAAACTTGCTGTATTATCTGTGAATCTGTTGTCAAATCACATACATAGTAACATGAATTTGCATATTATGGATAAAATTAACACCCTGTTACTGCACCTATTTTCATCCATTCTGTGTGTTTGTAGGGTGTGCATATTTTGTAAACCTTTTTCTTTTTTTTAACCTGTCTATATTTTCATTCATTCTGTTTATTCCAAGCTTTATATAGCATAAATTAGTTTTAAGCATCACATACCCACTGCAGTTTCTATTGCCCCCTCTTTGACCAAATGCCAGTTGGTTCTGAAAGGACAAAGCACTGATGTATCTGGGTAGTGTCTAAGACTGCTAATCCCTCTACTTTCTCCCTGAATCATTTCCATTGTTCTGGCACTATGATAGGCTGCCTCCCTAGCCAATAGAAATGTGTAGGACATGGGAGGGAGGCAAGCTGGCTCCACAAATATCAGGAAATGTTGGAGCTTGCCTGTTAAAAAAAAAAAAAATAAATAACTGGCATTTAGGTATAGAGGGGGCAATGAAAACTGCTTTGGCTATATGCAGGCATTTTACACCTGCTTTTAGCTAAATATGACGCTTCTTAATCCATTCTGTGGACAGACACTGTTCCTTGGCAGTCATAAATGCACTGGCGAATATTGCGGCCAACATCCAGGGAGAGCAGCTGGTGGATGAGCTTTTGATGAACCTATTAGAGCTATTTGTCCAGTTGGGGCTAGAGGGAAAACGGGCCAGTGAAAGAGCCAGTGAAAAAGGCCCAGCACTGAAGGTGAGTTTAAGGATTTGATGTGAGCTTTAATGGTATGAATTATGCCTTTATTAATAGTACTTTTTTATTTGTTTAAGTATCATACATAAAGAACTTGTTTATAAATTTAATCATTTAGACAGCAGCTTATATTAAGTATTGTATGGTATTTTATGAAGACATGATTAAACAAAGATGTCAATTGATTAGGCTTAAAGTGTTACTAAACCCAGGACCCTGCATTCACTATATCTGGTCTCCCACAGTACACACAACATGGAAGTGCTATTATTTTAGTAAATATAAACTGCTAAATACCTTTTCTCATCAGCAGTTAAAGCAGTCTTGTGACTTATATCAGTGTTCAGCAGAGCACTGGTTAAAGCTTGTAGGAGGAGTTTTATTTCTGCTCTAGGAGGATGTGAAACCCTGACCTCTGTCTGGACAGTGCTGATTGACCCTGTGCTGATCATATGTACTCTCCCAAGAAAAAAAAACCTCTCTAGTAATTCACACTAAACTGAGCATGTGCAGAAGCAGAATTGCTACAGTTCAGTTTGTCTTATCAGGACAAGACGTGGACGTTTGGACAAGAGGAGGAGCAGAGAAGTCAGTCAGGATCAAACAGCCTTTTTACACAATGCAGAGGATTAATCCCTTAGGTTCCACAATGAGTATAACAAGCATGCTTTACTGCATATATATATACTGATTTTACTGTTATGGGTTTAGTAACACTTGTAATGATCTTCCAGTTACAATATCCAGCTCTAGCTGATTGTTGAGGAGATCAAAATACCATCTATTTAACATCTTAAACCTGGGAAATTACCTTTCAGCATTTCTTGTAAAAAATGTACAATCATTTCCTTTCATGAAAACTGTTTGTAAAAATGTACAGTAGATCCAGGAATATAGGAGACTGAATTTTTTTTTGCTCAAATTGTGGAATGAATTGCTGAGCCATAATCGTAGAGAAAGCAAAGAGCATACAACAGACCACATGCACAGGTACTGGTAGATGTCATAGCCACAGGAATTACATAGTTCAACTGACTTGGGGGGCAAGGCCTGCACAGCTGAATGTTTCTAGTTTTCATTTTGTTTTGCCCCTGTTGCTTTGCTAATTAATTCCCTCTGCCTGCAATGTCCTTACTTTGTGGGAGGCCCTGTTTCCTGCATTGGCTGTATTCTGAGCCCACTGCAGCCCCATTCACACACTTCGGTACATCAAAAGCAGGTGGCACAGCACAGAACCATATGTCTAAGTGCTTGTATAGTTGGCAAAACACTGTATACACTCAGGTACTACTGTGGTCATTCACGTGTACCTCTGACCTCCTAGGCTGCATCAAGCTGCTTTAAGCTGATTTTACCTTCACATTGACTGGTATGGGAAAACCGTTGTGATGCAGAGAAAAGTGTGTGTACACAGGACGCTAAGGTGTAGTTCTGACAGGAAGCAGTTAGGCATCCTGCTAAATATTGCTGCATTGAATATGAGGACATATTAAAGCTGTAGTTTGTTTTTATATTCAATAATCAGCTCATACATGTATATTTGTATATAACTTGCATAAGTACCTGAATGTGTCTTTAGTCAGTCTCCTGAGGGTCAGCACTGTGAGCCAGTGAGGGAATCTGTTGTTGCTTTGCACATTTACAGTAGGCATGTTAAGGAGACTGATAGCAGACATGTGCAGGTATAGTCTCCTTATTATACTGCTGATCTTTCCTGGTCTAGTATCAGACTGGGACTGGCCTTTGATGTAGCCTGCAAATAGGTCCAGGGCCTGGCTTTGCTGTCTGACAGGGGTACCTGAATTTCAAGGCTGACTAAACCATTTATGTTGGCAGGTAAGATACTTCATATGCATGTTTTGGTCTATACATTCAGCTATATGCATTGGGTAAAACGTTAAGGTAAGATGTGCAGATTTACTGGCTTGATCACATGCTCTATTTTGGGGTGGATGACATTAGCAGTTCTGATTGAATTAATCTATGGAACGTTGTGTTTTGTTAAGAACATGATCAATTTATTACATCTTTAATTGTGACTAGTGCTTTGTATGATTAGATTTTGCTGCTCACTATATTTTGGCACTTTTAGAATTTACTTTAGACTTTGACTGATTGTACATGTGTGCCAGTTTTAAGTTCAAGGACTGTGCATGCTTTACTCATGTGGGAGACAATGAACGACTGAGAGGTTTGTGACATTCCATGGCATAGCTGTGTCAAAGTTCCCACCCACAGCATGCAGGCATAGAGTAAAGTCCTGCAGTAGCAAATAGGGAAACTGTATCAGAATGTACCTAGATCAGTGTCCTGTTTATTCTTGTTCTGCAGAATAATCACCCAACAGGAACATTTTATATAACCACACAAGATCTGTTTTCTTCTTTTTGATAGGTATTTCATCCCCATTAATATCAGCTTGTTACATATCTTTTTCGGAGAGTAAGAACATGTAGAAAGATGTTCCTAAACACTGACACATGTTGGCACTGAGGGGGAATATGTGGGAAATTGAGCTTGACATGCATTGCAATTAGCAAGCACCATACATTTTTTTCCAACTACATCCTTTTTTTTATTTTAACTTTACCCATACTTAACCAACTCCCGTCGGCCATATAAATGGCCGGATGGTGGCAGTGCAGGGTCGGGTGGCCGTTTATAAATGGCCACCCCGTACCCTGCTTTTGCGTGCTCCCTGGGAGCGCACAGCACCGCGATCTGGTGCCCGCTGTGTCCTCCGGACACAGTGGAACAGCGATCGTGGGATGGGACCTCTGTACGAGGTCCCGATCATGTGATCACTGATTGGCCAATCAGTGATCACATGCAGAGTAGTAAGCAAGATGTCACTTGTGACATTATTATTATTATACAGTATTTATAAAGCGCCGATAGTTTGCTCAGCACTGTACATTACAAAGGGGGACAGAACATGTGACAGAACAATACCAATACAATGCAAAACATGAGGGGATTGAGGGCCCTGCTCTTTCGAGCTTACAATCTAGGAGGGAGGGGATAGTGGTACAGGAGGAGATAGCTGTGGGGGATGGAGTGGTAGGAAGAGTGGAGGAGGTCGGCAAGTTAGCAGGGGGTGGGGTAGGCTTCCCTGAAGAGATGGGTTTTCAGGGTGCGCCTAAAGGAGAGGAGAGTAGGTGATAATCTGAAGGGTTGGGGCAGGGAGTTCCAGAGGATGGGTGACACCCTGGAGAAGTCCTGGAGGCGGGCATGGGAGGAGGAGACCAGGGAACTAGAGAGAAGGAGGTCTTGTGAGGAGCGGAGTGTGTGTGTTGGGGGTGGTACTTGGATATTAGGTCAGTGATGTAGTTCGGGGCAGTGTGGTGGACGGCTTTGTACGTCAGTGTTAGGATTTTGAATTTGATCCGTTGCGCAATCGGAAGCCAGTGGAGGGATTGGCAGAGGGGGGTGGCGGAGATGGAGCGGTTGGAAAGGTGAATGAGTCTGGCTGCCGTATTCAGGATCGACTGAAGCGGGGATACCCATCATTGCTTACTGCGTGTGAAATCTGTGAATGGTCACAAAGGTCACATGGTACAAGGCTATTCACAACAGCCTTGTACCATGTGACAAGCTGTGACCAATCACAGCTCACTCAGTAGTTCTCAATGGCTGCAAGAATGCAGCTAGAGAGAAGGAGAAATGATTGCTTTTACAGCCTTTATGGGTGTAAAAGCAATCAGTGTAAAAAAAAAAAAAAATCTTCATCAGCCCCCACCATGGTGACACTGTACTGCTAGGGTGACAGTATGTAAAAAAAATAATAATAAATAATATAAAGTAAAAAAAAGTTAAAAAATTATAATTTTTGGTTATAAACTAATTTTGGTTTGTGTTTTTTTTTTTTTTTTACTAAAAATATAACGGAATAAATTTTGGCCAAGATTTATGATGAAATACTATTTATTTGCAACATTTTATAAGAAAAACACTTTTTTTTTTCAAAATTTTTGGACATTTTAATTTACATAGCAAAAAAAATAAAAATCCCAGTGGTGAAAAATACCACCAAAATAAAGCTTTATCTGTCTCAAAAAAATGCTAAAAAATTCATATGGGTACATATTGTCATATTGTCCTTCAAAGTGTGATAGCACTGAAAGCTGAAAATTGGCCTGGACAGGAAGGGGGTAAAAGTGTCCGGACTCGAAGTGGTTAAGAAGCAGTGAATAAAAAGCAACCTTTTGATGTTACATCGTATTTTATTAAAAATACCAAAGGGTTGAACCAAAACATTATTTGTATACTTTGGGGATAACTTGGGGGAAGTAGTGTGCAAGTGCACTAACTAAATTTAGTATAACTATTCAAACCTCAAAGGCAAACAAACAGCAATGAAAAGATTACATGCAGTCAGATGCAGAACTACATTTCATGTAATATGTTCTATAACCTTTCTTGATGCAACCTTCAGTCTTTTTTTTTTTTTTTTTTTAAACAAAGCCACATTTTCTCAAATTTATTCTGCCCTTTGTTTTGCAACAGGCATCTAGTAGTGCCGGAAACCTTGGAGTCCTAATTCCTGTCATTGCTGTGGTGAGTATTGCTAAGCACAGTACTTATGTAAAACATTTTGGGGTGTTTAGTTTAAAGGTAAAAGATTCACAGGTCTGTGAACCATGTGTGATAGTTGGTTTGTGTGTTGAATTGGGTTACTCTTTTATTGCAGCATTTCTTTATCGATAAGTTTCTACTCTTTCAAAGTCCTGGCTTGCCCCTCTCTGCACTGTGCATGCATTCTGTGGTCTTATTCATTCATATGGGTAGCTGTGCTCATTGTGTCTTCCAGTGGTCTCATATAGTGTGGCTGACTCATAGGAATGAATGTGGCACTATCATCGTTTTCTTCTTTTATAGCCCATTAGAGAAATTTCCCTTCACTTCTCTCTGGTGGACACTACAGGTATCTGAGAAAATGTCTCTCAAGTAAGGGAATTTCACTCTTTGACAGCTGATACTGCAACAAGAGTCCCCAATGGAAAGCTTCTCTTCTATTTTTGTTCTGGTGACATATCTAAATTTTGAATGCTCCCTCAATTCCAGTACTGGAGAAAATGGTTGCTAGAAAGAGGTTGTTTCTTCTCACTGGGAACACAGGAAGCAATAAATACCTTGAAAGGGTTGCGCTAACCCTTCCCTTTGCTGTCCAAAATGAAAGAAACCATAACCTTCAACATCATGGCTCCCTAGAAGTTTTATCAACTCTACTATATCATATTAGTTCCCGCATGACCTTATTGAATATTGCTTCTGATATTTGAACCTTGTCCTGCAGATGCATTTAAAACATATAATTATCAATATACTTTAGTTTACTTGTGTGATGTATATCAAAAAGTACAAATTTTGCAATCAATTAGTTGGGCATCAATAAATATGTATTTTTATAGCCAAGCTGTTAAACTTGGTGAAGAAATAATTGTAAAAGTGGAATATTCTGATATTTGTGCACCATTTTTTAAGCCCAAGTGCAAAATTATTTGGAGCAGCTGCAGTCGACATGATGGCACATCAGGCCACCAAAGTTCAGACATACTAGTTGTTCTGAGTACTACTAGAACTGCTTGGAAGCCAATATATGCTCACATAAACCTTGTATATATGGATGCATAAATACAGTAACAGCAGCAGGGTCAAGAGTTGACCTACCTCCAACCCAACATTCTTATTGACCTTAGCTGACCTATCTCCTCCCCTACATTTCTTTTGGCCCATCCTCCTGAAAGTAGATGGATGCAGTCTAGGCTTCAACGTTGCCTAAAAGTGTAAATTTAAATATACTAGTGCCCCCTGGGGTTTGGGTCTTCTGAGTTACACTTTTCAAATGACACAAGCCATTTGAGAGTTGAGATTACTGACCAATATTTTAAACTAAGTATACAAAGGGAGAAGCTGGGAGTATTTAGGAGCTTTATTCTTCTGAAGGATGCTCACAGATGTTTTTTTTTTCTTCAGAACTGCAAACTTACATTTGTGGAATAATTGTTGTTTCTGGTCCATAGCTGCCAAAATAAGAGTGGTCCAGAAGTATTTCTCCCCCTTTTCCCTTTTGCTGGCCCTTCATTTTTTGTCATCTTGTTTCAGTATAGTTGTTTTGTTTTCTTTTAACTCCATTTGAGGTTATGTTGGTTTCTTCACGGTAACAGTCCAATGTAAAAAAGGAGGAACTTCGTGTACCAGGTTTTTACAAAAAAAGATGTGCGTATTCTGATGTAATTTAGTTTATACATTTTAACAATGTATATTCAACTCTTTTGCAACTATTCAGTTTAAAAGTTCAGAGGACACTTGCCATGGGGTTAATGGTTACACTGGTAGAAAAAGAGCAAATATTTATCAAGCTTGCATAAACCCAGCAGTTAAAAAAAATATCCCAGCCCAAACCGTTAGTTGATCAGAAACAGGCATTCTGTGATGACAAAGGTCTAGATTGCAGACTTTTATTATTCATTAGCAGAATTTTGAACATTTTATTGAACACTTTACATTGTATAGTTCACAATAATATAATATACAGCTTGGCTTTCTTACAGTGTAATAGACAGGTCTCTATTACAAATTGACTAATAGGTTTTTCCATATGACACTGGTGCAAATACAATTGAATTCTATGTTTTTAAGTTCATTATACATTTTGACAAATGTGAACGTTCTAGCAGCTGACTCTGTAATTCTTTATGCTCTGTTCCTCCTAACAACTATTTTACACTTTTACCTGGTGAGCATGCTGATTAGGCATTTTGTATGTAGTTGCCCTTCTCAGCTACATAAATAGTAAAATGATTATAAAGCCCATTGCTTAGTTGTGAGACCAGTTCAAGACTTGGTGGGGTTGGACACTCTTCCACAGAAAATAAGGCAATTGGTGCGATGTTCATAGATGAAAAAAAGGAAGGGACGGTCCACAATGAAGCGCGTTTGTGTGGAAAGTGGCGTAAAGCCCACAGTAGTAAGACTAGCAGCTTGTGTTCCCTCTTCGTTCACTGTGATGCTGCCTTGTTGTTGAAACTGCAAAGAGGTTTGTTAGAGGACAGTTAAAAAAAAAAAAAAAAAGAGCACAAAGTTACAAAATTGCATTAATTATATTAATGCGTCTGACCTTCATTATGTGCTGATATGAACGGAGGCCTAAGTATTCAAGCCTTTAGTTTGCTCCAGTATACTGCCATGCTGTAATCAAATGTTGTAGATTACTCCATAGTAAAGGCTAGTGTGATCTATCATTTATGGGATACACATTTTTTAACTTGCCTTTTTATTGTCTGATTGTAGCTATTTCTATAGTTTTTCTTCTAGATTTTCTTTAGAAGATTTACAATCTTCTAAACAAATAAGGGAATAGGAATTGCCATGTAAATTGCAGCTTTGGATAGAAATGAAACCAAATCACTGCTGACACGGACTATGTAGTAAAGTAGTTATTAAACGAGCATTATTTACCATGTTTGAGACAAAATATCACAATAGAGATTTTTAATAACTGTAGATCTTTATTCTTGCTCTCTGAGATGTTAAAGTAGAGCTGCACCCAAAATGGGAAGTTCTACTTTAAGGACTCCTCCTATAAACCAAATGGCACTTTTTTTTTAGGGAGGCGGGTATCTGGTTTTGACAGGTACCCGCTCCCACTTCCACTCGGATCACCTAGGCAATCTGAGCGGAAGTTCTGCTCTCCCCCACCCTCCACGCATTCTTCTGGGACACGTCACAGATCCCAGATGACTGCAGGACCATTCACAATGCGCAGTTTTGTAGCTGCTGACTTTTAATAAACACAAAAATGGCTGGAGCTCCTCTTTTATTGAATTGCAGACACCAGCAACCACAGCAAAAAAAAAAAATTAGATGATGGCACACAGCAAAAGATCAGACTGTATGTGACCGATCATAGTAAATGCTAACTCTTGTGATGGGCAGCACAAACAGTTGTTCTTTCATGCATATTTTACATATACTGTATATACAGTATACACACACACATACACACACTATATTGCCAATAGTATTGGGGTGCCTGCCTTTACACGCACATGAACTTTAATGGATCTCAGTCTTAGTCTGTAGGGTTCAATAAAGAGTTGGCCCACCCTCTGCAACCTATATCCGCTTCAACTCTTCTGGGAAGGCTGTCCACAAGGTTTAGTAGTGTGTCTATGGGAATGTTTGACCATTCTTCCAGAAGCACACTGGAATGCACTAATATGAGAAGGTCTGGCTCTCATCCTCAGCTCTAATTCATCCCAAAGCTGTTCAGTCGGGTTGAGGTCAGGACTCTGTGCAGGCCAGTCAAAATCCTCCACCCCAAACTCGCTCATCCGTGTCTTTATGGATTTTGCTTTGTGCACTGGTGCGCAGTCATGTTGGAACAGGAAGGGGCCATCCCCAAACTCTTCCCACAAAGGTGGGAGCATGAAATTGTCCAAAATGTCTTGGTATGCTGACGCCTTAAGAGTTCCCTTCACTGGAACTAAGCAGCCAAGCTTTACCCCTGAAAAAACAACCCCACACCATATTCCCTTCTCCAGCAAACTTTACACTTGGCACAATGCAGTCAGAAAAGTACTGTTCTCCTGGCAACCACCAAACACAGACATGTCTGTTGGATTGCCAGACAGAGAAGCGTGATTCGTCACTCCAGAGAACATGTCTTCACTGCTCTAGAGTCCAGTGGCAGCGCACTTTACACCACTACATCCGACGCTTTGCATTGCACTTGGTGATGTAAGGCTTGGATGCAGCTGCTCGACCATGGAAACCCATTCCATTAAGCTCTCTACGCACTGTTCTGCTAATCTGAAGGCCACACGAAGTTTGGAGGTCTTTAGTTATTGACTCTGCAGACAGTTGGCGACTTATACGTACTGTGCGCTTCAGCATGCGCTGACCCCGCTCTGTTATTTTACGTTGCCTACCAGTTCGTGGCTGAGTTGCTGTTGTTTCCAGTTGCTACCACTTTGTTACAATACTACTAACAGCTGATCGTGGAATATTTAGTAGCAAGGAAATTTCATGTATGGACTTATTGCACAGGTGGCAACCTATCACGGTACCACGCTTGAACTCACTGCGCTCCTGAGAGTGACCCATTCTTTCACAAATTTATGTAGAAGCAGTCTGCATGCATAGTTTCTTGATTTTTTACACCTGTGGCCATGGAGGTGATTGGAACACCTGAATCCAATGATTTGGAAGGGTGTCCAAATACTTTTGGCAATATTGTGATATATAATATATATATGTGTGTGTGTATATGTATATATACAGTCATGGCCGAAATTGTTGGCACCTTGATATTTCTCCAGGAAATCATGTATTTCTCACGAAACGTATTGCATTAACACATGTTTTGCTATACACATGTTTATTCCCTTTGTGTGTATTGGGACAAAACAAAAAAAGGGAGGAAAGAAAGCAAATTCGACATAATGTCACACAAACTCCAAAAATGGGCTGGACAAAAGTATTGGCACCCTTTCACAACTGCGGATAAATAAGAATGTTACAAGCATGTGATGCTCCTGTAAACTCACCTGGGGCAAGTAACAGGTGTGGGCAATATAGAAATCACACCTGAAAGCAGATAAAAAGGAGAGACGTTCACTTAACCTTTGCATTGTGTGTCTGTCTGTGCCACACTAAGCATGGACAACAGAAAGAGGAGACGAGAACTGTCTGAGGACCTGAGAACCAAAATTGTGGCAAAATATCAACAATCTCAAGGTTACAAGTCCATCTCCAGAGAACTAGATTTGCCTTTGTCCACAGTGCGCAACATTATCAAGAAGTTTGCAACCCATGGCACTGTAGCTAATCTCCCTGGTCGTGGACGGATGAGGAAAATTGATGAAAGATTGCAACGCAGAATAGTCCGGATGGTGGATAAGCAGCCCCAAACATGTTCCAAAGACATTCAAGCTGTCCTGCAGCTCAGGGAGCATCAGTGTCACGCGAACTATCCGTCGACATTTAAATGAAATGAAACGCTATGGCAGGAGACCCAGGAGGACCCCACTGCTGACACAGAGACATAAAAAAGCAAGACTACAGTTTGCCAAAATGTACTTGAGTAAGCCAAAAGCCTTCTGGGAAAACGTCTTGTGGACAGATGAGACCAAGATAGAGCTTTTCGGTAAAGCACATCATTCTACTGTTTACCGAAAACGGAATGAGGCCTACAAAGAACAAAACACAGTACCTACGGTAAAAATGGTGGAGGTTCAATGATGTTTTGGGGTTGTTTTGCTGCCTCTGGCACTGGGTGCCTTGACTGTGTGCAAGGCATCATGAAATCTGAGGATTACCAAGGATTTTGGGTCGCACTGTAGGGCCCAGTGTCAGAAAGCTGGGTTTGCGTCCAAGATCCTGGGTCTTCCAGCAGGACAATGACCCCAAACATACGTCAAAAAGCACTCAGAAATGGATGGCAAAGAAGCGCTGGAGAGTTCTGAAGTGGCCAGCAATGAGCCCAGATCTAAATCCCATTGAACACCTGTGGAGAGATCTTAAAATTGCTGTTGGGAAAAGGTGTCCTTCCAATAAGAGAGACCTGGAGCTGTTTGCAAAGGAAGAGTGGTCCAAAATTCCGGGTGAGAGGTGTCAGAAGCTTATTGATGGTTATAGGAAGCGACTGATTTCAGTTATGTTTTCCAAAGGGTGTGCAACCAAATATTAAGTTAAGGGTGCCAATACTTTTGTCCAGCCCATTTTTGGGGTTTTGTGTGACATTATGTCATATTTGCTTTTCTGCCTCTGTTTTATATTTGTTCCAATACATACAAAGGGAATAAACATGTGTATAGCAAAACATGTGTTAATGCAATACCTTTTTTGTGTGAAATACTTGATTTTCAGGAAAAATATCAAGGGTGCCAACATTTCGGCCATGACTGTATATATATATATATATATATATATATATATATATACAGTCATGGCCGAAATTGTTGGCATATATATATATATATACACACACACACTGTGTATATGGGTGTGTATGTACAGTTGCAAGAAAAAAGTATGTGAACCCCTTGGGGATTACATGGAGTTTTGCATGAATTGGGCATAAAATGTGCTCTGAACATCATCTAAGTCACAACAATAGAAGAACACAGTCTGCTGAACATAATACTACACAAACATTAGATGTTGCCATGGTTTAATTGCACATAACAAGTAAACATTCACAGTGCAGTGAGGAAAAAGTATGTGAACCTTTGGACTTAATAACTGGTTGACCTCCTTTGGCAGCAATAACCTCAACCAAACGTTTCCTGTAGTTGCAGATCAGACCTGCACAACAATCTGGAGTAATTTTGGACCACTCCTCTTCACAAAACTGTTTCAGTGTAGCAATATTCTTGGGATGTCTGGTGTGAATCGCTCTCTTAAGGTCATGCCACAGCATTTCAATCGGGTTGAGGTCAGGACTCTGACTAGGCCACTCCAGAAGGCGTATTCTGTGCTGTTGCAGCCATTGTTTTGTTGAATTACTTGTATGCTTTGGGTCATTGTCCTGTTGCATCACCCATCCTCTGCGGAGCTTCAGTTGGCAGACAGATGGTCGTACGTTTTCCTGCAAAATGTCTTGATAAACTCTGGAATTCATTTTCCCATCAATGACGACAAGCCGTCCAGGCCCTGAGGCAGCAAAGCAGCCCCAAACCATGATGCTCCCTCCGCCATGTTTTACAGTGGGGATGAGGTTTTGATGTTGGTGTGCTGTGCCTTTTTTTCTCCACACATAGTGTTGTGTGTTCTTCCCAAACAACTCAATCTTGGTTTCATCTGTCCACAGTATATTTTGCCAGTAGTGCTGTGGAACATCCAGGTGCTCTTTTGCAAACTTCAAACGTGCTGCAATATTCTCTTTTGGACAGCAATGGCTTCCTCCGTGGTGTCCTCCCATGTACTCCATTCTTGTTTAATGTTTTCCTTATTGTAGATGTGTCAACAAAAATGTTAGCATATGTGCCAGAGATTTCTGTAGGTCTTTAGCTGACACTCTGGGATTCTTCTTTACCTCATGCAGCATTCTGCGCTGTGGTCTTGCAGTCATTTTTACAGGACGACCAAGCCTAGGGAGAGTAGCAACAGTGCTAAACTTTCTCCATTTGTAGACAGTCTGTCTTACATGGACACATGAACATCAAGGCTTTTGGAGATACTTTTGTAACCCTTTCCAGCTTCTGCAAGTCAACAATTCTTGATCGTAGGTCTTCTGAGAGCTCTTTTCTGCTAGGCATGGTTCACATCAGACAGTGCTTCTTGAAACCAGTAAACCCAAAACAGGTGTGTGTTTTTTAAGGGCAGGACAGCTGTCAGCAACACATCCAATATCATCACACTGATTGGAGTCAAGGTTGGCTCACTCCTGGCTCCAATTAGCTCTGGGAGAAGTCATTAAGCTAGGGCCTCACATACTTTTTCCTCCCTGCACTGTGAATGCTTACATGTTATGTGCAATTAAACCATGGCAACATCTAATGTTTGTGTGTAGTATTATGTTCAGCAGACTGTGTTCTTCTATTGTTGTGCCTTAGATGACATTCAGAGCACATTTTATGCCCAATTCATGCAAAACTCCACGTAATCCCAAGGGGTTCACATACTTTTTCTTGCAACTGTATGTGTGTGTGTACATATATATATATAATATATATATATATATATATATATATATATGTGTGTGTATAATATATATTTATTATTATTATAGATTTTTTTTAATAATATGCATTGTAAAAGCCTTATGTCTGATAAGCTGAATACACTAACCAGGCCAATGTTGATATCTTCATTAGTAATGCCCGAGAAGTCTGCCTTGGCAGTGAACACATCCTTCACTCCCATGTTGCTGAGCACATCCTTTAAGTTATAGATCTTTTCCAGCTTGAAGCGAGGAAGATAAATATCCCTTGTCCTGAGAACACATATTAAAAAGATACAATATCTTAATTTTGTTCTGTAACCTAAAATATATAATAATATTTTTGGAAACTGACAAGCAATTATTAAAGATAACTGTACTTTTAGTATCCCCGCATCTTAAACTTGCCTATCCACTACCCTGGGAGATCTTCATTGTGTGGCTGCTGGGACCTGCACAGCCTCTCCACGGAGAGTCTCTCAGTTAGGCTCTGCTTCTCCATTCTTCATTCCAGTGGAAAGGCCGTCGACCATTAAGGCCAAAGGCTGATGACTTTTCCATAAGTATAAATGGAGCTCTTGGTAAATGTGAGGTGTACAGAAGCAGATTTATAAGTTGTGATTTTTTTTTTTATTTAAATTTTATCACGATGTCTTAAAGCAGTATTAAACCCAAAAGCAAAAATGTAATTTGTAGCAGCTTAGCAATCATTAGATTAGTCTTTTTTCTCTTTATTTTCCCCTGGTGAGCTAGTCAGTAACACACCACCTATATAAGTGTGCCTACGCTCTGGATGATAGAGCAACAGCAACACCTTTGGACAGCATCATTGTTCATCTTGGGGAATGGTAGATTTACAATAGATGTGCTAGCAGATTTAGGTACACTGAACAAATTGAAGCCAAACTCCAGTTAAGGGTCCATTCACACCAGATGGTGGGAATGTGCTGGGCAGTTATTCCAGCGCAGTCCCACCTCATGACAAGACAGAATGCCTTGTCTCTTGTGTTCCCAGGTCACACACGCAATGGTGTGCGGGCACGATGCGCTAAAAAATACTAGTGCATGCACTACTTTTTTCAGCATACTGCAACGCATCGCGAGGCACCACCTGGCACTGGGAACAGTGTGTGATCCCACTGGACTGCACCACACACCCTAACACCCTCTAAGTAGTTACAGCAACCTTTTTTTTCCTTTTAGGATAAAGGTTTTACATAAATAAAAGCTGATCATTGTAAGCACCCCTGTCAATGATAAATGGTTTGTCTCAACCTTCTAACAGCTACATCTGCAGGACAGCTTGTTCTGTTGGAAAACACACCTATTAGTTGGATCAGCAGGTAAAAATAAAGGAAAGAGAACTAATGCAGCCATCACATGTAGTTGGTAAGCTGCAGTATAATTAAAGTGGTAGTGAACTGCAGCTTGAGAAAAAAAATGAAAAAATCCCGAAGGTAATGTCATAATGCATTACATTCTAACACATTATGCAGGACTTACCTTAAAACGAAGCCCTCTAGCGGAGTGGCGTCCCCGCTGCAGAGGCTTACATCTTCACCCGGTCTTTCTTCGGGGTTTGCGTCTGGCCATCTGACTGGCTGAGCCGCAATTATGTCACTCCCGAGCATGCATGCCAAAGTCTCAGGACACGGCATAGTGCTCTGATGGAATGACACGGGTATCATTCAGAGCACATGTGCCTGCTGACAAAAAGAGCGAATATCTCCTAAACGGTGTACGTTTAGAATATATTCATTTTACCTACAGGTAAGCTTTATTGTAAGCTTACCTGTAGGTAAAAGATACAAAAGTGAGTTTACTTCCACTTTAATGTTTGCCTTTGAGTTTAATACCACTTTAAATTCGCCTTACAATGAGCGGATTTGCTTCATGGGTGACCCTGTCGGGACTGTCACACCTGAAATCCTTCAATTTTATTTATTTATTACAGGTACTCGTACAGCATTTTACACACACGTATGTATGTATGTGTGTGTGTGTATATATATATATATATATATATATATATATATATATATATATATATATATATATTTTCCCTAAATGACATTCACTTTTTAGACAGGGTCCAATTAACCTGCCTGCATGTCTTGTGAGTGTGGGAGGAAGCCAGAGTACCCAGAAACCCACGGCAGGCACAGGGAGAACATGTAAATGCTAGGCAGGTGGTATTGTGGTTAGGATTCGAACCAACGACCTTAGTGCTGCCAGGCAGAATTGCTAAACGTTTAGCCACTGTGCAGCCTAATAAAAAAGTCGAGTGACCTGGGCAAAAAATTGTTGACTGATCAATCAATTTTAGAGTACAAAATCTAGGCAGATCAATTCTGTCAGTGTATGGCCAGCTTTAGATGGCAAGATGTTGTGCTGCAGCCAAATAATGAACAACTCTGCTGATACATAATTTTGAAACTTTTTGCAAGCTTACCTGTTTGTCATAATTTTCTGCCATTTTTCTACCACATGTGAATTGAGCTTCTTCTCAAGGAGTTTTATTCCAGACAGTTTGTGTGGCATAGCAATTAGCATGCTGATGTTGCCAACATATGGCAGCTGCAGAACGTCACAGTCCAGGTCAGAATCTACAGCTACAAAGAAGTTTCCTTTGGTCTTCATCATGGGCACTTTCACAACTTCTTTGTCACTCACACGAAAATTTGCATTATGGGTATACTCTGCTGGAAACTTATTCTCCCAAGTTCCTATTTGAAAAAAAAAAAAAAAAAAAAGTTTGTCCCTCTGTATGCCATTCATATAAATACTAGATTTACATTTAACACATACTGTAAATGTGAGAATCTTTCTTTTTAAAATTACTTTTTGCATGACATCAGTGCTGATTTTGCAGTACATTTTTTTTCATCTTTGACCTAGAACAAGTATGCATATCAGGAGGTATGGTTTTGCTCTGACTTCTTTGCGTGCTTGGGCTGGCCATATATGGATCCGTCCCCCATCCACACATTTGAGGTGGATAGAGGAATTCTCCCTGCTGTGCTATTGTATTCGGACAGCTGGGACAGCTGCTGTCCAGAATACATTGACCAGCACAGCAGCCAATTGGCTGCATGCGATGGTCAAATTAAAATTTTCCAACATTCCCATTCAAGAGAAGTCAAACATTAGATCAACTTCCCTCAAGCACGAATGGTCATAGATGGATCAAAATTTGATCCATCTATGGCCATCTTTGTTCTGGGTGGATGACCTAAAGTACTGAAGTCACAAACAGGTAACTATGATTTTCAAAAGGAGATCTGCATTGACAATCTGCATGTTACTCCCAGTACAGGGATGTTTTAACCTAGCACCTCTTTCACTCTTTTCTGAAGTTCTCAAGTAAATTTGGTAGCAGCATGCTTTTGGTGTTGATTCTTATATAACTAACTGTGTTCATACCTATGCATAGCCATCTGGCTATTAGAATATTATATATGCAAAAGGCACTCTCTCACACTAAAATGTGCTGATAAAATGCATAAACGTAACTAGTCAGCTATAAGAAATTCTTACCTTTGAAGTAGATGCAGTTTACAAGTAACAACAGAAGATCTGGGCTAAGGTTTGAGAGTGCTTCTTTAATCAGTCCTTTGGTCAGCTTGTGAATGCGTTGGTTAATCTTACTGAGGAATGCTTTATCTTCAAAGTCGCCAATCTGAGCCTCTGCAAAGTAGTAGTTTTTCAAGTTTTTCTGAAAGTCCTCCCTAATGTCAAAGTATTTCTCTATGTAGAGGTCATTGACTGCTCTTAAAGTATAGCCAAAATTTCTGCGGAAGAGTCTGTGAGTTAATTTACGAAAGACTTCATGAATTGTGAAGATGTCATATTTTGAACTAGCATTGATGAAATTCTTGAAGCCTAAAGTAGATAGAATTTGGCTGTGAGTCTGCCCTTTTGTGCCCAGTGCCACTTCAGCCAATGCTGTAGATACACCAACTGGTGCTAATAAGATGTTTTCAGTTGCATTTGTGGTTTCTTTTATGGCTCGATAAAGATCAAAGCCAAAATTGGCATTGATTATGTTCAGCCTTTGAATCCTTGTTTTTCCTGGGAAAAGTTCATATATATTCCCTGGTATTTTTTCAGTACTCTTGATCTCTGGAAGAACATCAATGATGTCTGTATAATCTTCATCTTCACCTAATATTTTATCAAAATCCAGGTAGTCCTCTTCATCATCTCCTTCAGCAATAAGATCATTGGTCACAGTGTCATCCTGAAGGCTTTCTGCATTTTGGGGTGATACACCTCGTGCTCCCACAGCTCCATTGCTGCTTTCATAATGATCAAGCAGATCTTTAACACCACATAATGCTGAAGAAATAAGTAGTAAACTTGTGGTAAAGTAGAGGAGATTCATTTTGGAAACCGCTGAGTTTGGGATTTTTTTAAAAGGAATGCCAGAATCCGCTCTGTAGGAGGAATATAAGAGTTAGAGAAACAGACTGAGCTGCATTTTGCTGTTTGCAAGATGGTAATAAATGATAGCATAGCAACAGTATAGTAGACATTGAATTATGTATCCTATTCACTTATATCAAACATGCTTTCTGAAAATTGTCCTTACCTGACAGCTCTGGTGACTATGCCTAGTCCTAGAATATGTTAAATGCACTAAAAAGTGCTAAAACATAACCTTTGCCACCCACAGAGTAAACAGCATACTTCAAACAGACAGAGAAATGCTTGGTCAGCCAAAGTCCTTTCCTTCTGCTGGGGCCCCCTGGTTCCCTCCCTGCTACCCACCCCTTCTTTATTTCCTGTATTCAGCAGACCACTATACAATAACAAACAGCTAGGCATTAGCATTCTGTCTGTGCAGGAAATATGTTACTGAATTAAATATTGATTGTTTTATTGCATGGTAAATATGTTAAATGCTACTCTTATTTGCCACTATTACTACTATGTGCTTGTTCAATAACCCCCTAGAACAGAAACTTGGTAAGTTAACTATCAAGTAGCCAACAAGTGTGGCTGCATTAGGTTAGACCAGGACCGCTGCTAGTCATATAGATCAAATGTGACATTCATTTCTTTTTATCTGAAAATGTCTACTGTACGTAACCATACTATATATCAACTTTTCTAAATAAATAAAAGTAAAAATAAAAATAAATGTCCCAAAACTTATCTGTCCCAAAAAAATTATATCCCAAATTTCTCTTGTGTAAATATTTCCAAATTGACTTGTAGATAATCCAGTGTAGACTTTTCAAAACCCTCGTGGACCTCAAAAACAAAAACTTAAGATAGTGTATTACCCTTTAACTTCATACAAAATAAAACCGTGACAACAGGTGTATCATGCGAACTCCATAACGTGCACACGTCACACGTGAAAATATAGAGAAGAGAAAAAAAATATTCTAATATGAAATTATTAATATAGTGAACATCGCAATAGCCCAAAAAAAAAACCGCTAAGCATACATGATCACCTCCACGTGCTGAAGGCTGATAGTGAACACTTCAAACATATCACAGTGACATATCAAGTGATCTTCTCCAACTAGTGAAAAATGGATAATTACCCTTATGCAAAAATGACAGGCTTTATACAAATAGATAGTGGCACTCCCCAAACTTTCTACTCCTCTTGTTTCCACTCTTCCATATCCTCTTAGAGTAAAGGGGAGATATTCAGCGGTATGTAGTAAACATATAAACTTTTAATAAGATTTCTTACATTAAAATAAAAGATATTCAGCTTCCAATCCTCAGAGCAGTACAGATGTAGTCCCTGGGACTGAGTTTAAAACGTCAAGGTGGTAGTCAAGATATAGAAGTGTCTCTGTGTCTTTGTCTATCTTTTGTTAAAATATTTTGTAAACTTTTGGCTCCTTGTCTAATGCAGTGTTTCTCAACCTTTTTCAGTCAAGGCATCCTTTAAAATTCTGCACAATCTTGAGGCACCCTTTAGGCCTCATGCACACATGACAATAAAAAAAGCTCTCCTAGAAGCCTTCCTCCTGTCAGCAGTGTTTTTTGCAGAGAACAGCTGATGTTTGTAAAATGATCTGACGTTTTTACAAGCGTTTAGGCGCGTTTAAAAGTGTCAAGCACTTGGATGTTATTTCTTTTAATTGGCCAGAATAATCATTTATTGTGGCCATTGAAATTAATGGTCAAGCTCTAAATGCACCTAGCGTTAACACGTGTTCAGGCGCATTTACACGTGTCGAGCAGTTTTTCTGCCAAAACGCTGCTGCTTCTGGACGCACTGGCCCTGGGTTTTTCTCTGCCTGTAAACGCTCCTACCACTAAAAGCTCCTAAACGTTTGTGTGCATGAACACACGGAGGGCCATTTGCAAGCAGTAAAAAAAAAAAGTATGACACCCCTAAAAGTAGCTGCAAAAACACGAGGCCTTAAAATTCTGCACAATCTTGAGGCACCCATCACAAAATGTAAAAAACTAAATGAATAGTTTTACAGAACGCAGCAACATCTGCACATGTAGGATACCAGACATTAGATGTGATTTATTCTTCCAAAGCAAATACACTGGTACTGACTTGTATTCCATTGTTTCTCTTCTCCCTCAGTTTCTCTGTCACACTCAGCCAGTGTGACCCCAGTGCTTACAGAGAGGGGCAGGGAAGGGAAAAACAAGGATGCTGTGCAGATGCCCAATGTCCTTCTTATCAACTGATAATATCATTGGTTGTTCTGTCGCCAGTGGCTAGAAAGTTATAATGGTGCACAATGAAAACCTGTTGTTTTGTGTAACTAAAATTCAGGCTTGATCCACCTGATGGCTTGTATACATTTTTTAGCAATTCTTAGGCATTTTGTCAATGCACCCCTGAAGAAATCCGAAGGCTTGTGTTTGTACAGCAGTCTGTCAGCTTTTTTTCGTTCAGCCCGCCGGGTTGAACAAAATAAAAAACTGATAGTGTGTATCGGGCATTAGCGTTTCTCTGATATGTGCACAGTTTTTATGGATATGTAATTTCCACACTGGAATGCAATGTAATACATTATGGAAAGCATTTATGAAGTCGTTCAACTGTCCTTGATATTGAGACTTCCAATTTATCAAATTGCAGGAAGAGCCATGTTTCATAATGGGGTGGAAAGATGATTTAGATATACCGTAGACCGATGTTAAAGTCAGATTTTGTAATATGTGTACGTGTGTAAAGATGTGTGATTGCATATTATGTGTGTTATGCAACTGGTATTTGATTTGCCATTATGGGATGATATGCATTTATTTTTCCTGCACTTGATTTCCAGCTAACTCGAAGATTACAACCCATCAAAGAGGCCAAGCCGCGTTTACAGAAGCTCTTCCGAGACTTCTGGTTGTATTCTGTTCTTATGGGCTTTGCAGTGGAAGGATCAGGTACAATAAAGCTAGGTTCTCACTGTATTATGGTAATATTGGTTTCGAATACATGCCAGATACATTTCCTTCATTCTTCCCTTTTCTTTTCACATTCTAACATAGTCCATCTACACCTGTCCAACAGTATTTCCTAGGTTACAGGCTAGGTTATGTGGTATGCACAATTGTTTTCCTTTCAGGAAAAAAATGCATTTAAATGCTAGAGTTATTGCTCTCGCTCTCTCGGTCGTGATGATGATACTTCACATGTCTGGTGCAATCACTGCTTTTATATGTGCGTGTGACCTACATGCGCTTTTGCATACATTTAAATTCATTTTCTTTAAATATATTAATACACCTTTTCTTTATTTTTTTTATTTTATTTAACTGTCTTGCTGTCACAAGGGATAAACAAAATCCCTTGTGATATTTTGGGCAATGACAGGTACCCTTTATTGAGAGTTCTGGGGTCTATCAGACCCCTGATTTTCTCCACTTCATAAATTGGTTTCATTGGCTGGTAACGGTCAGTAAACAAAAAAACAAAAGCAGAAGTGATGTAATACACGTCATTTCAGCATTCTGAGCTCTGTAAAAATGGGCACCTGTAAAGCTGCTCGGATCATGTTTACATGAAAGCTGGTTGCTGGCTGCAAATTTTGATACCAGGATCATGGCTGCAGCTATTTTCCTGATATAACTGCTTCCTCCCGAGGCTGTATATAAATGGCCTACAGGCTGCGAGTGGTTACAGACATACACTGCAGCCATGCAACAGCCACAACTTTATATTATTCCAGTGTCCATAAAAAGGGATACTACAATAGCCCTCCAGTTAGGGCTTTATCCAATTGGTGTTGTCCTGTACTGACACACCCAATTTATTTTGCTTTGAATTCATTTTTATTCTTATTTAGTGGCTTACTGTATGCTGCTCTCCTTGTTGCAAAAACTTTTGTCTTGTCTTTTTGATTCTTGCTATCTATCAGTACCACATAATTCTGCACAGTCCATTTTTCAGTATGATGTTATAAATATTCAGATAACACAAAGTATTCCCAACACTAGCATATTAAATCGGTACTAAAAGGTGAATTCCATGATGCATACTATGGATAGACCTCTATCTTCTATCTATCCAAGGTTGACCTGTAGGGGCACCACTAACACGTTGCGGATCTACCTTGCCTGGAAGAGAGATGTCCCCATTTTAACTGAGGAGAATTGGACCGAGGGCCTACAGCAATATATTCCCCTTATGATTTCAGCTAAAGTCAGATTTATACTATTAAAGTTTCTTCACAGGGTGTACTATACGCCTCAGAGGCTGTTGGTCATTTACGGCACCGCTGATGCAGTCTGCCCTAAATGCCTCCTAGAGGTGGGGACTTTTATACATATGTTATGGTCCTGCTCATTACTCCAGACCTGTTGGTGAACAGTGGTGGCTGACATGAACGGGATTAGTGGCCTTCGTTTAGAAATGGACTCCTTGATTTGATTACTGGGTGTAACCGATAACCTACCTACCACCACCCATACTAAACTGTTTGTTTCTATGCCGCTTATTATGCAAGCAAAATTATTTTGTCTAAATGGAAATTGCCAGACCCTCCAACAGTTTCTGATTCGTGCTCCATGATCAATGCCATTTTGTCTATGTACAAGCTGACCTATATGGGACGTAATTGCCCTAAAAGCTTGGGTGGAGGCGAGACACCACGCACTGTGACACTTTGAGTGCTATCTTCCCCTTGGTTGCTTAGTCACCTCCCATCCCCGGTACCCCCTAAGCAAGTCTTCTATATGCAAGTCCCTCCCTAGATATGCACTTTGCTTCTGGTCTACCCTGTTTTTTCCTGTTCCTCTTTCTTTCTAATTATATATTTCCTCTTCCTGCCCATGTTTCCTCCTCCCTCTTCCCCTCCCCCCCTCAGATGTATTGTTTTTCTTCTCATGCAAGGTGCTGATTGTCATTTCTTTGTGATCTGCTGATGACTGGTTGTAGTAGGCAATTGTTAGTTGATGATTCTGTTGTGAAACTCATGTATCTCTCTTTTTATAGTAATATTATTGCGATTCACATGTTTACTATTTCAATAAACATTCCTTCAGTTAAGAAAAAAAATTGAATTCCAGCCTTTGGGCCTCTTCATCTCACATGCGCATGCCCAGGAGCCAGTCATCCCAGTGCTCGGAGACCAGCATGGTGCTGTAATCTGAGCTGTGCATTTCATTTTACAGCGCTGCAGAAAACTGCGAGCAATCAGGAAGGGCGTTTTATTGCAGAAGAGAGATTGCATGTCTCTTCTGCAATTAAAGTCTGCCTGCTTGCTATTTCTTACAGCAAAACTTTAGTTCTCCTTAATATAGAAGAATATCTGAAATGTTTGTGATTTTTGGATAGAGTGGGGAAAGTTTAGAACCTTTCAGATTCTTTTTCTGATGTCTATAACCTTATTTTTTTTCTTTCTTTCTTTTACTAATAGAGTAAGCAGAGTATGAAAAAATGTCCCTGTTGGTGCGATTCCCTCAATACTTTTTGTGTTAGACAGAAATGGAGGTACACCTCCCCAGTGGAATGATTTTGACCATCAGGGAGCAAGAAAATAAGACATGACTATGCAGAGGCCCAATGCTTAGATAAGTATACAGTGGATATAGAAAGTCTACACACTCCTGTTAAAATGTCAGGTTTCTGTGATGTAAAAAATTAGACAAAGATAAAGCATTTCAGAACTTTTTCCACCTTTAATGGGACCTATAAACTGTACAACTTAGTTGAAAAACAAAATTAAATCTTTTAGGGGGGGAAGTAAACATAAAAAACTAAAATAATGTGGTTGCATAAGTGTGCACACCATCTTATAACTGGGGATGTAGCTGTGTTCAGAATTAAGCAATCACATTCAAAATCTTGTAAAATAGGAGTCAGTACACATCTGCCATCATTTAAAGTGCCTCTGATTAACCCCAAATAAAGTTCAGCTGTTCTAGTAGATCTTTCCTGACATTTTCTTAGTCACATCCTACAGAAAAAGCCGTGGTCCACAGAGAGCTTCCAAATCACAGAGGGATCTCATTGTTAAAAGGTATCAGTCAGGAGAAGGATACAAAAGAATTTCCAAGGCATTAGATATACCATGGAACACAGTGAAGACAGTCATCATCAAGTGGCAAAAATATTGCAACAGTGACATTACCAAGAACTGGATGTCCCTCCAAAATTGAGGAAAAGACGAGAAGAAAACTGGTCTGGGAGGCTGCCAAGAGGCCTATAGTAACATTAAAGGAGCTGAAGGAATATCTGACCAGTACTGGCTTTGTGGTACATGTGACAACAATCTACTGTATTCTTCATATGTCTGGGCTATGGAGTAGACTGGCAAGATGTAAGCCTTTTCGTACGAAGAAAAATATCCAAGCCTGGCTAAATTTTGCAAAAACGCATCTGATGTCTCCCAAAAGCATGTGGGAAAATATATTCTGGTCTGATGAAACCAAGGTTGAACTTTTCGGCCATAATTCCAAAAGATATGTTTGGTGCAAAAACAACATTGCACATCGCCATACCCATAGTGAAGCATGGTGGTGGCAGCATCATGCTTTGGGGCTGTTTTTCTTCAGCTGGAACTGGGGCCTTAGTCAAGGTAGAGGGAATTATGAACAGTTCCAAACACTAGTCAATATTGGCACAAAACCTTCAGGCTTCTGCTAGAAAGCTGAACATGAGGAGGAACTTCATCTTTCAGCATGACAACGACCCAAAGCATACATCCAAATCAACAAAGGAATGGCTTCACCAGAAGAAGATTAAAGTTTTGGAATAGGCCAGCCAAAGCCCAGACCTGAAAATCCATGACGTGATGTGAAGATGGCTGTGCATAGGAGATGCCCTCACAAAGATTTGGAGTGTTTATGCAAGAAAGAGGGCTGGAATCAAATCAAAAGGTGCTTCAACAAAGTATTAGTTTAAGGGTGTGCACACTTATGCAACCGTATTATTTTATTTTTACTTCCCTCCACCTAAAAGATTTCAGTTTGTTGTTCAACTGAGTTGTACAGTTTATAGGTCACATTAAAGGTAGAAAAAGTTCTAAAATGTATCTTTGTCTCATTTTTTTACATCACAGAAAAATGTGGGGAAACCTTATTTATCCACTGTAGGTTGTGCAGAGCATGGTGTCCAACAGTTATATGTGGACTAGACAACTTAAGATTCAGGTAGAGTTCTTGACAAAGAAAATCTGATGATCAGATAGGTAAAGGTAGGAAAGAGAACGGGACAGGGCAGAAAAACACATTTTTAAAAAATGCCTGTTTACTAGAATGCAGTTTCTCCACTCTGCCAAATTGTAAAGAATATATGCCGCAAAGGTTAACACACCAATTTAGACATAACGATGTTGTAGTGCTGTAGAACTGGCTTATTATATCCCTTGGAACTGCACTTTAACTGGTGTCTTGTTGACGTTGTCTCTGTTTTATGTACAGTTATAAATCTCATCAGCCAAGTTCTTTTGTACTGCAGGTCTGTGGCCTGAAGAGTGGTATGAGGGAGTCTGTGAAATAGCAACAAAATCTCCTTTGCTGACTTTCCCCAGCAAGGAACCTTTGCGGTCTGTCCTTCAGTACAACTCCGCAATGAAGAATGACACCGTAACACCTGTAAGCATTTTTGTCAATTTTTTAATAAGTGTTGTGTACAAAACAATTGTATGGATTTTGATATTTCACATGCAGGCAGAGCTAAATGAGCTAAGAAGCACTATTATTAATCTGCTGGATCCAGCCCCAGAAGTATGTCAAAATATCAACAAACTAGACTTTGCCATGTCCACTTACCTGCTCTCTGTGTATCGGTTAGAGCATATGAGGTGAGCACACCAAAATACATCCACTAAAGTTTTGCTTTTGTTCACATGTTAAACCTGATTTCCGTTATTTATATTTATTCTGTAATTTTTTCCTGTCTGGTAGGGTTTTACACTCCACAGATAAGGACCGTTTCCAGGTCATGTTCTTTTACTTTGAGGATAAAGCTATTCAAAAGGACAAATCAGGTGACAGTTGATTTTATTTGATATATAATAGTAATTGCTTTTCAGCACTCAAATTTACTATATAGTAGCTATGATATTCATTTGTGTTGTATTGAAAATAGTTACATCTTTTACTGTTCATTGTAGATCGTCAATGGGTACACTTTAATGTGCAATTTTTACCTAGCTTGTTTTTTTTTTTTGGAAGGAGAAAGGAAGGGTTAGAACTTTTTGGTTGTTTTTTATTTCTGTCTGTGTCTCTAATGGGGAGGTTTTATTTTATTTCCTGTGACTATGGTACCTAAAACCTAAAATGAAGGTAAATCTCCCCAATAAGAACGCAACAAGAAAAATTATTTTAGTAGAGTACAGAAGGAGTAAAACCTCTGTTGGATTTTTACTGCTGTCTGGGTTCTTCTTGGCAACATTCCATTGCCTTCCTTTACCAAAGACAGAAGTTACACAAGAAACTGTGGAGAAATTTCTATAGCAGAGGGACATATATAAATATTTAAACACACTTGTTCTTATAGGGCATTCTTCCTCATTACATACACAGTCCAATTAAGACCAGCCTATAATACCCCTTCATAATACCCCTTCATTGCCAGGCCATTTTTCAGTTTCAAACTTTGACAGTTACTTTGTAATGCAGCATGTTGCCCAAATTAATTTTGTATAATGTTTTGAGTCAGACTGAGCTTTCTTTTGGTGGTATTTAAGAACTGTTGGGCTTTTTTTACTATAAAAAGGAAAAAAGACAAAAAAAACCTGTTTCTGCTTTCTTTTAAAATAATGCCAGGACAGTGCAAAAAAAAAAAAGAAAGTACCCAAAATTACCTATTTTTTGGAAAGTAGATACTCCAAGGTGATCTAATTTTTTTTGCTACAGTATCTTGGAAATTAATGAACGTGCTAGTGTTGAGGGAGTTGAACACGAAGCTTGTTAATGGTGCACTAGATACATTATTGTACAGGTCATGCACAGAGAGAGGAGGTGGTGAGGGAGTTAATATACAGGTCACATACAGAGGCAGGATGGAGATGAAGGGGTTATTGTGCAGATGTGCAGGGTAAGGGGGTGAGGTGTTAATAAACATGTGACTACAGAGACAGGCTGGAGATTATATGTGGGGAGGGGGTGGAGTGGACATGAAAGGGTCTGTAGCTGCTGATCCATTCATTCTTTATCCATTCACTATTACTATAATCTGTCTCCCTCCTCTATTATAAGAAGACGGGGAGGGATCAACACTGTAAACAGCAGCATGTAGTTACCTGTTGATGCACATCTCATTGAATTGGCCCATACACTTGGTTCACAGTTGTGCAGGTGGTTCCCGCTGCCAGACCGCACCTGTTCCTACAGCCGCAATGAGATGTGTTCCTAATGGCACCCGTATGCACTGAAAATCGCAGCAGCCACTTCCCGTACTGGGAACCACACTGCACTTGCAGTTTTAGTGCCTGATTCAATTCCATAAATGATACAGGGACCATTTCCCTGTGTTTAATCAGCTTACAAAGCTGCAGTAGTGTAAACCTGGCCTTAGGATTATAAACAGCACTGGGCAAATAGACCACCAATCTGCTGTTTAAGGATGTACCCTGGTAGAAAAGGGTTCAAAGTACATCGAAGGTGATGTGTAGGAAGTTGGGGATGATTGCCACTAAATGGCCTCAGAAGAATCTGGAATAGCAGTCAAGCAAAATATTAAAAATGAAAATTGCTTTCAGATAAACATTATGGTAACTAAAATAATAACATATTTATAATTTTACATTTTCTGATTGATTAGAGCTTTAATAAAAATGTGCATCAGTCTTATCAGTAAAATATCAAGAAAGCTTTTTTTTATTTTTATTTTTTATTTTTTTTTTTAATAATTATTCTGTTCCCCTAAAATGTTACTAGGCTAAACTATGACCACCTTTTCTATGTTTTTGCAGGAATGATGCAGTGCATTATTGCTGTAGCTGATAAAGTATTTGATGCCTTTCTAGCAGTGATGGCTGATAAGGTAAAAGTTGAACAAAAGCCTTGTATGTCACTTAGATTTCTGCAGTATGTCATACCACCAAGGTTCCTCCTCTGTACATTTGCACAGATGTTGGCTTCACGATTTTGAAATGGCAGCTTCAAATTATTATATTGCCATTGACAGTTTTGTGGCTTTTAGTAGTTTCAAACAAAGAATTGCAACAAAACAGGTTAAGAGTGAGCAAATCAAAACACCTCTGTAGACACTCCAATCAGGTTTAAACTGAACTTGTGGGAAATAAAATGTTTTTTATAATGATACTTACCTTGTATAGCCAGCAACTGTAGTTTGATGCATGCCAGGCCTATTCCTGTGTCCAGACCTCTGGGAATCCTGAGTAGAAAAGTGCTTCTAACCATCATTTTCTGGTGGATGCTTGCCCGAAGCCACATCTTGTGTTTTGCTATCAGTCGGTGACCTGGCTGTCACACTGATGGGCTAGTAGAGAGTGATGTACAGTTGCTGGGAAGGGACAGGGCAGAGCCAACTACCACAGAAACGTGTCACTGCTAAAGAGAGAACTGGACCTGGTGTGCAGGTACTTTCTAATCCATTTAAATGAGGTTTTTTTTATTATTATTATTATTTTTTTTTTAAATTTAAGCGGTATTAAACCCAAAAGCAAACATTTACTATATTGCAGCTTACCAATTCTTAGATGTCATGGCTGCATTTGCTTTTTTTTTTTTTTTTTTTCTATCTTCATTGGTGAACAAGCCTGCAAGTCTATATTTCTGAAGCAAATACTCTCCAGCAGAATGTATCAGTTTACATGGATGAGAAAAACCACTTAACACTGACAGGGGTGATTAAAATGATCAGCTTTTATGTATACATTTAAAACCTTTATCCCAAAAGAAAAAAAAACTTTTTGCTGTAACTGATTAGAAGTATGAGCTGGAATTTGACTTCAATTTGTTAGTGTATTTAAATCTGCTAATACATTTAACAGTACTCTCCCCCAGACTGACAGTGCTGCTATGCTCCTTCATCCAGAGTGTAGGCACTCTTATACAGGAGATGTGTTACTGGCCAGATCACCAGGTGAAAACTGAGAGGAAAAAAAAGCCATGGAAAAGAAAACTAGTGCAGCCACCACATGTACTGATTGTAAGCTGCAATATACACTGCTCAAAAAAATAAGGAATACTTTGAAAACAGATCAGATCTTAATGGGAAAAAATATCATGCTGGATATCTATACTGATATGGACTGGGTAATGTGTTAGGAACGTAAGGTTGCCCCATCATTTGATGGAAATGAAAATTATCAACCTACAGAGGACTGAATTCAAAGACCTGCAAATCAAAGTGAAAAAATGATGCAGCAGGCTAGTCCATATTGCTGAAATTTCATTGCAGCCACTCAAAATGGTACTCAGTAGTTTGTATGGCCCCCATGTGCATGTATGCATGCCTAAAAATGGGGTATGCTCCTAATAAGACAACGGATGGTGTCCTGGGGTATTTCCTTCCAGATCTGGACCAGGGCATCACTGAGCTCCTGGACAGTCTGAGGTGAAACCTGGCATCGTCAGATGGACCAAAACATGATATCCCAGAGGTGTTCTATTGGATTTAGGTCAGGCGAGTGTGGGGGCCATTCAATGGCGTCAATCCCTTCATCCTCTAGGAACTGCCTGCATACTCTCACCACATGAGGCCAGGCATTGTCGTGCACCAGAAGGAACCCAGGACCCACTGCACTAGCATAGGGTCTGACAATGTGTCCAAGGATTTCATCCCGATACCTAATGGCAGTCAAGGTGCCATTGTCTAGCCTGTAGAGGTCTGTGTATCCCTCCCTGGATATGCCTTCCCAGACCATCACTGACTCACCACCAAAACGGTCATGCTGAACAATGTTACAGGAAGCATAACATTCTCCACAGCTTCTCCAGACCCTTTCACGTCTGTCACATGTGCTCAGGGTGACCCTGCTCTCAACTGTGAACAGCACAGGGCGCCAGTGGCGGACCTGCCAATTCTGGTGTTCAATCGAGCTCTATGGTGCCGGACAGTGAGCACAGGGTCCACTAGAAGACGTTGGGCGCTCAGGCCACCCTCTTGAAGTCTGTTTCTGATTGTTTGGTCAGAGACATTCACACCAGTGGCCTGCTGGAGTTCATTTTGTAGGGCTCTGACAGTGCTCATCCAGTTCCTCCTTGTACAAAGGAGCAGATAATGGTCCTGATGATGGGTTAAGGACCTTCTATGGCCCTGTCCAGCTCTCCTAGAGTAACTGCCTGTCTCCTGGAATCTCCTCCATGCTCTTGAGACTGTGCTGGGAGACACAGCAAGCCTTTTGGCAATGAAACGTTCTGCTTTTGTGGAGGACTTTAAAACTTGGTTGACCATGATTGAAGTTCCTCTTGTATGGTGTATATTCAGAGTAGAACAAGTGTATCCCAGGTATTGGCACAATCCACGGTTTAGTGGCTAGTACTGTGGTTACTGTGGATTGAGGATCGATGGCTCATTTTCCACCCAGGACACCACCTGCATGTAGTTTTTTCTTTAAAACATGAATGCATACTGTAATGTGTAGCTCCATTCAAAATGTGTATGCACAGATTGTTCCAGTACTTCCAGAGTTTTTTTATTTCAATCATACATTGGAAAAAAAGTGTAATACTTGGAACACAATTTGTCCAAGAGTTCAAAAAGGGCTAAGGGGGCAATTAAATAAGCTGCAGTTTACCTTCTTCACAAACTTCAGTTTGCAAAATACTGTGCTGGCATTTTTAAATTATTTCTAAACATGCAGAATGCAGTATAGAGTCAATGATGTCCTTCAGTGTATTCCTGCATAGTGCTGCAGAGAACACCTGCGGATAGGAGAATGGTGTCTCTTGATGCTTGACCTGTTTGAATAAATGGAAAACTATGTTCAAAAAGTACACAGCAGGTCTTTACAAATATCCCAGATAAATCTTTATTAGAAAACCACCAGTATTGCCACAGTTATATTGTAACCACCTCTGTGTAAGTGGACCCATACATGTTAATTGGCATATTTAGCACCATGGAAAGAAAAGTGATCATTTTTGTCCAAAATCATTATACGGCACAGCAAGGACCACATTTTTTGCCAGTCTAGGGACTAGTATGGACCAGGGACCATATTTTAGATAATTAAGTTAGGGTAATGTGTGATTGTTGAAAAATATAAGGCTGTGAGGAAACCAAAATCAAACAATGCTTCATTCACAGAGGTTTTTTAATTCTTCTATTCTGTATTGCATGTCTTGCTTATACCGCATCTATAGATTGAGAGTACTAGCAAATCATAAAGATCTCCTAGCTAAAATTTCACTGAGTTTTCTTGTTTAAAGTGTGTACAAACAAAAACACATATACTCATCTCCATGCTGCAGCATCGGTGTGATGCTGCAGCTGTCGGGATCCTTCCAGATCCTGGAGTGGGTCAGCTGATAGCGGGCATTAGCCTGCTATTAGCTGATTCTAGAACACAGGAGCAAAAGTGCACTCCTGTGACCCACAACAGAAGTATGGTAAAAAGCTTTGGACATACTTGTCTTTTTAAAGTGATTCTAAACCTTGATTTTTTTTTTTTTTAATCAAAATAATAAACATGTAATACCTGCTCTGTGCAATGGTTCTACACAGAGCAGTCCAATCCTCTTTTTGGATCCCCTGTTGGTGCTCCTGGATCCTCCCTCCACCTAGCTTTTCATGGGAGCACTCGTGCATGCTGCTCGATTCCGAGCCGGGCTGTTTGCGTCTATTCAGACACACAGCCTCGCTCAACCCCCCCCCCCCCCCCCCTTCTCTGCTCATAGGCTTTGACTGACAACTGCAGGAGCCAATGGCTCCCGCTGCTCTCAGACAGGCCTGTGAGAGCAGGGAGATGGGAAGAAGAGCTGCTGCAGAGTGCACAGAGCTAGATCAACATTGGACTTTGGTGAGTATTTAGGGGAGTCAAAGAGAGAGCTACCATTAAAAGAGAATTCATTAAAGGATAAGTTCACGTTAAAAAAAAAAATATATAAAAAAAATGCCTATTTTTTTTTTTGCAGGTAAACAAATGTGTATTACTATCACTGGTGCCATGCAGGACTTCTGCAAACTTTCAGTGTATCTGTGTGCCCACACAACCCTTACGGGAAAGCAGATACAGTCTGACAGGAAGACTTGATGAACTACCACAGTGCTCAACAGTGCTGTAGTGGTTCTTTGAGAACTGCAAGCTAACAGCCACAAATGCTGTCGGAAACCTGTAGTTCATTAATTCACAGAACTCTGTTTTCAAAAAGTGACAGCTAGTACCGAAAACTTCTCCCCATACTGCTGTCACAGGGAAGGGGGAGGGGAACAGGCACGGGCTGCAGCAGTGGGAACATGTTACATGTTCCACCAAAAAAATTGGTGGAACATGTAATATGTTCCCAAAGGTGAACTTTTCCTTTTAAGGTAAAAAACCCTTTACCTTTACAACCATTTTTATGTTTCTCTGAAGATGACATACACTCTTAATGGTAAAGATAAAAATAAGTTCTGCTGAGAAAATCTTTATTTGTCAACAGTGCTGGGATACTCTTGCAGACCTTATAGACACTTAAAGCGGAGTTCCACCTGAAAAAAAAATACAAGTCAGCAGCTACAAAAACTGTAGCTACTGACTTTTAAAATATAGATACTTACCTGTCCCCCTGGTCCAGAGGTGTCATCACCACCGCTGGTTTCACCAGCCGTCTTCTCTCCACAGTGCCGGCATCTTCAGTGTGGGCACCAGGCTGTGACAGCTTGCGGCATCACAGCCGAGTACCCACTCCGTATGCATGAGATGCGCTGCGCTTTGTGAATGGGCCCCGTAGTCTTCTGGGACCTATCACGTGTCCCTGAAGACTAAGGGGAGGGGGAGGGGGGTAGGACAACTTTCTCTTGTGATCGCCTAGGCGATTGCAGCGGAAGTGGGAGCAGGCACCTGTTAAATTCGGGTACCCGCTCCCCAAAGGTACCAATCCTTAATTGAAGGCGGGGGACAAAGGCTTAAAGCGGAACTTCCCCTTTTGGGTGGAGCTCTTCTTTAAATATTTATTATGTTTAATATTTGTGTAAAAAGTTGGTTTAAGACCTGTGACAATAGCTTTCATGTACAAAACCATTTATTTTTCATCAGTTTTAGATGCTTCTGAGATCATTCAGAATGACTTGCAGTTGGTCTGTATTTGACCTATTAGCTGTTTTTTTTATTTTTACTAAATTGTATGGACAAAGCCTATCGAGAGTGACCCTTAAATGTTTTTTCCCTTCATCTGGATCATCTGGTCTCAAATTCTTGAATTTTGGTTGCAATCACATGTATCCCATATGCTGGTACTTGTATTTCTTCCTCAGTAAGTAGTATTATGAACGAACATTGTTTAGCGGAATATTTCTTTAAACAATGGCAGATTTTAAAACATTTTTACCTTCATTACCTCGCTGTTAAACTATATCTTCCATTAGCTAGAGTTTGTATTTCAAACATTTTATTTTGCAGCCCAAAACGAAAGAGAATGAGGAAGAATTGGAAAGGCATGCTCAGTTCCTGTTAGTTAATTTCAATCACATTCATAAGCGCATCAGGCGGGTGGCAGACAAATATTTATCTGGACTGGTAGACAAGTGAGTACATATGAAACCATGACCTTTAATATTGCATGTCAGATTTCTAGGTTCTGTTGTTCTCTTTGTATGATGTGTGTGGTATCTTCCTGCTAAGATCAAAAAAGCTCTCTAAGGGCTTGTTCACACTTGACTCAAAATGCAGTCTAGCCTGCATTTTGAGTCAAGTGTGACTCGCAATGACTTGCATTTAATGAACGTTAAACACACCCCCCCCCCCCCCCCCATACGCCTTATGAGCATTTTTGGTGCATTTGAAGCATGTTGATGGCGCATTAAAACAACACCACAAACACCTATTATTACTGTAATGTTATTGCTGCACTGCAAATGCATGCCGGGTGTTTGTGATGCGTTCATTTAAGCAAATTAAACCCAATAGCTGACTGTTTGATGCACTGTCTGACAACCCCTAAATTTTATTGCGGGATCTGCAGGCAACTCTTGCAACAGTTAGTGTCAAAGTGCAAACAATCAAAAGGAGGTTACACTTTGAAGCCTGCAGTCAGTCTCAACTAAAATTTCTCATGAGATTTGAGGCCATCGGTCTGAAAGTACTGGAAATGGAACTTTCTGCATGATAAGTATCCAAAACACACTACCAATTCCACTAAAAAATGACTCAAAATAAATGGAGGGGGGGGACAAGCCTAGTCATAACACATAATTCCATTGCAGTGTTGTGGGATTAGAAACAGGGAGTTCATGCAAGAAATCTTACAAAAATCTTGCAACAAAAGGAATTTTACATTGGAGTGGTCAAAAATGTCATCAAGTCTATGTCTGAGACTGGCAGGCAGTAATTGCAAAATGTGTTCAAGAACGTAATCTCTGCTGAAGGGCAAAAATACCAGCTTCCGAGGCCAAGAGTGTACTTACTTTTTTTTAAAGTACACTATGACATCTATTGATATTTTTGTTGAATACATAATTTAAAGACAAATATTTATTGTGTTTTTTTTATTAAAGTATATCTTATCTAATGGAATTGTCTAATTATGTTTGAATTGTCCTGTCTGGTGTGGTCTAAGTATATACCATGCTTTTTTTAACAAAATTATTTACTTTTGTCACCAATTCCTTTGCAGATTTCCTCACTTGCTGTGGAGTGGGAAGGTGCTGAAAACCATGCTGGATATTTTGCAGACCTTGTCTCTCTCACTCAGTGCAGTATGTAGTGCTCTGTGTCATTCTACAATGCAGAATTCACACAAAACAATCACACAACAATCACATAACACACAGCTGGATCTGTTATCCTATAATAGTTTTGAGACCAAAACCTTTACAGTTAGTAGTATTTGTTATGTGGTGGTGATGAGATCAACCAACAGGAAGGTTACGGCTGTATGAATAATTAAGACATCACATGTTTGCATAACATTTTTGCTTCATTCTTTTTTTGTTAAATAATCATATTTTTTACAACGGTTGTTTAAACCCCTGGCAGTTTGAGAATATAGGTCTTATTTTGACATTTTGTGACTTTCCTGTTATTGAGGAACTGGAAGTCCCTAGTATGTCTTGCTAAACAAATTTTGTTACCTGCTTGTGGAAAACTGTAAAATGCAATTGCTAAATTCCATTTGAAAATGTATTCCTTACCTGAAGCACATTTGCTGCAAGTTCAGTTGTAGTAGATTTAGAAGTTAAGGTTGGGAATGGTAGCCTACATATTTCTCCCCATGCAAGTTTGCTTAACCACCTCACCGTCCGGCTGTTTATATAAACGGCCGGACGGTGGCAGTGCAGGGTTAGGTGGTTGTTTTATAAATGGCCTCCTGCTTGTGCGCGCTCCCTGGGATGTGTGCAGCACCGCGATCCGGTGCCTGCTGTGTCCTCCGGACACAGTGGAACACCGATCATCGTACGGGACCTCTCTGCGAGGTCGTGATCATATGCAGAGTAGTAAGCAAGATGTTGCTTCTGACATCATTGCTTACTACGTGTGAAATCTGTGAATGATCACAGAGGTCACATGGTACAAGGCTATTCACAACAGCCTTGTACCATGTGACAAGCTATGACCAATCACAGCGCACACAGTAGTTCTCAATGGCTGCAAGAATGCAGCCAGAGAGGAGAAATGATTGCTTTTACAGCCTTTATGGGTGTAAAAGCAATCAATGTAAAAAAAAAAAAAGAAGCAAAATCTTCATCACCCCCCACAAGTAGTACAGGGTCACCATGGTGACCCTGTACTACTAGGGTGACAGTTACGTAAAAAAAAAAAAAAAAACCAGTATGTAAAAAAAAAAAAAATAATAAAATAAAAATGTAAATAAAATGTTTAAAAATTATAATTTTTGGTTATAAACGTATTTTGTTTTTTTTTACTAAAAAGATAACAGAATAAATTTTGGCCAAGATTTATGATGAAATATGATTTATTTGCAAAATTTTAGAAAAACACTTTTTTTCAAAATGTTTGGACTTTTTCATTTACATAGCAAAAAAAATAAAAATCCCATTGGTGAATAAATACCACCAAAATAAAGCTTTATCTGTCTCAAAAAAATGCTAAAAAATTCATATGGGTACAGTGTTGCATGACCACACAATTGTCATTCAAAGTGTGATATCACTGAAAGCTGAAAATTGGCCTGGACAGGAAGGAGGTAAAAGTGTCCGGACTTGAAGTGGTTAAAGTTGTTATGCTAAAATGGGAATATGGAAGCTCAATATTTAACAAATTTGTCCTTAATCTGTTAAACATCTACATCATAAAGAGGACAACCTGCCACCTAGGTATTTTTGGTAGCCTTCTGTGTCTTTAATTTCAGATTATGTATTATCACACATCACCACAAAGTCATTAAGAATTATTAAAAATGAATTCCGGGTATGGATATGTTTATGTAGTACATTGGTCCAGCTTGAACTCAATCTAGAAGCTGGAAGTTACTAAAGCAGACACCACTAGGATGTAGGGCAGAGTACAGCGGTCAGTAGAATGTAGGGCAGAATACAGAGGTCAGTAGGATGTAGAGCAGGGTACAGAGGTCAGTAGGATGATGTAGAGCAGGGTACAGAGGTCAGTAGGATGAAGGATGTAGAGCAGGGTACAGAGGTCAGTAGGATGAAGAGCAGGGTACAGAGGTCAGTAGGCTGTAGGGCAGGGTACAGAGGTCAGTAGGCTGTAGGGCAGGGTACAGAGGGCAGGGTACAGAGGTCGGTAGGCTGTAGGGCAGGGTACAGAGGTCGGTAGGCTGTAGGGCAGGGTACAGAGGTCGGTAGGCTGTAGGGCAGGGTACAGAGGTCGGTAGGCTGTAGGGCAGGGTACAGAGGTCGGTAGGCTGTAGGGCAGGGTACAGAGGTCGGTAGGCTGTAGGGCAGGGTACAGAGGTCAGTAGGCTGTAGGGCAGGGTATATAGGTCAGTAGGCTGTAGGGCAGGGTACAGAGGTCAGTAGGCTGTAGGGCAGGGTACAGAGGTCAGTAGGCTGTAGGGCAGGTACAGAGGTCAGTAGGCTGTAGGGCAGGGTACAGAGGCAGGGTACAGTACAGAGGTCAATAGGCTGTAGGGCAGGGTACAGAGGAGAGGTCAGCAGGATTTAGGGCAGTGTACAGAGGGGAAGTCAATAGGATATATTGGAGTGTACAGAGGTTAGTGGTATGTAGGACTGTGGACAGTGTCAGCAGGGCAGTGTTATGCATGTACAGGGGGTCAGAGCAGGGCAGAGACTTCCCTTACACTGCTCTTTTTCTGGTGTGCTCTCTTTTTCTGGTGTGCCCTCTTTTTCTGGTGTGCCCTCCTCCCTTGTCCATCCCATGTGATGTCACATACAATTGCCTGGGATGGACACGTGAGGAGGACGAGCGGGCATCAGCACAGTAAACTAGGTGTGTTTCTTACCTGCACTTCTGTGCATATGTAGGAGGAGCAGTTTAGACTGGGATTAGCAAAGCAGGGATGCAATCTACCCATCATCTGGCCGTGATTATTAGGTAGATTGCAATTGACAGATTGCCGCCTCCAGCTCTAAACTGACTGGTGGTATGAGTTACAAATTTATACAGATTTTTGTTACTTTTCAGGACATTCACAAGGACCAACCATATTACGACATTCCAGATGCCCCATACAGGATAACGGTTCCTGATACATATGAAGCTAGAGAGGTAAGAACAGCTCCTGGCTGTGCAAGTTCTGCAATAGTTTCTGAGTTTAGTGCTTGTCAATTGTTTGTCACATTTGGTAAGGTGCTTTCTATAAAGGGTAACTGCTCTTAATTATGCCTAATGTAGTTTAATTTGTAGAATACACATCGTACATTTGTGATTTTTCTTAGAGCATTGTAAAGGACTTTGCTGCTCGCTGTGGAATGATCCTTCAAGAAGCAATGAAGTGGGCACCATCAGTGACCAAATCCCATCTGCAGGTATTATGCAGACATTGTGTAGTGTTTCAGTGGCCAACCTCTCAACCATGTTGTGTAGTGTTCCAGTGGTAAATATTACAGAGTTGGCGAAAAAAAAAGGATATGTTGTATACTCAAAATTTTCTGCACTGATCGTTGGCTGACACAGTACAACACTCTGTTAGTGGTGAACACCCTGTAGGGAATGTCTAGTAGCTTTGTACATATTTTCTCTGTTTATTGTGATTAAAAAAAGGAAATGTTATATATTTTTTAATTTTGAGTATTTAATTGGAATATCATATAGTCTTATCTGACCAGTAGATGTAGCACTAGACACATTTAGAATCAGACTATACAATCTTCTTTAGATCTATCAACAATTTTGTGGTCAGGGGCCTGTCTGATCGGCTAATTAAGATAATTAGGTAAATCTAAAAGAGATTGTAAACAGTTTATAACATGTTTGGTGAGCTTAAAGGGTTTTAGGGAAAAAATTGGGGAATAAGAGTAAAAGCTGAATATAAATGCATGCCACACTTTTCAGATATTTATTCTTTTAAAAATTTGAAAATCATTTTCCTTCCACTTCATAATTATTTGCCACTTTGTGTTGGCCTATCACATAAAATCCCAATAAAATGCATTTACGTTTTTGGTTGTAACATGACATAATGTGGAAAATTTCAAGGGGTACAGTATGAACACTTTTCAAGGCACTGTATATGGTTTACCTTTTAAGAAAAGGTTTGTGAAAGTAAACGTACACAAATAATTTCAGAATACAAATAATATCAATAAATTTAAGGGATTTAAAGCGGTAGTACACTGCAGGTAAAAAAAGAAGAAGAATCCCCTGCAAGGTAATGTCATAATGTATGCTAGTATGCATCGCATGCTAGCATAGCACATTATGAAAGACCTTAAAACGAAGCCCTCTGTCTGACTGGACGAGCCTCAATGACTTCACTTCTGCACATGTGCTCAGGAGTCCCGGGCCATGGCTAATGCTCTGAAGGAATAGCACGGGTATGCCATTCCTTCAGAGTGCATGTACCAGCTATCAAAAAGAGCTAATATCTCCTAAACAGTGCATGTTTAGAGATATTCATTAAAAGAAAATTATTAAAGAAATGTTTACTGCCAATTTAAGGGAACATTTTGGCAAATCTGGTGGCAGCTATTTGCATATGGTATGTTGTCTCTGTAGTTACCTTTCCTTTACCAGACCGCTACAGTGGTTTGATCTTTACACTTAATCATTGTAAGCTTCCTTTAGAGGCCTTGGTAGCTACCAGTGCTCACAAAACAGACCGTAGTTATTTCGACAGCTTAATCTCAGGAAAACAGAATGCCAAAAGTATTTACATTTAGTTTTGTTTTCCTTAATGTTTAATCTTTATTAACTGAATTAAAAGCATATGTTATGGGATCATACCGGTATATGCATTGAGAACACTATTATTTGGACATATATAGTTGAAGAGTCCAAACAAACGCTATCATAAATCACCAAGCTGTTTCTACTTATATTCATGCTGTAATTTCTTATAATTTACTGTATACTTATCATAAATGCAGCTATGAAGAATGACTGATTGTTGTAATAGATTTTTCTTAATTTGATTTTCAGGAATACTTGAACAAGCACCAGAACTGGATGTCTGGCCTGTCTCAGCACACAGGGCTTGCTATGGCTACTGAGAGCATACTGCACTTTGCTGGCTACAACAGGCAGAACACGACTTTAGGGGTAAGTAGCATGCTGTTGTGCTTTGATTTTTTTTTCACAGTTACCGCCTGTGTTTATTAAAATGTGCAGTTAAACTGAGTTTGTGCAGATGAATTGATGTAACTGCAATATTATGTGCATGCTAGAACACAAATGCCACCAACTATGTTGCAGGTTTTAATGTGGGTATTGTGTGCTGTAAGTTTTATATGGAACTATAAATTATTCCAAGATGAAAAAATAGAAGAACAGATGTGCAACGTGATCTGTATAGTACCTTTATAATTCCTTGATCATATTTACAGCTGTTCCTAATTTTATTATGTATGTCAGTTACTAATTGTGATATTTGCTAACCTGTGCAGACTCTGTCTTGTTATAAAATCTTTTAATCAAAGAACATAGCTGTAAAGAAGAGTGTACATATACCTACATACCTTGTCTGCTGCCCACACCACGCAATGCTGCTTTGTTGCAGAGAACTGATACCCTAAAGTGCACTGGGAAACCATTTCCAGGAGTGTCGATCAATGTAGACCCACCCACCGCTCTCACTGGTTCCACCAGGTGACATCCAGGTCATTACAGGAGAAGTTAGTGATGTGAAGATCAGCAGAAGGAACCAGTGAGAGTTGTGAGGGACCATGGAGATCAACGCTCCTCGAACCTTCCTTTGTCCAGACTTCAGGGGACCAATCCTATTCAACACAGCAGTGTTGAATGGTGTGGACAGCAGGAAGGTAAATATCTGTACTCTTTTCAGGCATGTGATTTGATTAAAAGGTTTTACAATGTAACATGGCCTTTTCAATAAGTACTGCAGACCAAACTCTCAATGTTTTACTTTATCATTCTTTTAAAAAAATAAATATTGTTGCATTTTAGGAAGCACGATTGATGGATCATGACCATGTAATCCCCCAGTTTGTGAACAATTCACCCCATACCACTGTACTTTATTTACATTGTTTTGTGACATTCATTTGTAGTGTTTGTTTTGTCTTTTGAGTTGTTTTACATGCTTATGCTAGACTGTGCATTGATATATAGTGTAAAATAACAGTTATCTTCTCCCCCAACAGTTTTTGTAGGCACTAGTGCAATTTGGTTGCATAGAGATTATTTATCCTAATGATACATGTTAGTTTTCTTTAAATACGCTGCAGATATCGCGCTTTGGTGGAACATATTAACCAGTACTACACACACCAAAAAAAAGTAATGAAAGTACACAGGGCATGTGTATGACACAATGTCCTTCTGCCGCTCTCCAACCACACTTGCCGCAAATTCCAGATTGTCAAAATAGCAGTAGTTGTAGAAGCTGCTGTTGTAACAAAATGACACTGACTGTTTATAAACACTGTGCAAAATAAAAATTTGATCAGCAGGGGATCAGTTTGCTGATCCCCTGCTAATCAGGGCAGAGTGGGCAGATGACAGATTTACATCCACTCAGTTTTTTTCTGCTCTGTGGGGGGCCAGGAGTAAACAGACTCCGTTTACACCCAACATACGTGTACTTGTGTGTGTGTTTGTGTGTCTCTGTGTATGCATGTACAATTGTACATGTATCTATGTACATGTGTCTGCGTGTATGTACATGTATGTGTGTTTGTGTACATGTGTCTGTGTGTGCATGTACATGTTTGTGTGTATGTACGTACATGTGTCTGTGTGTACATGTGTCTGTGTATGTATGTACATGTGTCTATGCGTGTGTATTTCTGTGTATGTACATGTATCTGTGTGTATGCGTGCCTGTATGTGTATACATGTGTCTGTATGTGTGTGTGTGTGTACATGTGTCTCTGAGCGTGTATGTACATGTTTCTGTGTGTGTGTGTGTGTGTGTATGCACATGTCTGTGTGTGTGTGTACAGGCGTCTCTGTTTGTTTGTGTTTGTTGGTGACAAGTAACTCTAAGGCCTGGCTAGTAGCTCAGGACTTAAAATTTTAAGCCCTGCCTTAGACATAACAGATCGCAAATAAGTATATGACACTACATTGGACCTACAATGTGGCATTAGAGCCACTGTTCCAAATCAAGTTAGAGCTACGTCTCCTGGACAGCAAGTAGAAGATTCTGCCTACCAAATACCCCACATTTTTTGGTCTGTCTCTACGATTGCAGGCCTGATGATATTTTTCCTTTTGGGTCCATTCACATGGGGCACTTGACTGCTTGTTCCGTGCAGCTCCGTGTTTTCTTGGCACAAGGATGTGCATGTGTTGCGCGCAACCCTGTGCCAGCAGTCCATAGAAGTCTATTGAGACATGCAGCTATATGAACAGAGCCGCTGTGTCCCAATTTAATGAACGGGCCCTCAAACACACACAGGCTGAGTTTTGAACCCACACTCTCATCTAATTTTAAGACTCGGTGGCTCTGTCCGTGAAGCTGAGTGTACCTTACAGACTTCTATGGACTGCCGGCACAGGAATGCACGCGACATCTGTGCTTCCCTGTGCCCAGAAAATATGAACCTTCATGAGGCGCCCTGTGTGAATGCACCCTATTCTAAGTTGCGATCATTTGTGAAAAGGCCATTTGCTAGCTAAAATAAAAGTTTTGCTATCTATCTATACATTATGTTTATGTATGTTAGATGTCCATATTTATTTGTCTTTTAATGTACACACTAGTAAATTACAGTTGATAGGTAAAGCACACTGTGCATTAATTTGTCTCCCAAAGTTTCTTGTTTGCTGAAGCATTCCCTGTTAAGTGCTTTGTTACATGTTGGCATGCTTACTTATTATTTATGTGTGTGTTTTTAATTTATTCACCAATGTCACATCACCAACGTTAACCCCGTTGCCTTCTCTTCCATTGTGTGCACCAATGATGCGGTCTCATTACCTGTGTTCCTGTTGTCCCTGCCATGCATTGTCTGTTGTTGCCCTCCCCTCCAGTCTCCAGCTTCCCCTTTCCAGGTTTGTTCTAACACGCACCATTTGCCACGCTGTCTTCCTTCTTGTTTCCTGAGCCAGCTTTTTATCCTTCTTCCCATTTTTCTTCCAGTCTTGCTGCTGGAGTCTTAACACACTGTTTTGGAATGGTGGACAGCATTCTGCTTTACTGCAGTCTGACGGGTGCATGGTCACACTTTTTGGGGGCTCTGGTGGGTGTGTCCTATTAACATCTCTGTCTTCTTGCAGGCACAACCAGAGAGCAGATCGTTGGGGGCTGTAAATTGTGCATGATGCACACCACTTACTTTTTTTTAGACCAACCTAGGGAGCTGATTTTGTAATATAAATACTACATTAGCAAAATACGATAATCTTGAAGTTTAGAGTTCTAAATTGATCTTAAAATTACACCTGCCTAGACACCGCAGGAATTAATAATAGTTTCCTTTAGTTTGCTGCACTGATACAGATTTATGTCACTGCCAGCTTTTCATTTAGAGTTGCATGGGCAACACAATACTCCAACCCTTTTCTTCTTGCTAGGCAGTCCAAAATTTATTTGTAAAATGTTTTAAAAATGTACATAAAGGAGGTAAATAGAGGAACCATAGTTTTTTGTTAACAGTTTTTATAAACTCTTAACTTCAGTATTATCAGTAAGGTTAACAAGGCACTTATTTTGTACAGCATGATTTTTTCAGGATGAACTTTTTTTTTCATTCTGTTGCATTTTCTTTTGCTTTTTTTCAATGTCACTCTTGATTCATTGATGTCCTGAACGTCAGGTAGTGCAATCTCTATACTTGTGTCATTGGCAAATATCTGCTAGGAAGATGTAATCGATTAGCCCCCTTCGACACTTCTCTCTGTTCACAGCCACTTCTACTATCCGCAGCTCCGATTTTTAAAATCTCTGCTGAAATATAGAGGAGGCATATGGTTCATTTCATTGGATGTTACTTTTCATACCTTACAGCCAACTCAGCTAACAGAGCGCCCAGCCTGTGTGAAGAAGGATTACTCCAATTTTATGGCATCTCTTAACCTGCGCAACCGTTACGCTGGAGAGGTAGGCACCTGTGGTTCTTTTACTTTGTGTACAGTATAAGAATCTGTACCAAATGAAGTACCTGGTCTTTTCATATAATGACTTGTTTTTAATGTTCCATACTTTTTCACATTAAGTGGTGATGCAGGGAGTTCAAAACACTAAAGATCACAGGAACAGATTTTTATCTGGCAGAAAGAGTTGTCAGAGTTTAAGTAATATTCACTGGCAGTGGTACATGGTGCAACCGTGCCAGCAAGTTAGCATCTATTAGTTCACTATAAAGTTTAAAGGCCAACTCTGCCTTTTGCACCATGTTATGTGTTCTACACCAATCAGCCATAACATTATGACCACCCACCTAATATTGAGTAGGTCCCCTTTTTGCCTCCAAAACAGCCCTGACCCGTTCAGGCATGGATGCCAGAAGGTATACTGTGGTATCTGGCACCAAGCCATCAATAGCAGATCCTTTAAGTCCTGTAAGTTGCAAGGTGGGGCCTCAATGGATCAGACTTGCTTTTCCAGCATATCCCACAGATTCTCAGTTGGATTGAGATTTGAAGAATTTGAAGGCCAAGTCAATACCTCACACTTAAAGTGATATTAAAGGCTGTTTTTTGTTTTAAAATAATAAACATGCCATACTTACCTGCTCTGTGCAATAGCTTTGCACAGAGTAGCCCCGATCCTCCTCTTCATGTATCCACCGTCTGCGCTCCTGGCCCCTCCTTCCTGCTGAGTGCCCCCAGAGCAAGCAGCTTACTATGGGTCAAAGTGCGGGAACTTCCTGCGCTAAGAATGGGGCCCTATTTACCAAGCAGCTGACACAAAACTCCTTACCAAGATGAGTGAATACATATCAATATAAAGTGCAGCGCTCTCCCTAAACTAATTATATATAAATATAAAGTGCACACTTGGCTAAAAAGTGCTCTACACAATGACACAAAGTACTAAACATATGTGCAAAAATTGTGCATTTACAAATATGTGCATTAGCAAAAAATTGTGCAACCCGTGTACTTCAAAATGAGAATAAAGTGCAATCAAAATGAGAATAAAGTGCAATAAAAATCACTCCAATCATCTGTTAAAAATAATGATAAATCCAAAGTAAGATTAAAGTGTCCAAATGCAACAAAAGGACTAGCAGTCTTCATGCATGTGTCACACGTGTCCACACTGTGTGAATCCAAACTTTAGCCGTGATGGCCCCTCACCTCCTTGCCAAGACCCTACGGGGTCAGCTCGCTTTACAGCAGGACACCCTTTAGATGGCTCACCAGGACCTTCCCCGCCTTTTACACTCTAACAGCGATCTCCTCCAGTATCCCAGTCTTCAATGATATACAGTAAGATTTCTGCTTGTTTTCAAATACTTTTTTCAACCTTTGTTAGTAAATCTTGCCAACTTCAGCTCACATGACCCAGAGAGCCTGTGCGACCTGCAGGAAGGATCAAAGTGCCAGCTGTAGATACTTGTGTTATCCTGATGAAACTTCTCTGATAGGGATTAGTGCACCATCAATGGTGGGTCTTGGCAAGGAGGCGAGGGGCCATCACGGCTAAAGTTTGGATTCACACAGTGTGGACACGTGTGACACATGCATGAAGACTGCTAGTCCTTTTGTTGCATTTGGACACTTTAATCTTACTTTGGATTTATCATTATTTTTAACAGATGATTGGAGTGATTTTTATTGCACTTTATTCTCATTTTGATTGCACTTTATTCTCATTTTGAAGTACACGGGTTGCACAATTTTTTGCTAATGCACATATTTGTAAATGCACAATTTTTGCACATATGTTTAGTACTTTGTGTCATTGTGTAGAGCACTTTTTAGCCAAGTGTGCACTTTATATTTATATATAATTAGTTTAGGGAGAGCGCTGCACTTTATATTTATATGTATTCACTCAGCTTGCTATGGGGGCACCCAAATAAGACACTGCTCTGCATGTCCATTTACACATAGAGCTATGGCTTGCCCCCCCCCCCCCATTGGATTACTGATTGTGATTGACAGCAAAAGTAGCAAAAGCTTCTACTCATGTGCTGGATGATAGACTCCACAGTAACTAGAACCAGACATGAGATGCCTAGGAGATGCATGCCTTGCTACCCTCAACGAACCAGGGGAATACAAATGAACTGCATGCAAAGAGACGAAACAGAGGGCACACAGGCCTTTGTGCATTAACATTACCTTTAAAAAATAATTTATTGTATAAAAAATGGTAATATACTCACAAAGGATAAAATGTCAAAGGCACATCATATGAAGTACAGCAAGGTCCAGTCACACTGGATAATATCTGTAATGGGATCAATAGACCTCCAACTGGCTGACGTGTTTCAAGGCCTTGCCTCTTCCTCAGAGCCTGCACTCCTGGCCCCTCCTTCCTGCCGAGTGACCCCGGAGCAAGCAGCTTGCTATGGGGGCACCCTAGCAAGCTCATTTATGAGCCGCTGCTCTGCATGTCCATTCACACATAGAGCTTTGGCTTGCCCCAACTCCCCCCCATTGGCTCACTGGCTGTGATTGACTGCAGCAGTAGCCAATGCCTCCCATTGCTGTCTCAGCCAATGAGGAGGGAGAGTCTTTGGACAGCTGGGGCTTTCGTGCACATTGCTGGATCGCAATGGGGCTCAGGTATGTATTAGGGGGGTTGGGGGGACTGCATGAAGGTAAAACACCTTGAGCATTTGCAACCACTTTAAGCTTCCTTGTTATCTAAGAAATATTTCAGGACAGGTTCACTTTAAGGTGCACAAAGATATTGTGTCTGCATGCCTGACTGCAATCTGCTATAAAGTACATTCTAAGATAACAATATTAGTCCTGCAAACATGCCAGAGGCAATTGTTTTTGCAAAGGATGAAAAAGAGTAAATTATCTGCAGGGCTGTTGGCATCAGAAGCATATTGTAGGGGTTGCTGGAACTTGTACATCTTGCACAAAAACCTGAAGATATTATCCACCTGTCATTCTCAGGGAGATATCTGCCTGTCTATCGCCAGTCTTAACGCTCCAGACAAAAGTTTCTACTTTCTTGTCCTTTGAGAGGCACAGGAATTCTTAGATTTTCGGGTTTATATTGCTGCCTATAGGTGAAATAGACTTTGGTAAAAATAAAAAGGCAACACAGGATAATTTCTCCCACAACCATCCTGCCTAATGAACTCAAGAGAGTGTACATGTTTTCTTGAAATCTGCCGTTATCTCATTTGGAAGATTTTTTTCTACAATCGATAGCTGCTGCCGGATTCATGCTGGATGTGTTGAGTCCTGGAAGTCTCTCCAGTTAACCAACAAGATGCATGTTTTCCCAGTTTTTACTGGTGTTCTCTCTGCAACTGTCCTGCACTATCTGCAGCTACTGGTAGTTTCAAGCCAGATCTGGAAATCCTAGAAAGCTCTTCAGTTAACCAAGCAGCAGGGGTTTTCAGTTTTTAATTTGAGCTGGTGTTTTCTGTGACAGCCCTGCAGTCAGCAGTGATTAGTTGTCTGTGTTCCAGTTCACACAGGACTCCGCTATTCAGGTCAGGCCAGTAGTCTGGGGATTCCCTGTGGAGTTATCGATCCAGAGCTGTGGCAGTTTTTCTGTTCTTGTCTCTTCAACTCACTGTTGCAAGTTCCTAACAGGTTTATGTTTGAGGTCCCTCTGTTTTCATTTCAAAGGCTACGTATATATTGTCTTTTGGCATCTGTTGTTATTTGACCATTTTGTGGGGGGAGTTAAAGTATATGAACCCTCACCTTGTAAAACAACCCATTTAGTTTAAAATAGAAATCAAAGGTAAAACATTTATGTGTACATATAAAAAACATTATAAATACCTTTTTTTTTTTCTTTCTTTCTTTTTAAGTGATTTCATACCCTCTGTTCTCAGTTGCATAAAGAGCTGGGGAAGGAGAAACAGCAGGACACTGGTCTGTGAATGGCTGTGCAGGGAGAAGCGTGTCAGCACAAGTCTATTAATTGGAGGAGAGCAGACTGAGTTCTCAGCATAGATAGAAAACTGACCACGCTGTGCTCTTGCCTAGTGTGGTCAGTTTATAATAGGAAAGCAGAGGGACTGGCAGGAACACCAGGGTTTTTACACATACTTTCTCATACAAGTATATGGTACAGCAGGCACGTATTTTGAATATGGAATGTTGGGTTGACATATTCTATAACTTCTTGTTGTTAAGACTTGCTTTATGTAGTTTGCAAGTTATTTACATGGAAGAGCCCTCTTTATTTTTCTGCTATGGGACACGCAAGGAAAAGTTGCTATTTTTCTTTTCTTGCCTCCTCCCTTCTTCTCTAGTAGCATTTGATTATATGGCTCTAAAAAAGAGAGAGAGCAAGTGCCTGCATGCACATATGGATTCTCAGCTTCCCTCCCTCCTATGTCATTCTGGGGTGGAGTTATTGTGTGTCTGCCACTTCAAACATCAGAGGTTGAGAGAAGGAAATGAAATGGCTGAAGATGACATTCTGAGATAATTGAAGCTCTTTGGTTGGCCCCACCTCCTATACAATAAGACTTGGTACCCTATTTGTTTTATTGATATGATATGTAATTTATTTTCATACAGTGAGAGGGTTATGCATTTATCAAATCTTGCTGGGGACACTATGGGGTTTATTTACTAAAGCTGGAGAGTGCAAAATCAGGCTTGCTTCTACATAGACTGCTCAGTCACCTTTGGGAATGTGTTACATGTAACACGTTTCCAATGCAACAGCCACTGGCATATTCCCCCCTGTGACAGCAGTACAGGGAGAAGTTCCCTGTACTAGTTATCACTTTTTTAAATAATCATGGCCTTGCAGGGCTCCACTACATGGCCACATCATTCATTCACAGAGTTCTGTGAATGAATGAACTACAAGTTCCGACAGCCTTAGCGGCTGTGTGCTTGTAGTTCTCAATGAACTATCATGGTGCTGTGGAGCACTGTGGTAGTTCATTGAATTTTCCTATCAGTATATCTGCTTGCCCGTACATCCCGTGTGGGCAAGCAGATATACTGAAAGAACTGCAGGAGACCTGCATGGCACCAGCAACCTGCTGATTGCTGGTGCAATGCTTTACAGGCCCCAGAAACAAAAAATAATAAATGTACATATTTTTTACCTGCAAAAAAAATGTGCATTTATTATTTTTTGTCAAAAGGTGAACTTCTCCTTTAAGGGTGGTAACACATTTTGCATCTCTGATACTTAGGTTCAGAATAGGGTTTCTGATGGGTTACAAACTGGAGTTACGCTCCTTACCTGCACTTCCATTTTCATTTCCATCCTTTGTGTGTCAGTGCACACTTTAGCTGATCTCATTGAAGCCTTTGAGGGCTTTCTTTACTTTTGCCACAGTTGTTGTGGCAAAACAGTTTATATCAGTTTATCTAATCTATTCACCATTCTCATACCCAAAGGGGATCCTTTTTTGTTTTTATTCTAGTCCAGAAAATTTGGAGAGTATCAATAGGTTATATCCATCTCCCTGCACCATGGTGACTTTCTGGTTTCTGTTGACTTAAAGATTGTGTACCTACATGTCCCCACAAGTTTTTCAGCACATCAGCATTTCCTTCGCTTTATTGTGCAGCCTTTACATTAACAGTTTGTGGCCCTACCCTTCAGCCTCTCATCTGTGCCTCAGGGGTTCACCAAGGTGCTGTCCCCGGTTTTATTCCCCCTGATTGTGTAGGATACTTAGTCGACCTTCTGCTGAGAGAACAGTCGACATGGAACATTTTGGACAGCGTAGCTTTGACTGCCCAAGCATTCTAGAGGTTTGGATGGATACTGAATCTTTAGAAATTGTCGCTTGAATGGACTCTTGTTTGGAGTATTTTTTGTCTAGTCCTAGACACAACTCGGGCCAGAATGTTGCTTCCACAGGTGAAATTTCCGACTCTCGGAACTAACTTTTCCAGTGCAGAAGTCATATGACTTTCAGCTGTTGCATTAGGTTTGGGCCTGATGATAGCCTCTTTTCGAGGTTGTCCTATTTTCCCTGTTTAATTCCATACTTCTACAGTGCAACTTTTTGTTGTGGAACAAGTCCGACAAATCCCTGGACAGACCTGGGGAATCATCCTTTTCATGTTTTCTGGAAGGTCTTCATCACAGATATCAGTTTCTCTTGCTGGAGGTAGGGGTGGGGTGGGAGTTCCTAAGCACCTTTCTGATGCATGTGATTTGATCACTGGAAAAATCCTGTCTTCCAGTCAACATCCTGGAACATCAGGGCAGAACCAGATGTTTCCCTGCAGCAAGACTGGTAGTTAGGAACATGCAGTTCTGGCCAGGAAAGGATCCAGTCTTTTGTGCTGTCTACATCTAGGTGTAGACAATTGGCTGAAAGTCTTCCTTTAGCAACAGCAACTGGATTTGGGAGAGTGGGTCACCACTCCTGGAGGTGTTTCAGGACCTGTGTTATGGGTGGGTGATCTGTTATTAATGATAAGGCTATGGCTGGGTAAATGCACACCATGTATCATTTGTATTTGTTGTATGTTGGCATGTAAAGAAAATCCAAATTTTTTTTTTACTTTTGTGTCAGGTTGCTGGCATGATCGAGTTTTCTAATGCTACTGGTCGCACGTCTGACCTGAATAAACTAATGATGAAACACCTGATTGATGCTCTGGACTCGGGGCTGCCAGAGTCATATACACAGGTCATGTTCAAGCTGACAGCCTTGCTCATAAGCAGTAAAGGTAGGATATATTTGTGTAGCTGTAACTGCCTTTATAACAAAACCACACAATGTATGAATGTTATGAATGTTTGTTTTTTCCCAACAGAATGTGATGCTCAGCTTTTGCACCATCTCTGCTGGGCTCCACTTCGCATGTTTACTGACCATGGGATGGAGACCGCTATTGCCTGCTGGGAATGGCTTTTGGCAGCTAAGAATGGGATTGAAGTGCCGGTAAGGTGTCAAGTGCTATCATGTTTACTTTGCTGGTTGATGTCCTCCTGGAGATTTAAAAAAAAAAAAATTAATTTTCAGTCCGGAGCTTTCTCCTGCAGTACATTTTTTTTTGCTCAATATCCCTCAACAGGGAAGACTAAGGAAAGACTGTGTGTGATTGGAGTCATGGCTCTGCCATAGTGCTGATGTCACAACATTCTACTAGTGTAGGATTTGCTCTCAAGTGTTAGTATATCACTATGCATATTTTTGCACAGAGACCACCATTTGAGAATAGTCTTTTAGAAGTGTAAAGATTTGGACATCTATTAATTTATGTGTCATCACGAACACTTAGTAACTGGATGAATTTTCACAGTGTGGAGGACTTTTTATTGCATCTGTTGGGTAATTGCTAATAGTGGTTTGTGAGCACCAGCTTTAATGTGTGGAGTACTGTTTGCAGCATTTATGTATTAATTTTTTTTCATGTTTTTTTATATACATGCACTTAAAGTGGTTGTAAACCCTCTCATATACCCAGTGAAGTGAATAGTCTCAGATGATACACAGAGATGAAATAAATCATCCTCCATGTGTTTTACATGTTTATCTGCATTCTTCTCTTTTCTACATCCCTTCAAAAGTGTTGAATTTATCCTTCTGCATCTAACAGTAGCACAGAGGAGGGGCGGGGAGCTGCAGTTGTAACTCTTGTACAGTGTGTGAGAGCTGATTGGAGGAAAGGGACACTCCCCCTTTCACATACATGCAGAGCAGTGTTGTGAATAGACAAGCTATTTGCTCAGCTCTCCTCCCCATCACCATTTTATCTCTGGTGTCATGACAACTTGTCAAAAGTGACAAATGCCTATAACAGACAAATGAAGCACCAGAGAGAAATGGTACTTAGAGCTTTGGAGAGAGACAAGTAAGCACTACAGATACAGTGGGGATCGAAAGTTTGGGCACCCCAGCTAAAAATTTGTATTAATGTGCCTAAAGAAGCCAAGGAAAGATGGAAAAATCTCCAAAAGGCATCAAATTACAGATTAGACATTCTTATAATATGTCAACAAAAGTTAGATTTTATTTCCATCATTTACACTTTCAAAATAACAGAAAACAAAAAAATGGCGTCTGCAAAAGTTTGGGCACCCTGCAGAATTTATAGCATGCACTGTCCCCTTTGCAAAGCTGAGACCTGCCAGTGTCATGGATTGTTCTCAATCATCGTCTGGGAAGACCAGGTGATGTCAATCTCAAAGGTTTTAAATGCCCAGACTCATCTGACCTTGCCCCAACAATCAGCACCATGGGTTCTTCTAAGCAGCTGTCTAGAAAACTGAAACTGAAAATAGTTGACGCTCACAAAGCTGGAGAAGGCTATAAGAAGATAGCAAAGCGTTTTCAGATGTCAATATCCTCTGTTCGGAATGTAATTAAGAAATGGCAGTCATCAGGAACAGTGGAAGTTAAAGCAAGATCTGGATGACCAAGAAAAATATCAGACAGAACAGCTCGCTGGATTGTGAGAAAAACAATTCAAAACCCACGTTTGACTGCACTCCAGAAAGATGTGGCAGACACTGGAGTTGTGGTACACTATTCCACTATAAAGAGATACTTGTACAAATAATGGTCTTCATGGACGAGTCATCAGAAGAAAACCTCTTCTACGTCCTCACCACAAAAATCATCGTTTGAACTTTGCAAATGAACATATAGACAAGCCTGATGCATTTTGGAAACAAGTTCTGTGGACCGATGAGGTTAAAATTGAACTTTTTGGCCGGAATGAGCAAAGGTGCGTTTGGAGAAGAAGGGGCACAGAATTTAATGAAAAGAACCTCTGTCCAACTGTTAAGCATGGGGTTGGATCAACCATGCTTTGGGGTTGTGTTGCAGCCTGTGGCACAGGGAACATCTCACGAGTAGAAGGAAAAATGGTTTCAATAAAATTTCAGCAAATTTTGGATGGTAACTTGATGCCAATGTGTGAAAAAGCTGAAGTTAAAGAGAGGATGGCTTCTACAAATGGATAATGATCCTAAACACACCTCGAAATCCACGGGGGATTACATCAAGAGGCGTAAACTGAAGGTTTTGCCTTGGCCTTCACAATCTCCTGACCTTAACATAATTGAAAATCTATGGATAGACCTTAAAAGAGCAGTGCGTGACAGACAGCCCAGAAATCTCAAAGAACTGGAAGACTTTTGTAAGGGAGAATGGGCAAAGATACCTCAAACAAGAATTGAAAGACTCTTGACAGGCTACAAAAAGTGTTTACAAGCTGTGATACTTGCCAAAGGGGGCAGTACAAGATATTAACTCTGCAGGGTGCCCAAACTTTTGCAGATGCCATTTTTTTGTTTTCTGTTATTTTGAAATGATGGAAATAAAATCTAACTTTTGTTGACATATTATAAGAATGTCTAATCTGTAATTTGATGCCTTTTGGAGATTTTTCCATCTATCCTTGGCTTCTTTATGCACATTAATACAAATTTTTAACTGGGGTGCCCAAACTTTCGATCCCCACTGTATATGTGCTTTGTTCAGATTTCATGACTGAGGTTTACAGCCACTTTAAGTTTTTCTCAGGTATCCAATATATATAGAAGGTTTTTAGGTTTTGTTTAGTATTTACAGCTTTGGTTAGCACTGTACCTTATACGTTTTTTTGGGTACTATTAGCCTTTCGCTACCTGTAATCATGAAGGCTCCTTGCTGGCAGAACACAATAGTGCTGCGGGAGGGATTCCCTCATCAACACTGTCTGTGGTGGAAGAAAAGAAAATCGATTCATTTATGACCTGTCTTAGTCTTTTGCTACTGCCTCACTGTCCAGTGATAGGCTTGGACAGGGAGGTGACCTAACTGTGTTGCTAACTGCAGTATAGAAAAGTCAGAACACCAGGCTGGTTGTACTGCCTGGCAGGACTGTGTAAATCTCAAGACCAGATGGACAGAAATACAAATGCTTTGTGGGCAATGTAACATGTTACACCCATATTCAGGGTGTAACGTGTTATGAACAGACTGGCCCCCTTTCCCTGTTGTGACAGCTAGCGGCGGCTCTTCTGCCTGCTAGCTTTCAAAATTTTTTTACAAACACGGTCGTGTAGGGATCTGTCCACCTAGCCACATATTTAATTTATGTTGTTCTGTGAATGAATGAACTACAAGTCTCCACAGCCTTAGCGGCTGTCTGCTTGTAGTTCTCAAACTACCACGGCACTGTAAGGTGCATTGGTAGTTAATTAATTCTACCTGTCATTATATCTGCTTACCCATACATCCCATATGCGCAAGCAGATATACTGACAAGTCCTCAGGAGACCTGCATGGCACCAGCGATCTGTTGATCACTGATGCAATGCTTTAGAGGCTCCAGAAACAAAAAAATAAATGCAAATTTTTTTACCAGCAAAAAATGTATTTTATTTAATTTTATATTTTATTATTTTTTTGTAAAAAAGTGAGCGTATTCTTTAAGCCTTTCCTCTATTTCAACATGCATATATTAACTTGTTTGTTTATTTTGCTGTTATTTTGAAGCACAGGTAGCACCTTCATGTCGTTCAATGTGTGTTGCTGTAAAACAAGGTTGCCACTAGAAATGAAGTGCCATTCCCAAGCTAAGGCAACATCAGTATTATTAGTTTAAATAAACTGTCTTTGTGTCCTTCCATTTGATGAAGCAGAGAGAGAAAAATCACTGTATGAGTGTGAAAAGATTGCAACGGTTTTTTAAATTCTAAAAGTTATATCATTGGCATCTTGTATGATACCTCCTTATCTGCTAACGCATATTGTATTGTGACAGTTCATGCGGGAGATGGCTGGAGCTTGGCAAATGACAGTAGAGCAGAAGATTGGAGTGTTCTCACCTGAGCTGAAGGAAGCTGATCCCCTGGCTGCCTCGGAGCAGAGCCAACCTCATCCATGTCCACCGGAAGTGAATCCGCACTATATATGGATTGATGTAAGCAACATAAATGTAACTGTTTTATAATTTAATTATGTTCACGGTTCTTACTGCTTTAACCACTTGCCAATCGCGCTATAGCCGAATGATGACTACAGCGCGGTTGTCCAGTTCTGGGAGGGTGTCATATGACGTCCTCCAAGAACACGCCCTCCCCGTGCCCCCAGCTTGCACAGCATCCCGCGTGCCCCCAGCTGCACGCACCCGGTGATCTCCATGATTGCTGTGTCCTATGGACACAGCTGATCACGTGATGTGGCAAACGGCCATTCACAGCGGCTTTTTTTACTACATGATCAGCTGTGTCCAATGACACAGCAGATCACTGGGTAAATACAGTTGTCGGTTATCGGCTGCACTTTCCTCACGCTGTCACAGCATGAGGAAAGTACTGCCGATAACTGGCAATTGTCAGAGAACAGATCAGCACTGATCGTCAGGGCACTCCACTTGTGCCACCCAGCAGTGCCACCCACCAGTACCCAGCAGTGCCACCAGTCAGTGCCATCAGTCAGTGCTGTCCCATTTGTGCCACCTATCAGTGCCCATCATTGCTGCATATCAGTGCAGCATCATCAGTGCCCATCATTGCTGCATATCAGTACAGCATCATCAGTGTTGCCTATCAGTGCACCATCATCAGTGCTGCCTATCAGTGCAGCCTCATCAACTCATATCAGCGAAGGAGAAAAATTACCTGTTTGCAAAATTTTATAATAGAAACAAAAAAATTTTTTGCTCTTTTTTTGTTTATAGCGCAAAAAATAAAACATCCAGCAGCGATTAAATACCACCAAAAGAAAGCTCTATTTGTGTGAAAAAAAAATGATACAAATTTCATATGGGTACAATGTTGCATTGTCATTCAAAGTGCGACAACGCTGAAAGCTGAAATTTGGCCTGGGCAGGAAGGGGGGTATAAGTGCCCAGTAGGCAAGTGGTTAACAAAAGGGAAATCTGGATACTAGAAATGACTGCACAATTGCTCTTTGCACTTCCCGCTTCAATAATACTAAAGCTCACAGTGCAGTTTTGAACTGACTGTGTAATCTCTGTGTAGTCTCCTTTAGATTACCAAAACTAGGTAATACGAAGGCCTACCTAAACTATTCAATGAATTTGTATTAAATCGGACAGACCTTATACAACACAGCTGTTGATTGATCTAAAGGAAATTGTGCAGTCAGATTGTAACTTGTGTGAGGTTTAGATTGTTTTATGTGTTAAGATAACATAAACAGGTAAATAGAGGGTTCTGTGTGCTACATATCTGCTTTTACATGATCCTGACTGCATAGTGGTTCAAGAGTAGTCCTGCCACAATAATGTAGTCAGACGAATTATTTCTCTAGTCTTTGGACTTGCATCTCTGCAGCAAGAATTATTTTTAATGTTGGCTATGATTGAGGAGGAGTAGAATATCTGTTGGATTTTTTTGTTGCTGTCTGAGAATTCTTTATTTTGACTTCCCCTTATTTCCTGACAATGGTTTTACCTCAGAGGAAGTGAGGGAAAATCTCCGACAGCAGCACAGACAGAAATAAAAAAACTTTTTTATTAGTAGAGTAGAAAAAGCCGTAAACCCATATCAGATTTTGATTGTCGTCTGAGTTATTGCTGCAGCTTTCTCTCACTCACTCCTTGTCTGGTGAAAAAGCTGTCATCTTGACAGTGAGGGGGAGATAACTTTAATGAAACCACAAAAAGTAATATTAATGTGGAACGTCACACTGTCAATCAACATTGACTATTTGTAATCCTTATGTTGCTAGCATTAGTAAATAGATAGGAAAGTATATCATATTTACTTGTTTTAAACTTTGTTTTGACTCATGAATCATCCGCTCTTACTCAACATGGCCACTGCCAGAAAGCATGGAGACATGGATAAATGGGGGAATTTTCTTTGAATATTATAAATTAAATAGCATTTCTGGTTTATGGTGCTTATATGCAGTGCAGTTCCACTTTAACCTGATTGGGCTTCTAATCTTTTCCTATTTTATCCAATTTTTTTTTTTTTGGCTGGACGTGCTTGCTTCACTCGGGTTAGAACAAACAAATACTCTAGCTGCTGACTTTTATGTAACAGGTACTTATCATTCCCTGGAGTCCAACACTGATTTTCCTGCAACTGATTCTTTGTTGGGCTTCCACGTTCTGGTGCCATCATCTTGGATTTGTGAGCCAGCTGTTACTCCCTGACATCAGCTACACACTCACAGACCGCTCCCCCACTGCGCATGCAGTGAGACTGGTCCTGCAGCCTCCTGGGACATGTTTCGAGTCTAGAAGGTGGGCTAATGCAGGTAATTCTCTCCCCTAAGCGAAGGTTAGGAAGTAGATGTGGGTACCTGTTAAAGAAAAGGTACCCACTCCCTAAAAAAAGATGGTGCAAATGTGTTAAAGGCTGGAGGGAGGAAGTGAAAGCCGCACTTTCCTTTTTCCTTTTCCTTTCTTGGGTGATGGTCCACTTTAGGGATTCAGTGAATGCCTGGAAAACATTTTTTATCTTATTGTTTTAGTTCCTGATGCAGCGGTTTGAAATCGCTAAGTACTGCAGCTCAGACCAGATCGAGATATTCTCTAGCCTTCTACAGCGCTCCCTCTCTCTGAATATTGGAGGATCAAAAGGCAGCATTAACAGACATGTGGCAGCCATTGGTCCTAGGTTCAAGTAAGTTCTCTTAGTCTTATTTATATTAAGGGAACAGATTGAATATGGAAATAGCTTTTATTTATGCAAGTTGCCATATATATTATTTGACCTTGCCAGTTTTCTGAAGCAATATCTCTCCACTTCAGGCTGTTGACCCTTGGGTTATCATTACTGCATGCAGATGTGGTCCCAAATGCCACCATCCGTAATGTTCTTAGAGAGAAAATATATTCCACAGCATTTGATTACTTCAGGTACATAGAAATGTTTGTTTACCTGTTTATTTTTTTTTTTTTTTTTTTTTCTTGTGACCATGCTTATAAAGACAGCTCAACCTAAAATAGGTATTGTTTTGTCAGACATATTTAAAATCATATTGTGTGCTTTCTCAATGGATAGTTCTTCGCCTAAATGCCCAACACAAACGGAGAAGCAGCTGAGAGAAGATATTAGCATCTTGATAAAGTTTTGGACGGCTATGTTTTCTGATAAGAAGTATCTTACTGCAAACCAGTTGGTTCCTCCAGGTGAAAAAACTTTGCTAAATAAAACCTTGTGTTGGAGCTCCTTTCTGTTTAACATATTTTACACTTGATGTCGATATATTGGATAAACCATACATTTTACACAACTGTTGAAGTTTTAAAACACAAATTCTGGCAATAACTTACCTGTTATTTGACCAGGATGAAATGCAGATTCATGAATACATTTCCTATAGTATGAATGTACAGTACAGTGTATAGAGTACAGTAGTCTCGGGAATATAGTCAGTGTAGTTCCTGGCATGTACTGTGTAGTACAATATGGGGGAATTTCCCTCAAAGTGTAGAAGTTTGTGGTATATGGCATTTCATTGCCAGCGGTCAGTGGAAAAGTGCCTAGTTACATTTGCAGTGGCCAATAAACTTGTGGCTGTCAGTTGAGAAGCATGTGATGCAGTGGCGACAGGCAGTAAGAAAGTATCAATACAGTGATCATTAGCAAAGACGTACACCAGTCCAGTAGAGGTCAGTGTAAAAAGTGCAATGAAAAGAAAATAAGTGCGAATGTGAAAGTCTTAACACAAGGAGTGTTCATAGGATGGTGAAAGCGTGACACAATCGGGTCAGCATACAGTGTTGAAAACGGGTCCTGTTGTTCAGATGGTGTCAAATTATTTCAAGCGATATTCCATGTGGTTTTATCAGTGCGGAAGATTAATAAAAATGCGCACTCACCAGATGCGCATAATCAAAGCGCAATTTGTTGAACGGTGTACTACAACCGGGAATCAGCAGGAAGCCCCCTTTAAACGGACCAGACAGACAGCGTGGGAAAGGATCCCTCCTCTGGGCATGAGACTCCTCTGCAACCGCAAATCCACTGGGGTCCTGGATCATTAGCTCAACAGAGAGCCAAAAAGGAAACGCCCTTGGGTGATCTAAACCCGGTGGGAAAAGAGGGTTGTTAATAATTGGGTGCAAAGGCAGAAAAGGTGACATCAGACCACTGGAGTAACGTACCGAGTCCTAGACTTGTAAGCCATGGAGCAACATCGGACTCAGTGCCATAGGGCGCAGGGAAGGGGGAAGCCATAGGAGCGTTGACGTTGTGATAGGGGCACAATTAGGTAGTTCAACAGGACCCAGGGGGGAATGGCAGAAGAGGCGTGCAACATAGACAGTGGGGCAATTTGGCTCGCCTGATAATACTTAGTTACATTAGGCACCCCAAGACCACCCTGGAGTCTATGAGCAAAGAGCGTATTTCTGGATACTCTGGGGTGCTTATCGGCCCAGATAAAATGCATAAACTTCGCCTGAAGCAACTGAAGAAAATGAGGGGGAACCCGCACTGGGAGTGTGCGAAAATAATATAACAATTTTGGCAAGATGGTCATTTTCACCGAATTAACCCGTCCTATCCAAGACAGGTGTGGAAATTGCCAAGAATGACTAAGAGTAGATAGAGAGCTAAGCAATGGATAATAATTTGCAGCAAAAAAAAGGAGTCATAGGTGGGGGTCAAGCGAATGCCTAAGTATCCAAGAGAAGAGGAAGCCCATTTGTAAGGGAAGTGGGATTGTAGGCGCAAAACCAAATCTGAAGCAAAGTAATATTGAGAGCGACAGTCTTATCCAAGTTAATACGGAGACCCGAAATCAAGGAAAAGCACTCAAGAACCTGTTGCAAATTAGGAAGCGTCGTCAGGGGGGTTAGTAAGAGTCAGGAGGGCATCGTCTGCAAAAAGGTTCAGCTTGAACTCCTGTCCCGCGTAAGGAACCCCCGATACATTGCAGTCGGTCCAGAGTGCTAAAGCCAGCGGCTCAAGCACCAGGATAAAGAGCGCCGGGGACAGGGGGCAACCCTGTCTCGTCTCTCGCCCAGTAGGAAAGGGATCTGAAAAATACCCAGCGTATTTAACGGAGGCCGAAGGAGAAGAAAACAAGGCTTGAATCCAAGAAAGAATAGAATCCCCAAAACCCCAACGAGACAGCACAAACCGCAGATATTCCCAGGATAGAGAATCAAAGGCTATTATATATGTCTAAGGACAGTAAGAATCCCTAGATTTTCCGCTGTTGCAGAAAATGTATAAGATGGACCACCTTACGAATGTTATCACCCACCTGCCTCCCAGGGACGAACCCTACCTGGTCCCTGTGGACCAGGCTACGCAAATATTTGATGCGAAAACTAAGGATCTTGCCCGATATCTTCAGGTCTTCATTAAGAAGAGAAATGGTCCGGAAAGCTTGCGGTTCCTGTACATCATCGGTCGTCTTAGGAATCATGGCGATATGCGCTCTGAGCGCATCTGGAGAGGGCAAGGAGCCCTATCGTAACTCATTAAAATAGTCATCCAAAAAGGGCGCCAACAGGGCTGAGAATTTCTTATAATAGAGACCGGAGAAGCCGTCGGGACCTGGGGCCGCGGTGGATCGTAAAGATTTGATAGCTTGGAGCACTTCCGGTACAGTGACACCGGCGTTGAGGGCCACCTGTGCTGCCTCTGTTAACCCAGGAAGTCGGAGATTTTGAAAGAATGCCTCTGCTTTGCCACGGGGAAGGGATCTGGTTTAGCGTAGAGACGCGAAAGGAAGTCTGAGAAACGGAAAACAATCTGCTGGGGATTAGAAGTACAGCTACCTGTGGGAAGTCGCAGTCGGATCGGTTTATGGGGTTTCCCCACAGAATTGAGTTTCGTGGCCAGAATTGGGCCTGGCTTATTAGCACAGGAATAAAATTTGTGATTGGTCCAACGCAGGGCCCGTTCCGCCTCCGAAGAGGCAAGTAGGTCCAACTCTGCCGCCAGACCGTCCGTAGCGCGTTTATGGGCCGTGGATGGAGATGACTTCCAACGCGCATCCCACAGAGGCCAGGAGAGAATGAAGCTCCAAAAGTCGGCGCTCCCAGACTGCCGCCAGCTGTATAACATGACCCCGCACCGTGGCCTTATGCGCCTCCCATAGGGGCACAGCCGAAGAGACCGATCCAGAGTTTTCCGTGAAGTATGTTCGTAAGAAAAATTCTATTTGTTGGCAGGTAGTCTGAGTGGTCAATAAAGAGTCATTGATGCACCAATGAAAAGGGCGCCATTCTGACCCAGAGAGGGCAAGGAGGAGTACCAAGGGATCATGGTCTGACCAGGGTGAGGAGGGAATAGTTATCCGCCGGACCAAGGGAAGCTGCTGAACATGCATATATGGTCAATTCTACAAAAACTGTCATGAGGATTGGAATAGAATGTAAAGTGGCGCTCAGTTCAGTGAAGTTCCCTCCAGACATCCGCCAGCCCCACCGTCCGCAAGAGAGAGCGCATACGTTCCTCCAGCACGAAGTCGTGAGAAGGGGCCGCCCCCCGTGCGTAGTGCCTATCCAATGTGGAATCCAAGGTAACATTTGAATCTCCCAAAACAAGAAGAAGACCCTTGGAGTGTCGGGAAACAGTGGTGCAAAGATGCGAAAAGAATTTATGCTGAAAACGATTAGGCGCGTAGTAAGAGACAAAAGTAACCTCCTGAACCAAGAGGGTGCCTTGCAGAAGCAAATATCTGCCTGTGGGATCCGCTATTTTCCGAGCACAGACAAAAGGGAAATTGCGTTTGAAAGCTATCAGTGCACCCCGACGCTTCTCAGGACCCGAGGCCGTGTAAAAGGTGGGATAGTGAGGTGAAAGATAACGTGGAGCAGAGGACTGAGAAAACCTGGTCTCTTGTAAACATACCACGTCGATTTGTTGCGATTTGCGGTGATGAAAAACTTTAGCCCGCTTCTGCGGCGAATTGAAGCCTTGAACATTTTGTGAATGTATTTTCAAAAGGGGCGAGGCCATGGCGGCATCAGCATAGCACGCTCAACAAAAAAAGCATAAAGCAGCCAACAATTTCTACTCCAACTGGCGATCGGACCATGGCGTCCCGGAACCCTGCATAAAAAAAAAAAAAAAAACAGAAGAAAAAAAAACAAAGAAAGAAAAGAAGAAAATGACACAAGAAGTATATACAACAGTGCAATCGTGTCACGCCAGTGGTGACGTGCATCCTACACTCGAAGGATACCAGTTAGGGGTGGCTCTACCACCGGACACATGGCTGCAAATGGAAACATCAAAAACATAAGCCCTCAGGGAGCAAAATGAACATAATAGAACGGGGTACCAAATAAGGACACTATGAGTTCCAAGAATCAAGAACCTTCGTGATGACCTCCCCATAGAAACCCGGAGAACCATGGGGGCCAACCGCCTCCTACCCAACCGGGCCTACCAGGTCAACCTCCCACCCCGGAGCCCAAGGGAACCATCACCCTATGCCACGAACGGAGACCCGAATGACATCACCCGGACCCAAAATAGGCTGCAACAGCAGAAAGTCATAATCCTTAAGTCCAGGAGGAGACCTCCCCCCACCAGGGATGGAACCCAAGAGAGCAAGCTGGATTAGTCCCAACCTGGAATGCTAACAAACCAGGAAAGCCCAAGGGCCAAACTCACGGTCCCGTCAGAGAAGTCCATTGGTGAAACGATACGTGGGAGGTCCAAGATACATCTTCAGCCCGGAGAAGAACAGGAAGGACTTGATTGCGAAGGTGTCTGAGGGAGGGCCCTGTTCCTGTTGGACGACTGCTCCCAGAGGACTATCCAAGAGGATAGTTTCCTTAGTGTGGTAATAAGTAAACTTGATGATAATGTCCCTCGGGGGCCCATCCGTCCGTCTGGGGCCCAATGCACGATGTATGCGGTCAAATTCGAGCCGGCCAATGGGGATAGCGGGCGTCAGCTCCTGAAACAGAGCAGTAGCGGTGGAAGTGAGATCTGCGACCGTTTTCGGGATACCCCTTAAATTGCCATGGCGGGAACGGTTTTCGAAATCCTCAAGCCGTAGCATGGCGTCCGCCAATTCTTTCTTGAGGTCTCACAAATCCTTTTCGTGATTTTCAATGACCGTGGCCACAGCGTACATTCTATCCTCGAGATCGTTCGTCCGGTTGCCCAACTCCCAAATTTCTTGCGAAAGACGGTCGGCCAGCTAGGAGGTAGCGGATGACAATTCCACCTGCAGCATGGATTTGAAGCGGCGCAGGAGCTCCGCATCCCGCAAGGATGGAATAGGAGACTGCATGGATGTCTCTGCTGCCAGGTCTTCCATACCGCTAGGATCCACGGGTAGCGGCGGCGTGAGACCCGAAATCGAGTCCGGGGCTTCATTTGCGCCCTCCGGCGGGAGTCGCGAACTCACGGCCGGGGTCCCTGAAGCCTCCGGTGGCCGGCCCAAAATCAAGACCGCGGCTTCAGGCGCGACCTCCGGCGGGTAGGCCGCAAATTCCGGCGCGGCCCGCCGGGTGCTGGAGGCGTGGGTGGACGGTGTTTTTTTGCCCATTGGGGTACCTGGAGGACAAGGGGCCAGCGAACAAGCAGGGGGACCCCCCCTGAGGGTCAGAAATCGGCCGATGTGTCCAGCGGCCGAGGGAGAAATTCAAAAGGCAGCCATCCTGGCCGCTGCTCACGAGCCTCTTTGTTTTTTATAAAAAGTGCAATGTTACAGTGGAGGTCTATAAACAAATGTTTTGATGTGGTTTGTGGAGAAATACACTGGTACTGTGGCATTTAGGAAACTATAACTTTTTCAGGGATGACTGGCCTGTAGCAAAAGCCTGCTGGATAGCTTGTTCTCTAGAAATTATTATAGTCCCTTAACTGCAAGTGGTTAATGTATAGAATATTATTTTCTTCTATAGATAATCAAGATCCTTCAGTAAATAGCTTGTCTGTGATTGTGGATGTCACTCGCAGCAATTTGGATGTGACAGTGGGTTCTCGACAGCAGACCACACAAGGATGGATCAACACATACCCATTATCCAGTGGCATGTCTACCATCTCTAAAAAGTCAGGTTTGTAAACGCTACTATTTTTTATTAAAAAATAAAAAAAAAAAATATATATATATATATATCTCACTGTGGTACTGTGCCATGCGTTGCAAGAAAATACATCTTCTGTTAGTCAGTGCTTTTATACCTCAGATTGTAAATTAGGACGTTACTCTTCACAGGGCTGACAAAGAAAACAAACAGAGGGACACAACTCCACAAATATTACATGAAAAGGAGGACTCTTCTCTTATCTCTGTTGGTATGTGGCTTGTTTCTGACTTTTTGTGTTGTTTGACTATATTAAGTGCGTGTGTGTGTGTGTGTGTATTTGTTTGTGTGTTTCAGGTGCATGTTTGTGCATCTCATTATGTGATTAGTATCTCAGTCAGGGTCCACTACATGCCCTCATTTAGACCTCTACTACGTTGGAGATTTTGATTGGAATTACTGCTGTTTCCCTGCAACTAATTGTTGAGTTTGTAACAAAGCAAACATTATATGCTACAAGGGTCACAGGGATCTACACTAATCCCAGACCCTTGAAGCATTGAGCAATCTGCAATTATCTTTTGTTTTTTTTCAACTAAATCTCTTTTATGTGGCCTAACTTTTGCTGGACATTTTGTAATAGCTATTTCAAACTGTTACTTGTTTGTTCTTTTTTTTAGGCTACAGAGATTGACCGACTAACCACCTGGTACAACCCTCTCTCTTCTCCTGAGTTAGAGCTTGATCAGACAGGAGAAAACAGTGTGGCAAACTGGAGATCAAAGTACATCAGCCTGAGTGAGAAGCAATGGAAAGACAATGTGAACTTAGCCTGGAGCATTTCCCCTCACTTGGCAGTCCAGTTACCAACAAGGTGAATGTAACTTAATAACTATATAGATGCTGATGTGCCTAGTGTAAGGAGGGACAGGTTCAAATGGTAATGGCAGTGGTAAACCATGCAGGTGACAGGAACACCCAGGATTAGTCCAAGTTGGACTGTCCTTCACTTATTTTCAACAAGGAAGTTCACAAAAATAGCATCAGTGCAGGTGTGCTTTCCACCCAGTAACGGGCTCACAGCATAAAGAGTGAAAGAAAGAGAGCCTTTAGTATCAGTAAGCACAGATATAAAAAGGCTTGACTAATGAGGTTTGGCTAACAGGTAAGGTCCGGACCCAGGACAGGGAAGCTTTATCACGCCCAAACCACCACAAAGCTTCTGGTCTCCAGGACACAGACTAGAATTTATGATCAATGTTTGTTTCCTCTATTGCAGACAGAAACCCCAGGCTCCTTCACCATGTGTAAGTGAGAAACGTAGGTGATACGTATACACCATCCACAATCCTGCCAGCCAGTGACTCATACAAATTAAAATATTTGTTGGACTCGGGAGATGCACAGGCTATGGGCTCTCTTTCTGTGCATTACTTGTTCCTGTAACTCACGGAAATGGTCATGCTCCTTAATTATTAAAGAAAAAACATCTTAAGAAAAATTTGTAAGCTGCTCACCATCCCATGAAAGTGCTAGATCTCTAGCTGTCCTGTTAATCCTTTTTACTTTCACTGACCTTGGGCACTTGTGCAGTTAGAGAAGACAGAACTCCTTCTCTTGTTTCGGGTTAATGATTCAGAAAGTATTGGAGCCACCAAATCAACAGTACAACCAAGCAGCTAGCGTTCTCAGAAGGAGAAGGGAGAATGGCAGCTTGTTCTTTTTGTATGCACAGATCTACTCAAAAGTAATAAACCCAAACGTACACAATAAAGGTGATGCAATCTCCTCTGATCCTTTAGAACAGTGGTTCTCAACCTTTCTAATGCCGCGACCCCTTAATACAGTTCCTCATGTTGTGGTGACCCCCAACCATAAAATTATTTTCGTTGCTACTTCATAACTGTAATTTTGCAGTGGGAGGAATAGTGCCCCATCATTGATATCAGTGGGAGGAATAGTGCCCCATCACTGATGTCAATGGGAGGAATAGTGCCCCATCATTGGTATCAGTGGTAGGAATAGTGCCCCCATCATTGGTGTCAGTGGTAGGAATAGTGCCCCATCATTGGTGTCAGTGGGAGGAATAGTGCCCCATCGTTGGTGTCAGTGGGAGGAATAGTGCCCCATCGTTGGTGTCAGTGAGGGGAGGAATAGTGCCCCATCGTTGGTGTCAGTGGGGGGGAGGAATAGTGCCCCATCGTTGGTGTCAATGGGAGGAATAGTGCCCCATCATAGGTGTCAGTGGGGGGAATAGTGCCCCATCATTGGTGCCAGTGGGGGGAATAGTGCCCCATCATTGATGTCAGTGGGGGGAATAGTGCCCCATCATTGGTGTCAGTGGGGGGAATAGTGCCCCATCATTGGTGTCAGTGGGGGGAATAGTGCCCCATCATTGGTGTCAGTGGGGGGAATAGTGCCCCATCATTGGTGTCAGTGGGAGGAATAGTGCCCCATCACTGGTGTCAGTGGGAGGAATAGTGTCCCATCACTGGTGTCAGTGGGAGGAATAGTGTCCCATCACTGGTGTCAGTGGGAGGAAAAGTGCCCCATCACTGGTGTCAGTGGGAGGAATAGTGCCCCATCATTGTTGTCAGTGGGGGGAAAACGGCCCCATTATTGGTGTCAGTGGGAGGAATAGTGCCCCATCATTGGTGTCAGTGGGAGGAATAGTGCCCCATCATTGGTATCAGTGGGAGGAATAGTGCTCCCATCATTGGTGTCAGTGGGAGGAATAGTGCCGCATCGCTGGCATCAGGGGGAGCAATAGTGCCCCAACATTGGTATCAGAGGGAAGTATAGTGCCCCATCGTGGTGTCAGTGGGAGGAATAGTGCCCCATCGTTGGTGTCAGTGGGAGGAATGGTGCCCCATCGTTGGTGTCAGTGGGAGGAATGGTGCCCCATCGTTGGTGTCAGTGGGAGGAATGGTGCCCCATCGTTGGTGTCAGTGGGAGGAATGGTGCCCCATCGTTGGTGTCAGTGGGAGGAATGGTGCCCCATCGTTGGTGTCAGTGGGAGGAATGGTGCCCCATCGTTGGTGTCAGTGGGAGGAATGGTGCCCCATCGTTGGTGTCAGTGGGAGGAATGGTGCCCCATCGTTGGTGTCAGTGGGAGGAATAGTGCCCCATCGTTGGTGTCAGTAGGGGGAGGAATAGTGCCCCATCATTGGTGTCAGTGGGGGGAGGAATAGTCCATCGTTGGTGTCAGTGGGGGGAGGAATAGTGCCCCATCGTTGGTGTCAATGGGAGGAATAGTGCCCCATCCATAGGCTTTGTCAGTGGGGGGAATAGTGCCCCATCATTGGTGTCAGTGGGGGGAATAGTGCCCCATCATTGGTGTCAGTGGGGGGAATAGTGCCCCATCATTGGTATCAGTGGGGGGAATAGTGCCCCATCTGTTGGTGTCAGTGGGAGGAATAGTGCCCCATCACTGGTGTCAGTGGGAGGAATAGTGTCCCATCATGGTGTCAGTGGGAGGAAAAGTGCCCCATCATGTCAGTGGGAGGAATAGTTAAGGAATAGTGCCCCATCATTGGTGTCAAAGGGAGGAATAGTGCCCCATCATTGGTGTCAGTGGGAGGAATAGTGCCCCATCATTGGTATCAGTGGGAGGAATAGTGCCCCATCATTGGTGTCAGTGGGAGGAATAGTGCCCCATCGTTGGCATCAGGGGGAGCAATAGTGCCCCAACATTGGTGTCAGTGGGAGGAATAGTGCCCCGTCGTTGGTATCAGAGGGAAGTATAGTGCCCCATCGTTGGTGTCAGTGGGGAGGAATAGTGCCCCATCATTGGTGTCAGTGGGGGGGAATAGTGCCCCATCATTGGTGTCAGTGGGGGGAATAGTGCCCCATCATTGGTGTCAGTGGGGGGAATAGTGCCCCATCATTGGTGTCAGTGGGAGGAATAGTGCCCCATCACTGGTGTCAGTGGGAGGAAAGTGCCCCCATCACTGGTGTCAGTGGGAGGAAAAAGTGCCCCCCACATTGGTGTCAGTGGGAGGAATAGTGCCCCATCACTGGTGTCAGTGGGAGGAATAGTGCCCCATCATTGGTGTCAGTGGGGGGAATACGGTCCCATTATTGGTGTCAGTGGGAGGAATAGTGCCCCCATCATTGGTGTCAGTGGGAGGAATAGTGCCCCATCGTTGGCATCAGGGGGAGCAATAGTGCCCCAACATTGGTGTCAGTGGGAGGAATAGTGCCCCGTCGTTGGTATCAGAGGGAAGTATAGTGCCCCATCGTTGGTGTCAGTGGGAGGAATAGTGCCCCATCATTGGTGTCAGTGGGAGAATAGTGCCCCATCATTGGTGTCAGTGGGAGGAATAGTGCTCCATCATTGGTATCAGTGGGAGGAATAGTGCCCCATCATTGGTGTCAGTGGGAGGAATAGTGCCCCATCGTTGGTGTCAGTGGGAGGAATAGTGCCCCATCGTTGGTGTCAGTGGGAGAATAGTGCCCCAACGTTGGTGTCAGTGGGGGGAGGAATAGTGCCCCATCGTTGGTAATAGTGACACCAATGATTGGGCACTATTCCTCCACTGACACCAATGATACTTACCTTGCTGCCCCTGCTCCAGCCTGGGCTCGCTCCCTCCCTCTCCCATGGTACAAACACTTACCAGTCAGATGGCTTAACCTTCTCCGGCCGCTTTCCTCCTCTTCACTCGCTCGTGCTTCGCGGTGCCGCTCGGCTCCTCCTTCCAAGCTCCACCTCCTCGCCGGTGATTGGCCGCCTGTGTGCCTCTCTTGAGCTACAGTTCCGGCGGCCAATCACCGACGAGGAAGGATTGATCCCGGGGGATGACAGAGACGGCATGTCATCCCGCCCACACCTGCAGACGGATCAAGGAGCGGTTGTCTCGGTTCCTAAGGCCATCGGAAATATGTGTTTTCCGATGGTCTTAGGCGACCCCTGGGAAAGTGTCGTTCGACCCCCAAAGGGGTCGCAGACCCCCAGGTTGAGAACCGCTGCTTTAGAATATACCCCATTGCTCAAACTTCAGCTTGACCTTCATTCTTGTGAAGAATGTAATTACACCCCAAGTTTGAGAAGTTTCCTCCCACAGCTAAAAACTTCTAAACAATTGAAATTCCATAAGATAGTTAACTTTGGTAGCCATCTAGTGATCTGATCAGAACATGTAGGTCCTGTACTCTAAAATCTCTCTGCAGACTAGACTGTAGTTGAGTAATTTGCTCTGATCTAGAAGAATTGGGCAGTACAGTAAAGCCTGAGTGGTTAATGTGCTGCCCTGTTTTGCTGGGGATCATAGGTGGCTGATATTAAAGTGTTACTAAACCCAGGACCCTGTATTTACTATATCTGGTCTCCCACAGTACACATAACATGGAAATGCAATTTTAGTAATTATAAAACTACTAAATACCTTTTCTCATCATCAGTTTATAGCAGTCTTGGGACCTCTATCAGTGTCCAGTTGAACACTGGTTAAAGCTTGTAGGAGGAGCTTTCATTCTGCTCTGACTGTCCTATGACCCTGCATAACCCCTGACCCTCTGTCTGGACATTGCTGATTGGCCCTGAGCTAATCAATGCACCCTCCCAAAGAAAAAAGCTCTCTAGCAATATACACTAAACTGAGCATGTGCAGAGTGACTCCTAGAGCTCTGTACTATCAGCAAATGGATTGGGGACAGTAGAAGAAGGGGAGAATCAGAGAAGACAGGATTAAACAGCCTTTTTACACAATGCAGAGGTTTAACCCCTTAGGTTCCACAGTGTGTATAACAAGCATGCTTTATTGCATATACATACTGATTTTACTGTTGTGGGGTTTAAGAAACACTTTTAAGAAATATTCATGTTATTATTTTCTCAGATGTACTGTATGTATATATTTTTTTGGATCTACAGCCATTCTTTTTTTGTAGTTCTAAATAGAGATATAGAGTTATAACCTGCAAGTTTGTATTTCTGTTTGTGTCCACAAGGGGAGATTCAGCCTTTGTTTGTTCATTTAACTAAGGCTGAAAGTGAAGGTCCATTTGCCACAGGACCAGGAGTAGAATGTCCAATGGGGACATTTTGTTGTGGTAGCAACTATTTCTTTCCCTCACTTTGAAGTGATATCCTCTCATTGCCTATTGTGTCTACAGCACAGGACATAAGTGAACTATCCCAATAAGGATCAGATGACAACAAAAAGCTGACAATTATTCTCCAGTTTATAAAATAAAAAGTGTTTTTCTTTTAGGTATACTTGCTATAGACCCAGGTTTGCTGCCTAGATTGTATGTAGAATTATCCCTCTCTTAATATATATGACAAGATTTCATAGAAGTGTAATAGATTATAACCTACTAGTGATTTTTTTTATGGTATTACTTGCTAGTGTCATTTACCACTCAAAACTTATTTGCAGATTTAAAAACACCGAAGCAATTGGAGGAGAAGTGACTCGCCTAGTGAGACTGGATCCAGGTGCTGTCAGTGACATCCCTGAGGCTATAAAAGTAAGTGTTTTGGTGTTCTGAGTAACATCTTATTGTATTCATGTTTTGTAAGCACTTTTTTTTAATGAATTTCATATAATGGTTTTAGCGCAAATCATCATTCTTTTTGTCTTGCAGTATTTGGTAACGTGGCATACGATCGATGCCGACGCTCCTGAACTCAGCCACATTCTTTGCTGGGCACCAACTGATCCACCCACTGGACTTTCTTACTTTTCCAGCATGTATCCTCCACATCCACTAACTGCACAGTATGGAGTCAAAGTTCTACGATCATTCCCTCCGGTATTGTATTAGTAAACTTTCTCTCTTGAGCTTATGGTCTGTGGCTCAGTACATTTACTTTTCTAATTACCTTGGCTAATGTTTGTATTCTTATCCAGTATTTCATAGTGCAATTATTTACTTTAAACTGCAACTTTATCCAAAACTTTTATGTTTTGTTTTGGAAAACATATGAGTGGGTTAGAACTCAGATTTTACATTGTGGTCTCCCTTCCCATTCGGGATCCACAGAGACACAACAGGAAGTAAGTAGAAAGCAATGCTATATCCCCCAGCTGTCACTAAAACAGGTTTCCTCATTGGAGGATACCTAAGGATGTCCCTTCTACTCCTGTTCAATTATCAAGTGTAAAATTTTGGATTTCCACTCCACGAGCTTGCACCCAGAGTCTGTAAGAGATATGAGAGTACAGGGAAAATGAGGGGCGCAACATATTAATATAGCTATGTGGTGTACGCTAAAATCTCACACCAGCCCAGCATGTGCAAGGAAAATAATTTTTTTATTTTCATAATTGATACATAATCATGTACCAGGTACTTAGTGGCTTTAAGAGTTGCATATAACTTATCTGCATGTATCTCTGGATCCACTGATAATTCTGACTAGTGGCATATGCTTTTTTTTTTTTCATCATCTGTTGTTTCATGTTCACATTTGTTTTTCAGTTTATCGAAGTATTTCTTACAAACCAGCCTTAGTTTTCTTTTTTTCCCTCTCCATTTCCCTTTCTTCATATTTTTTCTTCATAGTTTTTTTCATTGTCTTACAGGATGCCATCCTATTTTACATTCCACAAATTGTTCAGGCTCTGCGGTTTGACAAGGTGAGTGCTATTTCTTGCATTGAAGGTCTATCCCACCATTACTTGCTATTCATCTCTTTCTGAGTATCCTTGTATACAGAAGTTTGCTTGTAATGTATTGTTGTGCTATATGATATATATCATAAACAGGACTGTCCTGTCTTGAGGCCACATTTTCATTAAAGCAATTGAAACTGTATAGGAAGCTATAAAATATAGCTTTTGCATTAAACCCCTAGTCAAAATCTTAAACATCTGTCCTATAATTGGAAAGTATGTGATTAAAAGGTTTAAAAGATTAAAAGTATGTAACTTAAAAGGTTTGTTCATGTTACTTTTCTGCTGTATTCTGTAATCCACTAGCAATCTAATCAGATGTTTTCCCTTTCAGCAGAGTTATTAGAAAGTGGTTCCATACTAACTAAATTTATAAACTGCCCAATGTTTCACAATCCAAAGCTATGAATATATATGCTTTTATCTGAACTTTGGGTCTTCCGAGCTGCTTAGCTTGCAGTAGTCACATGGCTTGTTGTGGAAGTTATAATGCCTTGTACTTCAAAAAGTAAATATAAGTTGAAGATTTAATCACTTTTATTATAAGTCTATTTAGCTGAGGGATGGTGGTGTTTTGATGTTATAAGAACTATATATATAGTCTACTTTGAAGAAAACCTGTCATAAAAGAGATATGTAGGCGTGGTAGAGCACCTCCTGACCATGGGTGTTACCTGTCATGCTGATCCTTTCTTTAGTACTTTCTAAATCGGTGACCTAGGAACACATTTGTAGATAAGAAGTTCTGAAGTAAAATATAAATACTATCTTTTCGATGCTCCCTCTACCACCGCCAACAGTGCAACAACATATATCAGCAAATGTCCACATATGAGTCCATATATAGTGCTTTTCCAATATATAGTGCTTTTTCAAACGTTGAGGACTATTCCACTTTGCTGATTATTCAATCCAGGAACCTCAAATCAGGATACCTCAAAAAAATATAAACTCAATATAGTGCATTATCATTACAACAGAGAAAAACACTAGTGAAAACTAAAAGTGATTCCTCCTAAACTCCCACCCGTGACAAATCAGCACTCCAAAAAAGTGATTTAGTGCAACACTCCACAACCAGTGTCACCATCCAAATAAACTGAATACCATTACCCTCTCATGGAAAATCACATGCATCCAAATGAAATAGTGCCATCTTTCTTGTGATATAAAATACCATTACCCTCTTCCAATGCAGACCAAGCAAAAACTCCTTCAAGGCAGTCCAAAGATTCCCCCTCTCCGGAAGCTTCCTACTGCTTCCAATTCACCTTCCCCGTTCCTCAAAGGGGCAGACAATACAAGACTCAGTGGAGTATATAAAAAGGATTTCACAAATTTATTCACAGCTTACATAGAGACCGCCAGCGTCCATCCTCTCCCACAGTCCATAAGGTTGAACTCCAGAATTCAAGATGGCCGTGCCGCTCCTTCCGGTTTGAAAAATGTATTGTTACGTTCTTACGTTACTGACGCGTTTCGTCACTTCCGACTTTTTCACAAGGGTTCCGGACGTCTAATGTGCGGCTCCTCTTATCCTACTCTCAGCACTGGCAAAGAGAGCGAGCCTCCATCTTAACTAATGGCAACAACCACCACTTCCTATGCCTTCTAGATACGGCTTTAATATACGGAAAGGCGGACTACAATCGTATTTAAAACCAATTCTAAATAAAAACGTACACTTATTTTCCCAATAAAATACTCCTATAGATAACTATACTCTTTAGTTACCTAAAAAAACAATCATATGAATATAGGGAATATATCCACCAACCCTCCTACTACCCCCTATTGTTCAAGAATATTACAACAACACATTATCACATCCTACTAACCACTCATAAGTGGTTAGTAGGATGTGATAATTTGTTGTTGTAATATTCTTGAACAATAGGGGGGGGAGTAGGAGGGTTGGTGGATATATTCCCTATATTCATATGATTGTTTTTAGGTAACTAGAGTATAGTTATCTATAGGAGTATTTTATTGGGAAAATAAGTGTACGTTTTTATTTAGAATTGGTTTTAAATACGATTGTAGTCCGCCTTTCCGTATATTAAAGCCGTATCTAGAAGGCATAGGAAGTGGTGGTTGTTGCCATTAGTTAAGATGGAGGCTCGCTCTCTTTGCCAGTGCTGAGAGTAGGATAAGAGGAGCCGCACATTAGAGGTCCGGAACCCTTGTGAAAAAGTCGGAAGTGACGAAACGCGTCAGAACGTAAGGACGTAACAATACATTTTTCAAACCGGAAGGAGCGGCACGGCCATCTTGAATTCTGGAGTTCAACCTTATGGACTGTGGGAGAGGATGGACGCTGGCGGTCTCTATGTAAGCTGTGAATAAATTTGTGAAATCCTTTTTATATACTCCACTGAGTCTTGTATTGTCTGCCCCTTTGAGGAACGGGGAAGGTGAATTGGAAGCAGTAGGAAGCTTCCGGAGAGGGGGAATCTTTGGACTGCCTTGAAGGAGTTTTTGCTTGGTCTGCATTGGAAGAGGGTAATGGTATTTTATATCACAAGAAAGATGGCACTATTTCATTTGGATGCATGTGATTTTTCCATGAGAGGGTAATGGTATTCAGTTTATTTGGATGGTGACACTGGTTGTGGAGTGTTGCACTAAATCACTTTTTTGGAGTGCTGATTTGTCACGGGTGGGAGTTTAGGAGGAATCACTTTTAGTTTTCACGAGTGTTTTTCTCTGTTGTAATGATAATGCACTATATTGAGTTTATATTTTTTTGAGGTATCCTGATTTGAGGTTCCTGGATTGAATAATCAGCAAAGTGGAATAGTCCTCAACGTTTGAAAAAGCACTATATATTGGAAAAGCACTATATATGGACTCATATGTGGACATTTGCTGATATATGTTGTTGCACTGTTGGGGGTGGTAGAGGGAGCATCGAAAAGATAGTATTTATATTTTGTTTACACTTTTAAGGGTGAGAGTGATACTTTTCGTAGGGAAATTTAGAGTTTGTATTATATCTAAGTTCTGAAGTAACTTACTGTATACTTGTACTGGCATGTTGCAAAACAAAAAAAAATGTAATCCATATACAGCCAGGTAACCAGCATTTTCATAAGGAGGCCTCAAAGACAGCCTATACATTTCTTTTATGAAAAACATCCTTTAAGCAAACCACTGGTGGCCTACACAAACATCATAGAATTCTATTTCAGCAGTGTTAAGCTGTCCACAGATGGTTTGATTTTTTTTTTCTTTCAGCCAGTGAACGGAACAGGCATGAAAAAAAAACAAACTGGTTCCTCCATACACAGAAACAAAGTGGATAAAGGAAACCACCCCCCTCACCCCCTGCCTCTGCCAGGACATTGTATCCTGACAGCAGGCCTCCACTGATCAACAATAGTTTTCCAGCTTGTACGATTGACAGAAGCTAATCTCTCAATGAACTTCTGTAGAATAGGGAAGGCCACACACTGATCGAAATTTGGCTGGTCCTTGCTGGACTGACCAAAACCATCAATGGCTAACTTTATTGTAATGTGTGTTGCTTTGGATTGTGGATTTTAATGACACAAACTTTGTTGTACACTCAGATGGGTTATGTCCGGGAATACATACTATGGGCAGCTGCAAAATCCCAGCTTCTTGCTCATCAGTTTATATGGAACATGAAGACCAACATTTTTTTAGATGAAGAAGCACACCAGAAGGATCGTGAGTAAATGATTACTTTGTTTTCTTTTGTACAAAATTATCTCAAGAGAATTTAACCTTTGCATTAGAGAGAATAATATGTTCTATGTACATCATGTATCTTAATCTCCTATTATTTTTGTTTACAAACTGGTCTTTTTGGTAAAAGCATACAAATGGTAAGATGTAGACATACAGTATAGAGCAGGGGTGGGCAAACTTTTTGACTTGAGGACCGCAATGGGTTCATATATTGGACCCGGGGGCCGGACCAAGAGTAGATGAATGATGTGTATGTGTCATCCATAGTAAGTATAGTAATATTCCCCCATAGTAAGCATAGTAATTAATCCCCCATATAGTAATTCATCCCCCATATAGTAATTCATCCCCCATATAGTAATTCATCCCCCATAGTAATTCATCCCCCATATAGTAATTCATCCCCCATAGTAATTCATCCCCCATATAGTAATTCATCATCCCCCCTATAGTAATTCATCCCCCATATAGTAATTCATCCCCCATATTAAGTCCCCAAGTCCCCCCTGTGTCAATTCACTTACCTTTGCTCTCCGCGCGTTCCTCTCGCGTGTTCCCGCGCCGTTCCGGTGTAGCATGAAAATCTGTCTCCTATGAGGATCTGTCCCCCTCGACGTATCTGCGCATGTGCCAGTTTCAGGCATTAGCAGCCGATCGGCGATCTCCGGCACATGCGCAGATACGTCGAGGGGGACAGATCCTCATAGGAGACAGATTTTCATGCTACACCGGTCTTCAGGGTGGACTGTGAGAGGAGCCTAGCGGGAACCTAGCTCCGCGGGCCGGATTAAAAGGTCCGCCGGGCCGTATATGGCCCGCGGGCCGTAGTTTGCCCATTGCTGGTATAGACCATATAAAAAATTGGCATCAAGGATATATCAGTCTATACGGGCATAGAAAAACTGTACAGGTCATATAAAAAAGTAATACAATCAACCAGAGCATTTTATAAATCTTGCGTGTAAGACTTGCGAATTAAAGCAGAACTAAATCCATCACTTTAACGGTTTCAAAAAACAATTACATTCCTAAGCATGCAAGGAATGCTAACTGTCACATATACTTGTGCTCTCAACAAAATTGTCAAGCTATCAAATGGCTGGTATAATAACTGATCACAAGTGCAGCATCATGGCAACTGCAGATCAAACAGAGGCCAAGATGGCAGCCTCCTTGGCTGAAAAGGATAGGAGGGTTTAGTACTGCTTTATTCTCCCATACTTTTTGGATGGTGATAGACAAATAGAACCTTTCCCCAATGAGAGCTGTGCCCATGCCCACTATCTTCAGACCCACTTCTTCCCAACACTAAAGGATACAAAACAGTATACACATATAAAATAATTGTTCCCTTTTCTCATTAGTTTCCTTACTAATTACAATGAAATTATCACGGCTGCTCCAGGGTTTTGTTGGTTCTTTGAAATCTAGGCAGATATGAAAACACTTAAGAAATAAAAAAATTAATATATGACACATTTTTACCAGGGACATTCTAAAGGCTCAAGTTGCTACACTTTAGCAATTCTTTTATACTAGAGATTATTCTTGCAGCCATGTGACTGCCATTTTTCTTTCTACCTACAAATAAATAATGGTGGTTATGGTACATCATGATCTTTATAGCTTAATGTATTAAGCCTTAAGGGTAGCATGTACACAGTATGTCCCAGCAAAAGCACAGAGTTGCAAGTTGGGCAACAGTGGATAATTGGTTAGCACTTCCGCCTAGCAGTACTAGGGTTGTAGGTTCGATTCACAACCACGGCACCACCTGCCTGGAGTTTGCATGTTCTCCCTGTGTCTGCGTGGGTTTCCTCCGGGTACTCCGGTTTCCTCCCACACTCCAGAGACATGCTGGTAGGTTAATTGGTTCCTGTCTAAATTGGCCCTAGCATGTGTATGTATGAATGTAAGTTAGGGACCTTAGATTGTACGCCCTTGAGGGTTAGGGACTGCGTAAAATGGACGGCACTATATAAGTACCTGAAATAAATAAGTTGTATGATTAGCCCATACCAGTGATAACACCATACAGTTGCAAGAAAAAGTATGTGAACCCCTTGGTATTACGTGGAGTTTTGCATGAATTGGGCATAAAATGTGCTCTGAACGTCATCTAAGTCACAACAATAGAAGAACACAGTCTGCTGAACATAATACTACACAAATATTAGATGTTGCCATGGTTTAATTGCACATAACATGTAAACATTCACAGTGCACGGAGGAAAAAGTATGTGAGGCCCTAGCTTAATGACTTCTCCCAGAGCTAATTGGAGCCAGGAGTGAGCCAACCTTGACTCCAATCAGTGTGATGATATTGGATGTGTTGCTGACAGCTGCCCTGCCCTAAAAAAAAAAACACACACCTGTTTTGGGTTTACTGGTTTCAAGAAGCACTGTCTGATGTGAACCATGCCTCGCAGAAAAGAGCTCTCAAAAGACCTACAATCAAGAATTGTTGACTTGCATGAAGCTGGAAAGGGTTACAAAAGTATCTCCAAAAGCCTTGATGTTCATGTGTCCACGGAAAAAAACAGACTGTCTACAAATGGAGAAAGTTTAGCACTGTTGCTACTCTCCCTAGGCGTGGTCGTCCTGTAAAAATGACTGCAAGAGCACAGCGCAGAATGCTGCATGAGGTAAAGAAGAATCCCAGAGTGTCAGCTAAAGACCTACAGAAATCTCTGGCACATGCTAACATTTTTGTTGACACATCTACAATAAGGAAAACATTAAGCAAGAATGGAGTACATGGGAGGACACCACGGAGGAAGCCATTGCTGTCCAAAAAGAATATTGCAGCACGTTTGAAGTTTGCAAAAGAGCACCTGGATGTTCCACAGCACTACTGGCAAAATATACTGTGGACAGATGAAACCAAGATTGAGTTGTTTGGGAAGAACACACAAACCTGTGTGTGGAGAAAAAAAGGCACAGCACACCAACATCAAAACCTCATCCCCACTGTAAAACATGGCAGAGGGAGCATCATGGTTTGGGGCTGCTTTGCTGCCTCAGGGCCTGGACGGAAATTGTTGTCATTGATGGGAAAATGAATTCCAGAGTTTATCAAGACATTTTGCAGGAAAACGTACGACCATCTGTCCGCCAACTGAAGCTCCGCAGAGGATGGGTGATGCAAAAGGACAATGACCCAAAGCATACAAGTAATTCAACAAAACAATGGCTGCAACAGCACAGAATACGCCTTCTGGAGTGGCCCAGTCAGAGTCCTGATTGAAATGCTGTGGCATGACCTTAAGAGAGCGATTCACCCCAGACATCCCAAGAATATTGTTACACTGAAACAGTTTTGTGAAGAGGAGTGGTCCAAAATTACTCCAGATCGTTGTGCAGGTCTGATCTTCAACTACAGGAAACGTTTGGTTGAGGTTATTGCTGCCAAAGGAGGGTCAACCAGTTATTAAGTCCAAAGGTTCACATACTTTTTCCTCCCTGCACTGTGAATGTTTACATGTTATGTGCAATTAAACCATGGCAACATCTAATGTTTGTGTAGTATTATGTTCAGCAGACTGTGTTCTTCTATTGTTGTGACTTAGATGACGTTCAGAGCACATTTTATGCCCAATTCATGCAAAACTCCATGTAATCCCAATGGGTTCACATACTTTTTCTTGCAACTGTACATCTGCATCCAAGGTCTGTGAGAATATTTAAAGACAAAACCTTTTTAGTTTGGAAGTGGAGAAGAGTTGGAGATAAGTGGAGAAGGGTTAGAACTCCTTTCATTTTTTCTTCTTCCTCTTCTTGTGTCGCATAGAAAAGAATTACATTTGCTTGTACCAACGACACAATATGAAGTAAGGAAATCTCTCCAAAATAAGGATAATATCCTCTTTGACAGTTGTCACTGGAAAAAAGTGTCCTCAGATGAACTATTGCTGCTCTAGTGATAACTAAAAATACATGGGTAAATCTCTCCAATAAGGATACATTGGTAAAACCCCATCTAACCCCATCACCACTCTCATCAGAAATTATACACTTTACATTTTGATGAAATGCATGAAAAAATGCATGAAAAGAGGGATAAATAGTTTATTTTGAAGTGCATCTATCCTTTAAATCTAGTAAGGGCATTGCTTTTTGTTTCACTACTGTCTGATGTCAAATGATAGGATAAAGTTATAGAAAAGAGGAGCTATTTGTTTTTTCGTTCCCTATATTTAGTGCCCTGCTTCTTAATTGTGTTGCTTATAGCCATTTTGTCCAAATGCATCCTGGCAAAACTTCAAATATAGTTTAAAAAAATGTGATGTTCTAAAAACCTGATTATACATATGTTGTAGTTGCAGTCTTTTAGCACTCTTTGCATTTTAATTCCTTTCACATGCTCTGTGCCTTGCCTGCAGCTGACATTGGAGATCTACTGGAACAGCTGGTTGAGGAAATTACTGGATCCTTGTCCGGGCCTGCCAAAGATTTTTACCAACGCGAGTTTGATTTTTTCAATGAAATAACGAACGTGTCAGCGATCATTAAGTAAGCCTTTTACAATTTTTTTTATCTATGGATCTATAACTATGGTTAATGGCAGAATCCGGGCCATTCACACCACAATAAAGTGCACTACTATGCATGCGTTGCAGTGCATTAAACAGCTCCTTCAAAATGAATGTGCTAAATTTGACAGTGACATCGCAACCACCAGAAACCACCTATGACTGCTCATGTGTGTTTTGGAGGTGCTTTGGGTGCCTTTGACAATGAATGGCACCACAGTGCACCAAAGCTTTTACCGTACATTCCTGCATGTGGCGGCAATGCATGTGTTAGTGTTATGCAGTGTGAATGGACCCCTTTGTAAAATATGTGACTTGCTTCCCCATCCCTGAAATTATGTATATGCAAACAAATTGGTTTGTACATGTCTGGGGAAACACAGTGTGAGTCCATTTACAAGGTTTCCCTAGTTTTCAATGCTAAAAAATTATTACTGGATTCCTATTTGTGTATTGCAGTAATGTACAAAACTGGCTGCCATCAACTCCAATGAACCACAATGCATGCTGGTTTTAGCAAACCTTTTGTGTGTTGTGGTGCACTGTTTAAAAAAAACTGCAGATGTGTTAAAACTGTTTTGCTGCGTTGAATGGGCTGCCTTGTGCAACGCACGTTAAGATTCAGCATAACACATCACAAAATGTGTGAATTCAGATTAATACATATAGTCAGTTTTCTTTATGCCGTAAACAGAAATCATTACAAATGGAAGTACATAAGGCAGTCCTGCACCCTTATCAAGAATACTGGAGAAATGTTACATAGTTAATCTGGCTTAAAAAAGCCAAAATACCATCCAGTTCAACCATTAAAAAAAAAAAAAAAAAGTTATAATCCTACACCCACAGTTGATCCAGACGAAGGCAAAAAAAACAGCAAAGCATGATCTAATTTGCTCCTGCAGGGGAAAAAATTCCTTCCTGATCCCCCGAGAGGCAATCAGATATTCCCTGGATCAACTTTACCTATAAATGGTAGTATCCAGTTACAGTCAGGTCCATAAATATTGGGACATTGACACAATTCTAACACTTTTGGCTCTATACACCACCACAATGGATTTGAAATGAAACGAACAAGATGTGCTTTAACTGCAGACTGTCAGCTTTAATTTGAGGGTATTTACATCCAAATCAGGTGAACGGTGTAGGAATTACAACAGTTTGCATATGTGCCTCCCACTTGTTAAGGGACCAAAAGTAATGGGACAATTGGCTTCTCAGCTGTTCCATGGCCAGGTGTGTGTTATTACCCTCATTATCCCAATTACAATGAACAGATAAAAGGTCCAGAGTTCATTTCAAGTGTGCTATTTGCATTTGGAATCTGTTGCTGTCAACTCTCAAGATGAGATCCAAAGAGCTGTCACTATCAGTGAAGCAAGCCATCATTAGGTTGAAAAAACAAAACAAACCCATCAGAAAGATAGCAAAAACATTAGGCGTGGCCAAAACAACTGTTTGGAACATTCTTAAAAAGAAGGAACGCACCGGTGAGCTCAGCAACACCAAAAGACCCGGAAGACCATGGAAAACAACTGTGGTGGATGACCGAAGAATTCTTTCCCTGGTGAAGAAAACACCCTTCACAACAGTTGGCCAGATCAAGAACACTCTCCAGGAGGTAGGTGTATGTGTGTCAAAGTCAACAATCAAGAGAAGACTTCACCAGAGTGAATACAGAGGGTTCACCACAAGATGTAAACCATTGGTGAGCCTCAAAAACAGGAAGGCCAGATTAGAGTTTGCCAAACGACATAAAAAAAAGCCTTCACAGTTCTGGAACAACATCCTATGGACAGATGAGACCAAGATCAACTTGTACCAGAGTGATGGGAAGAGAAGAGTATGGAGAAGGAAAGGAACTGCTCATGATCCTAAGCATACCACCTCATGAGTGAAGCATGGTGGTGGTAGTGTCATGGCGTGGGCATGTATGGCTGCCAATGGAACTGGTTCTCTTGTATTTATTGATGATGTGACTGCTGACAAAAGCAGCAGGATGAATTCTGAAGTGTTTCGGGCAATATTATCTGCTCATATTCAGCCAAATGCTTCAGAACTCATTGGACGCCGCTTCACAGTGCAGATGGACAATGACCCAAAGCATACTGCAAAAGCAACCAAAGAGTTTTTTAAGGGAAAGAACTGGAATGTTATGCAATAGCCAAGTCAATCACCTGACCTGAATCCGATTGAACATGCATTTCACTTGCTGAAGACAAAACTGAAGGGAAAATGCCCCAAGAACAAGCAGGAACTGAAGACAGTTGCAGTAGAGGCCTGGCAGAGCATCACCAGGGATGAAACCCAGCGTCTGGTGATGTCTGTCTGTGTTCCAGACTTCAGGCTGTAATTGACTGCAAAGGATTTGCAACCAAGTATTAAAAAGTGAAAGTTTGATTTATGATTCTTCTGTCCCATTACTTTTGGTCCCATAACAAGTGGGAGGCACATATGCAAACTGTTGTAATTCTTACACCGTTCACCTGATTTGGATGTAAATACCCTCAAATTAAAGCTGACAGTCTGCAGTTAAAGCACATCTTGTTCGTTTCATTTCAAATCCATTGTGGTGGTGTATAGAGCCAAAAATGTTAGAATTGTGCCGATGTCCCAATATTTATGGACCTGACTGTATATTCTGTGTATCTAAGAAAGAATCCAGGCCTTTTTTAAAGCAATCCACTGAGCTGGCTAGAACCAACTCTTGAGGGAGTCTATTCCACATTTTCACAGCTATTACTGTGAAGAAACCTTTCCGTATTTTGAAATTTCTTTTCCTCCAGACGTAAAGAGTGCCCCCTTGTCCTCTGTGTTGACCTCAGGGTGAATAAATCTACACCAAGTTCACTATATGAACCACTGATGTATTTATACATGTTGATCATATCTTCCCTTAATCTCCTCTTCTCAAGAGAAAATAAATTCAGTTCCTCTAATCTTTCCTCATAGCTGAACTCCATGCCTCTTATCAGTTTGGTTGCCATTCTCTGTACTTTCTCCAGTTCCCCAATGTTCTTTTTGTGATTTGGTGCTCAAAAGTGAATGGCATATTCCAGATGAGGTCTTACTAATGATTTGTACAGGGGTAAAAATATCTCTCTCCCTGGAGTCTATACCTCTTTTAATACAAGAGGACACTGATGATCAGTGTAGTCCCAGCAGTGATACCTGTCAGTGCCCATCAATGCCAGCTGTCAGTGCTCATCCATGCCACCTGCCAGTGCCCACCAGTGCCTCATCAATGCCTCATCAAGTTCACATATCAGTGCCTACCAGTGCACATCAACGCCACATATCAGTGCCCATCTGAGCTGCCTTTCAGTGTCACCTATGAGTGCTGCCAATCAGTGCCACCTATCAGTGGCCGTCAGTGCCGCCTATCAGTGCCATATATGAGTGCTGCCTTTCAGTGCCCATCAGTGATGCCTGTCAATGCCCATCAGTGCCACCTACTAGTGCCTCCTCAGCAGTGCCCAGCAGTACCACCTATCAGTGCCCATCACTGCAGCCTCATTAGCGCACATCAGTGAAGGAGAAAAATCACTTAATTTACAAAATTTTATAACAAAAAATAAGAAAACACTTTTTTTCAAAATTTTCAGTTGTTTTTGGTTTGTTTAGCAAAAAATAAAAAACCCAGAGGTGATTAAATACCACCAAAAGAAAGCTCTATCTGTCTCAAAAATATGATAAAAATCTCATATGGGTACAGTGTTGCATGACCGCGCAATTGTCATTCAAAGTGCAACAGCGCTGAAAGCTGAAAACTGGCCTGGGCAGGAAGGTGGTATAAGTGCCCTGTAGGCAAGTGATTAAGGACCCGCGGGTGTATGCCATCCGGTCCAGGTGCTTTATTCACCTTTATTCTGTCTAAATATTTCTGGATCAGATAAATTGTGAGCCAATATCTGGAGTTGTATCAATACCATGCCCATCATGGACAAGAGTGCGCCTTTGATTTTGATTGCCAGACCAGCACAGTTGTTTAACTCATCTGTTCTGCTGTTTGTTAAAGTGTATATATTTGTAAAGTTTTGTATAGAGCCAGAAAGGTTAGACCCTCTGTAAAGATGTATTGCTGTTTGTGTTCCACTATTCCAGCTGGTGCATTCGCCATCTCTATTTGTCCTGGTTACCATTGTCACCAGAACAAGAGGTGAGGAAATTCTTTCAGTGGGTTATCTTTTTAGGTGACAACTGTATAATAGGGGAGTTCCTATCATTTTGGTTAGATTTCCTTGTCCTGTTGTGTCTCCAGAACAGGAACTGAATGAAGGGAAATCTCCCCAATGGAAAAAGGGGAGGAAAAAATTATCTGACATGGTTTTTATAGTTTCCCTACTCTACCCAAAAAAATCATAAAAAAATTGTTTACAATAAATGTCACACTAGGCTTTCTAGCTATTATGGATTTTTTTTTTTTTTGTTCAGACCTAGACAGTTATTTTTATTAAGCAAACATTCCAAATGATTCATATTAAACAGCTATTGTAATTGAAATAGAAAATTGAGGGTTAGAAAGTTACATTAGATTGCCTTCTAAACTATAGTACTCTTCTTGTGTGTAATGTTGCTAACCTCTCGCAGCATTTTTTACTGAAAAAATGTAGCAAATTTATTGGCAAAGCACATTTTTCTTACTGACAACCTGAAAAAGTACATTAAAAATTAACACATTCATTTATCGAGACATTAGGACATTAATTGACTGGTTTACACTTACAAAAGTCAACATAGCATATCAAAATATCAGCCCCTGATATTTACACACAGTTGTAAAAATCAGTGATTTTTATTAACTGTCCATGAATTTAATGACAGTTGGCGGGGGTGGGGGTGTGTGTGTGGGGGTGGTGTGTGTGTGCGTGCGTGTGTGTGTGTGTGGGGCTAGTGAACACCTTGTCCCTGAAGTTGATGTGTTGAAAGCAGAAACAATTAGCAAGTGTAGGGATTTGAGCAATTTTGACAAATGCCAATGTCAGAGCAACTCCAAAATTGCAGCTCTTGTGGAATGTTCCTGATCTGCAGTGGTCAAGACCTACCAAGAGTGATCCAAAAAAGGAAAAAAAAACCGTCAGACTGGCGACAGGGTCACAGACAAACAAGACTCATTGATACATGTAGAGAGTGAAGGCCGGCCTGTGTATTCCAATGCAATAGATGAACTACTGTAGCTCAGTTTGCTGAAAAAGTTAATGCTGGTTGCAATAGAATGGTGGCAGAACGCACAGTGCATAACAGTTGTTGTGTATGGGGCTGCGCAGCCACAAACCAGTCAGAATGCCCATGCTAACCTGTGTCCACAGCCAAAAGCACCTACAATGGACACGTGAGCATCAGAACTGGACCACGGAGCAATGTCTGGTCTGATGAATCACGTTTTTTTTTACATCCTGTCGATGACCGGGTGTGTTTTTGTCGCTTACTTGGGGGAGAGATGGCAGCAGAATGCACTATGGGAAAAAAAGCAAGCCAGAGGAGACAGTGTGTGATGCTTTTTAGTGTGGAGTCTATGCCTTGTTGGGTCATGGCTGTTTGGTAGCAAAGGGGGAACTCAAAATTAGGTGGGTGGTCATAATGTTATGGCATGTGTGTACATACATACACTGTGCTTGCATTTTACATTGTATTTATAAATGCTGAGTTTGGTGTGGAGCCTGCAGTGCCCTTCATGTTGTTCTCAGTAAAATACTGCAGGTAACACTTCAGGATCGAAGAGGCTTATCGTATGACCTGTGACACTTTTTCCTCCCTGGATTACAATGAACAAGGATTTACTTGCTTCAGAGTCCTAAAGCATAGAGCAACCAAGCAACCCTTGGACACAGCATTGTCAGCTTGGGGAGGGTAGTGTTAGATGCACTAGCAGATTTTGATGGACTCGACTAACAAATTAAAGCCAAAATCCTGGTAACACTTTAAGCAGTTTTAGCAACAGTTTTTTTTCTTTTTGGAATAAAGGTTTTACATGAATGTTAAAGGAAGTTTTTGTGTGAAATACTTTTTTCAGGAAAAATATCAAGGTGCCAACAATTTTTTACATGTATTTTATAAATGCTGAGTTTGGTTAATGTTGTTCTCAGTAAAATACTGCAGGACTTCAGGATCGAAGAGGCTTAGTGAAAAATTACAGACTTACCTCCTGGATCACCAGGCAAAAATAAAAGAAAATAATAAAAAAAATAATGTAGCCACCACATTTAAGGATAGGTAGACTGCAATGTATTACATTTTTGCTTTTGGGTTTAGATGCACTTAGATGCAATCTTTTTATCTGATTTTATTACAACTAATTGTAAACTGAGCAATTTATTTTTCCATAGTAAGAAACTTAGCACCAGTTAAACCAAGTCAAATATGTCAAGTGGCACGATGTGTTTTAAAGTTTAATTCTTACTGATAATAGTTGGAACACACGGTAGGAGCTGACATGTTTATGTCTAAGAAATCCCACCACACGTTCCCCCTTATGTCTTACAAATTTGGCATTAAAGTCTAATTACTGTCATTACTCCATCAGAAGTGTGCAGGAAAACCTGAGCCAAGGGGGAAGCAGATTATCCTTTCCCTCCAGACTCATTACCTAAATGAAGTGCATCCAGGCACAAAACTGTTTTAATCTGGGAAAAGTTGACTCTAATTACTTGTACAATATGGAACCTTAGGGAAATCTTTAAGTTTGGTCCTCATATGCTTACAACCTGGAATGAGTTGGCCTATAATTCTCCAGCTGTTTGGAGCTAAAGACCCCAGTATAACCTGGCAGCTGGAGACACATGGGGCAAGCTAGGATCTATAGCCTGCAGCAGCTGTTGTGGTATAAGTTGTCGTCCTTTCATTTATATCTGGATATCTAAAATATTACAGCGTGAAGCTTATTCTTTTTACTGTCACAATTTTACTTGCCAGGCCATATCCTAAAGGAGATGAACGGAAGAAGGCTTGCCTAAGTGCTCTGTCTGAAGTAAAAGTCCAGCCAGGTAAGGTTTATGTCCATTCTGTTGATCATGCCTATATACATGCTGTAAAAACGTAGCTTAACAACAAACCGCAAAGAAAACATTTTTCAATTTATTCTTAGCAAATTTATTGGAAAACCAGCTAGGTGCATTCTGGGGCCATACGACCCTTACATAGGAGGGTGTCATGGACTGGTGAGTGCCCTTGGTACCCCCTGCTAGTATTCCTGGATAGCTAGTTGCCCTCCTCTCAATCAACCCTCCCATCCCTTCTTTACCCCCCCCCCCCCTCCTTTTTCATCTCCTTTTGGTGCAGACAGTTGGTTCCAGACAAGACGTCTGGAACTGCAGGTGATGATTTGGTTGGCTCTCCTGCATTAGTCAACGCAGCAGCAATGTCTCCCTGTAAGGGTTCAGCCAGACAACGCCACAGCTGTGACATACATAATTCATCAAGAAGGCACAAGAAGTTGAGCAGCCCAGGGAGAAGTGCATTCCGTCATGGGTGGAGCTTCATGTTCCTGCTCTGTCCACGGTTCACATTCCAGGAGTGGAAAATTGGCAGGTGGATTTTCTCAGCTTAGAGGTGTTTGAGGAGATGAGTGTGAAACTAAGACAGGTTCATTCCCAGGACCAGGAATCCTCAGGCATTTGTGGTGGATACTCTGGTAACACTGCGCCATCCCTCCGCTACAGTTTCTTCCATGTCTGCTTCACAGGATTTGGGTGAAAGAAATAATGGAGATTCTGATTGCCCTGGCTTGACCCAGGAGAATGTGGAACCGACCTTCCATCTCTAGGTCTGGTCTCCCATCGTTCTTCACAGTCCCTTACTTTACCAAGCATGGCTATTGAAGCCATAGTTTTGAGAGACGGGATTCTCTGATTCTGTTAATTTTACTTTTTTAAAACCAGGTAGGCTGCTTTGAGGAAGATTTATCACAGGACCTGGAAAGCTTATATTGCTGTGGTGTGAACCTAGGAATGTTCATCCTTTCAAGTATGTTGTGGGCTGTATCTTGGTTTTTCTCCAAACTGGGTTGATATGTGACTGGCCTTGAGTACATTCAAGGGTCAGATTTTGGCCTTGGCAGGCTTCTTTCAGAGGCTGATTACTACACATTCCTTGGTGCATATCTTTATACAGGGTGTTTGGTATATTACTTCTCCTCTCCAGGCAGAGACTGCCTTTGACCCCATGGTCAATTTGGTGCTTTTCTGTTTTATAAAAACCTCTGTTTAAGCCTATCACTTAGTTCTTTTGACACAGAAGGTTGCTTTCTGGTTACCATTACGTCATTACTACATTTTGAACTTGCACCCCTACTTCTTTTGGTACTCCACCTTGTCATGGTGGTTCTTTGACCTCTGCCATCTTTTTTCCCCTAGGTGGATTTGGTCTTTCTTCTCAACCAGTACATTGTATTACCTTCTTTTTCGTCCGAAGTCTCAGACACCAGGGGACAAGTTCTCCACACTTTGGATGTGGTTCATGCTCTTGGGATTTACCGGAAGTTCATTTCCATGATTGTGCATTTAGATTCTCCCTTCCTGCTTCCTGTGGACCCAAAGAAGGGTCATGCAGCTTGCAAGTTTGCTATTCCCTGTTTGAATTTCTCATCGTACTTCTCTATCTTATGGTTTGAAAGGGAAGGTTCCACTTTTCCCAGCGACTTCTTGTTCTATCACTAGTGTAGGTGCTTTGGGACATCCCTGTCATAAGGATTTAAGAAGATGCTCCATGTCCCGTGATGTACTATAAAGAAAATTGGATTTTAGGCTTAACTGTAAAATTCATTTCTTGGAGTATATCATGAGACACAGAGGTCCCTTCCCTCTGTGTCCAATCCCTTCAAAACAGGGATTTTTTTTAAACATTGTCCATTAACCTATAGGTGGCAGCATAACCTTGTCCTGCAAATTTACAGGTAAACCAAAAATCACATTTTTACACACTGGGGCTGAAACAAGCAAAGAAAAAAGAACATTTGTGAAATGCTCATTCCAGTGAATGGGATGAAAAGTGACACGAGGAAGAGAAAACTGTCACATGATTCTGACACCTTGGATGTCATCTCTGTAGCATTATGCAGCTGCCTAAAATTGGTGGCTCCACGCAGTGCTCTGCATTTTATAAATACATTGTAAAATGCAGGTGCAATGTGCAGTAATGAGTGATCTCCTGTTGAGAGTAGATATCACTCATTTTTAAATAGAACGAATAGCCGTCGTGCTGCCTTATTGAATAAGCTTATCGATATTGAAAACTGATGCTAGCTGCATGCTTTAGTAATCGTTCCATTCCATTTATATTTATTGCTTGGTGCCAGTGGCAGACTTCAGTGATCTGCTTTAAAGCCCAACTGTAACAAATTAAAAAAAAAAAATGTTTGGGAAGGGTGGAGGAAAAGGATAGTGCATTAGATTAGTTCGATTTTTATTCTTATCTCTCTTTACATTTGAAATTTGATTTACTCTCATTTCTTGTCAATATATTAGCGATGGAAAATATATCCAGTTGGGAGTTAGATTGCAACAAAGCACTTCTTTTACAATATAATAGGGGAGGTTATTATTCCTGTCTTCCTGTTCTGACAACAATCGCTCCCATCTTTTCCCATCAGGGGGACAGGAAGATAGGTGAAGTTATGCCAGCAGGACATAAAAAGGAACAGCACTTGACAGAAATATTTACTTTTTCCAAGGCTTTTCAAAATAAAAAGAAAAGAAGGTTTGGCTGAAGGTTAGAAGGTTAGGCATTGTATAAAATCTATTTTCATCAGTTTTATTATTTTAGGTAAGGTAAGACTGAATTCAGATTTCTATCAACTTTTTTTTTTTTTTTCTGTGACCTCATTGAGATATTTTTCCCTCACTTCCCTTTGTCTGTGCTAACCGTAGAGGGAACGGGGGGAACAGCTGTCCACAAGACCGGAAGGCACAGATAGTAATAACATTGTCACATGCTCGATCCCTTCAACACTCTGCTAAAAATGTATTTTTGTCTTTAATCCACTTATTGCAGACAGAAATAAAAACCAAACAGCGGTTCTAGCCCTTCTCCGCTTTATACAGAATTGAGCTGCAGTTTGCATTTAAGCATTTTAATGTAGTCAGACTTGTACTTTTGATGGCTGTCTGGGCTTTACTTTTTCGATCCACTTATTTAAAACATTACCTATATGTGCTTAAAAGCAGTATCTTTGTGGTACATGATCTTCATTTGTTTCAATTTGTAGGATGTTACCTGCCTAGTAATCCAGAGGCCATCGTCTTGGATATTGATTACAAATCTGGAACTCCTATGCAGAGGTGATATGCATAGAAAATATATATATATTTTTTCTCATTTTGATAAAAGTATTAATATGTGTACAGTATTTTAATGCATTTGACTTTAAAAAATATGTTATATCCATATGGTAAAAAGAGAAACTATAGTGTATTAAAGTGCACATTTTAGTTATACATTGGCCTGAAAATAGTTTGTAATGTGACTTTGGCTCTTTTACTGTTGGTCTCTGTTCCCTATTTTGGTCAGTGTACTTCATATACAGCAGGGCTGCTCAACCTTTGGCACTCAGAGCCCTCTGATGTGGCTCTCCACATCAAACCAAGGAAGAGCATGCCTGGGGTCGGCAACCCGTTAATTATGATGACTTGCCAACCCGCCATCCCAGAGCATCAGAGTGCATTGAGCCAGCTCTGGCAGCAGAGGAAGCAGGCGGCCATGTAGAGAGCAGGAGCCGCATAAGCCTATTCTGCTTCCGATGCTGCTTCTTCCCCCAACCACTGCTGACCCTGCCCCATGCTCCAGGGAGCCAATATGGCCTTCCAGTCACATTCTGTTTTAAACTTGGACAGGAGAGGCAGCATATACAGGAACCGATCCTCTCAATTTTTTTCTACTTCAGCAGCTGCAGGAGGAAAATTGTTCAAAATTAAAAATGCGAAATTCTGAACCATTTTATTTCAGTGTGGCCCACGACTGGTTACCAAATCACTTAAGTGGCACTCTCTCTTCAAAAGGGTTGAACATCCCTAATATACAGCTATGTACAGTATCTCACCGAAGTGAGTACACCCCTCACATTTTGTAAATATTTTATTATATCTTTTCATGTGACAACACTGAAGAAATTACACTTTTTACAATGTAAAGTAGTGAGTGTACAGCTTGTATAACAGTGTACATTTGCTGTCCCCTCAAAATAACTCAACACACAGCCATTAATAAATTGCTGGAAACAAAAGTGAAAACACCCCTAAGTGACAATGTCCAAATTTGGCCCAATGTATCAATATTTTATGTGGCCACCATTATTTTCCAGCACTGCCTTAACCCTCTTGGGCATGGAGTTCACCAGAGCTTCACAGGTTGCCACTGGAGTCCTCTTCCACTCCTCCAGGATGACATCACAGAGCTGGTGGATATTAGATACCTTGCACTCCTCAATTTACACTGTTATACAAGCTGTACGCTCACTACTTTACATTGTAGCAAAGTGTCATTTCTTCAGTGTTGTCACATGAAAAGATAGAATAAAATATTTACAAAAATGTGAGGGGTGGACTCACTTCTGTGAGATACTGTAAATGCTCCCTCTAGTGGTCATTTGGATAGCAAGAAATTAGCCTATTGGTGCTGACTTGTTTTAAAAGGTGACATTTTGAGGCTTTCATCCTCAGCCTTTCCCAACTACTTGGTGAGTCACTAATGTAGAACAAGTATTTGACTTTTCATTGGTTGCATGCTTGGTCTAGACTAGTTACTTGCTGCCTAGCGAAGCAAGTATAAAGGTGACATTCCCTGAGCATCTTTCTATCCTAAAAGGTACCCTTTAGGACTGCTGAGATAAACACAAGTTTATGGGGAATCTGTTTCTGTCAGTAGACTTCCTTTGAAAGAGCGGAACATCTTGACATTGTGATACTTTCGGACACATTATCCTCTGAGACCACTTTCTTTCTTCTTCTTTCTCTTCCTTCTACCCTGGGGTCTCGTTCGCGCCATGTGTGCAGAAAGACTGATGGAAACTGATGAGCAGATTTCACTTGCAGTGACATTAGTTTACATCGGTGGTGCGGGCAAGGCACATAGAGAACAGTTGGTTCTGCTGTGTTCTTGCAGAATGCATGCAGAGAGGCTGGCGTCTCTGCACTGTGGTGTGAGCTCGAGCCCTAATTTTTTATTGCTTCTCCCCCCCCCCCCCCCCCCCCCCTGCTTTTTAATTCCCTCTTATTCAACCTGGGAGCAGGGGCGGACCGACCATTCAAGCTCTCGGGCACTGCCCGAGGGCCCAGGGTCAGTAGGGGGTCCCATGAAATGCCCCTGGTACATTTTTATAGGCTTTTTTGGGTGTGCTTAAGTGTGGGCAAGGACACGGGCCCCATGATCCCCTATTGCCCGGGGGCCCCATGAGTTGTCAGTCCACCCCTGCCTGGGAGGTCTTCTTCATTTTATATTTCTTTGCATACTTCAGTTGACTGACACCCCTCCGGTCCAGTGACCAAGAATACACTGTAGCTCAGTGCATTTCCTCATACTTTTGAGGTTCTGCCTCCTTCGGTTTCACTTTTTGTTTTTTTTGGGGGGGTGGGGGGTTATTACTACTGACAACTATGTTCCATTCTTTAAAAATATCAAAATGTAATTTTCATGCTGTGGATCAGTTTTACTATTACAACAATTTAATCATTGTAATTCTCTCTCATCCTACTGTATTTTGGAGCTGTACTCCGAATTATGTTGCACACTCTGGCTTATTGCCTCAATCATTTTGGCTCTGTATGTCTATGCTATCTGTTAATAAAAACCTTTGTAAAAGAAATAGTGGAACATCAAGGTGCATCACTACTTGAGATCAGACCCTGCTTATGCTGCATAACATACACATATGGCTATGTTTTATACTAATTTTGTTCTTTGTGGCTTACTGGAACTTTCAAAGATGTTTGAGAATGGTAAGAGAGTGGCAAGGCTCTTTGTTGCTAACCTAAAAAGCTGAAGTGAGTACCAGAGCCACAACATCAACAATACAACCTAGGCGTGAGCCTAGGGGCTGATGGTTGTCCAGCTTCATCCTTCATTCTCCCACTGTAAACTATGGGGCTAACCCAAATGGTTAAAAAACCGTGCACCTGCCTTTCACTTCACAAGGAAAGTTTCACTTGTAAGCAGTAGGTGACAGGGCATACCAGTAAATAAAAGCAGATGGGGCAGCTTCTCTTTGCCTATACCAGTCAGTGGCAAGAAAGGGGGGCTACTACATTGCTTGAGATCCCTATTCTGCTTAATCCTTCTCTGGCGAGGGCCATGTTGTATATTCTGAATACAGCAGCAATAACTGAGTGTGACATAGGTTGTGTCACTATGATTTCTAGCCTGCTATGAATACTTTTTGACTTTAATTCACTGGCTTACAGATGACTGGTGTTTTGTCTTGCCTTAGTGAGAATTTTTTGGTATTTTTTCGCTCTGTAAAATGTATAAGGTATTTTCAATGAGCTAATATTTTGCATCTTTATTGTGCTGTTTACTTTTTTACTTTATGAAATGTATGGATTTGTAGATTAGTATAGAAGAAGGATGATTAGCTGTTGAGATAAGACATCAGCCCCCATTTTTTGTTTTTAATGAGTTGGCTGACTAAAGCGGACCATAGAAGGAGAGTTTTTTTGGGGGGGCTGAATAAAAAAAAAAACCAGCTCACACTACTCTATCCACACAAACGAGATGGATGGAAGAATCCCCTCTCTGGGACATTGCATTTTGACAGCAGGACCCACTAGATGTGTTCCTCCTAAAGAAAAAAAAAAATACAAAATGCTTTTGGTATGTATTTTCAGTGCTGCAAAAGCTCCATATCTGGCGAAGTTCAAGGTGAAGAGATGTGGAGTGAGTGAGCTGGAGAAAGAAGGTAAGTGTCAGTTACTACAGCCACCTGTATAGACCTCTTTACACTTGTACTTATTCATTCTGCACTTCCTTTCTTTTTCAGGCCTTCGCTGCCGCTCTGATTCTATTGATGAAAGTGAGGAGGAAGGTGGTGATAAAAAGATTTGCTGGCAGGCAGCCATATTTAAAGTTGGCGATGACTGCAGACAAGTGAGTATAAAAGATTAGATGGAATAGGAGTATTGATAGTATCTTAGCAGACCTAGGGGATGACCCGGTGGTGTACAGACTTCCCATTGGAATAATTGGAGGCAATGGGATTTGTGTAGGGGAGGAGATATTAGCTGACTGAGGACAATCAAGTATATGCCTTGCCAGAGCTGCTGGGTGAGGGCATTGGGGACCACTAAGGGTAAGTTCAGCTTGAGGCACTTACCCTTCAAATGCATATACCAGGCAGACTGCTAAATTTAAGGAAGCTGTAATCAGTTATTGCTGGAGCAGTTAATATGTCATTTGTAACTGGAATATAACTTTTATTGCATCCCGACTGCAAGTAACATTGTGTTTGGATGGCTGTATGCCACCCCTGACAACCCTGTTATTCTAGGCTATAGCCTGTGCTATGCAGAAATCTGCTCTTGGCTACAGCAAACCAGGAACTTAAGCTCAAATATCTTACTAATATCTCACAGATATCTCACTAATAGAGTGAGATAATAAAGTATTAATAGAGTCTCCAAGAGGTGCAGGAAATTGGTTGTTTAAATTTCCATCATCTACCAAAAAACAATACAAGTTTGGGTAGCCTAGGCTTTTATATAAGGTAACACAGACGGTGCCTTCCCTGAATATTAAAATCTGTATAGATTTGGTGTGTTCTCAGCTCTTAGGCAAACCAAAATATCAAATTCTGAGACAGAATTTACAGACAAAGCTAAAGTAGGCATACAAATTTTATTCGATTTTTTTTTTTTTTTTTTTTTTAAATTCTTTTGAAAGAGATCTAGTGACTTTTCTCCTATCATAGGACATGCTGGCTCTGCAGATCATAGATTTATTCAAGAACATTTTCCAACTCGTTGGACTCGACCTCTTTGTTTTTTCCATATAGAGTGGTGGCGACAGCTCCTGGGGTGAGTAGATGATTCAGTTTGAGATCTGTTTAGACATTTAGATATTTTGTATATTCAATGAGCAGTATGTATTTTTCTGTCTGTTTTTAAACAATACAGTATTCTAAAACACAGCATTTTTTTATGAAAGCAACAGCAAAATATTTTTTTGTAAATATAATCCTGATGCATGTGAAAAATGTTCTAATTTTATAGCGGTGAGTAAAATTAAGAAAATTTTATATTTCTGCATGAATGCCTCCTAAATTGTGTTGTGGTCTTCATCTAATTGATAATAATGATTCTTATTTGCCAGATAAACAACATTTTATTTTACCATAACTTTAGTGAAGAAAACATTTAGTGTTTATTCACACATAGTATGGTGACCCGCACTTTTCAGTAAGGGCTTGTCCATCGAGTGCTGTTGATGTTCGCTTGGAAGTGAACAGTTCTGATTACAACAGGAAGATACTCATCACTTATTGTTTATTTAAGAACATAAAACAATATTGCAGTTACATGTTTGGTGTCCACAAGGCACCCAGAATGACCAGCATTGCTATCGTAGAGAATGCACCACTCTACCCACTTCCTTTGGGTGCAAGCATGCGTTCCACAGAGCAGAAATGATGTATCGGCCAAAGCCCCACCAAAGGTGTTTTGTCAAACAGGGTTTGACTAAAAGTTTTGGTAGTGCATCTATACATTTGGGGGAAACTGTTGTGAAAATAAAGTGTGTTCATCAATTCTTCACAATTCCTGCAGTTTTGGTCTACACACAAAACAAAACCTAGGCAACTGCTTGCCTATTTATTTAGTCCTTAGTAGAAGCTGCTTTATATTCAGTAACTGCAGTCAAAGTATTTCACTGATTGTTCACATCTGCACAGCTAAATCTAGTGTACAGAATTATTTTTAACGTTTTGGACATTCTAAAATACAGAATTCCCTCTGAATCATTGTCCTGTTATACAACAAAACTTCTCAGTTTTAGATCAAAGGTTCTGAAATTTCTTAGAATTTCAGTGATGTCAGTGTGCAATGTTTGTTTTCTCCAGAAAAGACAGCATGTACATTTACCAAACAGTTAAACTTCTCTATCCAGACTAACTTGTTCTAGTATTGTTGTGGGACATCCAGGTGGTTAGCAAACATGAAGTGCAGCAGTGCAGATATATGAATCTCACACCTTTTTGTTGTATTGCAGTGCGGGGTTATTGAGTGCATTCCAGACTGCACCTCAAGGGATCAGCTGGGCCGTCAGACAGATTTTGGCATGTATGATTACTTCACTCGCCAGTATGGGGATGAGTCTACCCTAGCATTTCAGAAGGTATAGTTTCTACATCATCTTGATATGGTAATCTACTCTGTGCTGCATTAAAGTTTACAATACATTATTTTTATATCTTCTATATTTTCTTTAGTCCTAAAAGTCGCAAGGGCTCTATGCTTTAAATTCATTTATGCGCACATATTTCATCTGACTGCACAGGTCGCCATTTTAATTGTTATGACTCAGGTGTTCTACTCCTGTACAGACATGCTGACCTGTGCTTTTGGCTTCTTAAAGTGATGGTAAATTGATTTTTTTGATAACAAACATGTTATAATTACCTGCTTTGTGCAATGGTTTTGTACGAAGCGGCCTTGATCCTCCTCTTCTTGGGACCCCCTCTGGTGGTCCTGGCCCCTCCTGCCTCGCTGAATTCCCATCATAGCAAGCCACTTGCTTTGGGGGCACTCTTGTGGGCTTGCTCCCGAGCCAGCTCCCTCCTCAGTGGCTGTGATTGACAATGGCTACCGTTGCTGTCTCTGAGGCTATGATGAGGGAGAGAGCCAAGAGAGCCCCTGCTCTTCTGCACAGTGCTGGATCGAGATCAGGCCCATGTAAGTATAAGGTGGGGGGGAAGCTGCGCTCAGATGTTTTTTTTTTTTTTTTACCCTAATGCAGAGAATGCATTAAGGTAAAAAAAAAAAACCTTCAGCCAATTGAACCACTTTAATAATACAGTGCCTTGAAAAAGTATTCATACCCCTTGAAATGTTCCACATTTTGTCATGTTACAACCAAAAACGTAAATGTATTTTATTGGGATTTTATGTGATAGACCAACACAAAGTGGCACATAATTGTGAAGTAGAAGGAAATTAATAAATGGTTTTCAAAATTTTTTTATAAATAAATATTTGAAAAGTTTGGTGTGCATTTGTATTCAGCCCCCCTGAATCAGTACTTTGTAGAACCACCTTTCGCTGCAATTACAGCTGCAAGTCTTTTTGGGTATATCTATACCAGCTTTGCACATCTAGAGAGTGAATTTTTTTCCCATTCTTCTTTGCAAAATAGCTCAAGCTCTGTCAGATTAGATGGAGAGTGTCCTTGAACAGCAATTTTCAAGTCTTGCCATAGGTTCGCAATTGGATTTATGTCTGGACTTTGACTGGGCCATTCTAACACATGAATATGCTTTGATCTAAACCAGGGGTCTCCAAACTATGGCCCTCCAGGTGTTGAGGAACTGCAAATCCCATGAGGCCTTGCAAGACTCTGACAGCCACAGGCAAGACTCCCAGAGTCAGAGGCATGATGGGACTTGTAGTACTTCAACACCCGGAAGACCATAGTTTGGAGATCCCTGATCTAAACTATTCCATTGTAGCTCTGGCTGTATGTTTACAGCCACACTTTTCAGATATTTATTTGTAATAAATTTTGAAAACCATTTATCATTTTCCTTCCACTTCACAATGATGTGCCACTTTGTGATGGTCTATCACATAAAATCCCAATAAAATAAATTTACGTTATTAGTTGTAACATGATAAAAGGGGTATGAATACTTTTTCAAGGTACTGTATGTGGCTCATCCTGCTTGCGCTAGTTATCAGCTGACCAATGAAGTACCCATTGCAAACATAGTCAGGTCAATAGGCAGAAGCTGCAGTAAGAGATCACAGGTATACTGCATATAACTTGTAGGCTAAATTAGGGAAGGTTCAAGATGTTCTTCATTTGTAAATTCATGGGAAATAAATTATTAGAAATTAAAATAGGCTGAAATCCATGTCTTTTTGTATTTAATGGGGATTATGTATATGTGAATTGGAGGCAGCGGCTAGGATTACTGGTACGCCAGTAATGTCCTGAGTAAAGATTTAACTAGAAACCTACCTGTATGTGATTTCCATGTTTTCCCCAAATGTTTTTGCTTTCTCTGGGTGCTGTGGTTTCCACTCTGCAAATGTAGCTGATTTGTTACATAGATTTATTCCTTTTTCTTTTTTCACAGGCCCGGTATAATTTCATCAGGAGTATGGCAGCCTATAGCCTCCTGCTCTTCCTGCTGCAAATTAAAGACAGACACAATGGCAATATAATGCTGGATAAATTGGGTCACATCATCCACATTGGTCAGTTCTGATTTTGTTGTCAGATATGTATTTCCATCATTCATCTGTGTGTTTTTCCTAATGGTTGAGCTTCATTGGCTTTTTTAGTAACTCAGTTGTGCTTATAATTATGAGCAGTTATTCACTTTGAGAAGTAATCAATGGCTAAACAGATATAACTTATAGTTTTCTGTTCTGTAAATTACACTATGAATTATTGGTGCACCAAAGTGAAAACTCTGGTGCCAAAACCGATACCGAAAATTCAGAATGCATGTGGCCAAAAACCAAACCAAAACCGAAACGTCTGCGTATGTGGGGGTGGGGAGGCTCCAATTATTTTTTTTATTTTGCTTTCGTGCATATATTTTTATTTATTTTTTTTAGCTTATGATTTTATTGCTATCACATAGGGGACCAATAGTCCCCTATGTGATAGCATATGAGTAACAGGTCTTCATTGTAGGGGGTGTGGGAGGGGGCAGTGTGCCCAAGGAGGGAGCAGAAGAGGAGCAGTGTATACAGTGATGGAGCAGTATATACAGAGAGGCTCCCTCACTGGCTGCCATTATATGTCAGTGCTGGTTTTTAAATGCAATTGCTGGCTTTTTTTTTTCCTTCACTATAGCTCAGATAATGAGCTGTCACTTTCCCCGGAGCTAAAGGAAACTTTGTTTCTTTTAGCTCAGAAAAAAACTAAAAATAAACTTTGTTTCTTTTAGATCAGGGAGAGTGACAGATCATTCTCTGAGCTGTAGTGAAGAAAAAAAAAAGCTGGTAATTACATTTAAAAACTGACACTGACATAAAGTGACAGCCAGTCACTGTAGACACTGCTCCTCTCCTCCTCCTTTCTCCACCCCCCCCCCCCCTCACATCTGCAGTACACACAGTCCCGTGTATCGGCACCTGTATTGGCTACATTTTTCCTTTTGGCAAAATGCCGATAGGGCTATTTTCAGCCGATATGTTTTGGTGTTCGAAATTTCGGTGTATCTCTACTATGAATATGTAGGAGTGGTTAATTGTGCATGAACAAAATGTGGGCAGCTGTGAAGCTCTAGAATATATGTCTTTTCCATCTTTTACACTGTCAGGTTTACTTAGCATAAACCCTGTTTTCTTATAGTCCATTGAGGGACATAGAAATTCTCAAAAAGTTGGGTTATACTGCTGCCTACAGGAGGTTGGGACACTGACAAACAAACCTATCCTGCTGCTCCCGATACTGAAGCACATTATAGATTATCTGGTTTATAGCCACATCCCACTACCTGACTACATTGACTTAGTTACCTATGGCCACTTGCAGCCCAGTACCAGCTGCTTCGGGTTGTGATTTTGCAAAGCTTTGCTTCACATTGGGCTAAGTTTTTCTTTTTTTTGCTATGCAATGCAATATGTCTTCTCAAAGACTCACAGTGGACAGACTCATCCCGCTGCAACAGGACCTCAGCCCATACTTTCCTACTGGTTGGATTCTCAGTATCCCTAGAAGGAATTAATTCCTGTAACTCTTGTCGACCCCCCCCCCCCCAGTGGGTCATTAGAACCGTTGTGCCTGTTTACAAGAACAGACAGGACGTCTATGACAACTCCGCAATCAGCGGTCATGTGCTCGGCTGAGTTCTCACACTTAGAGCCGGTGGGAGACCGATGCTCCATCCACCTCGATAAGTATGATTTTAAAAAAAAAAAAGAAATCCCACACTTCTCTTTTAAGGATTTTATATTCCCCACTTAGATCTAATTTTGCAACAACAGGAGTGACCTTCTGTCCTTTGTTGTCAGTGATACTGATTATTTCATAATAAAGGGAAGCCGTTGTGTCACAGAGAGTTTTTAGCAGATCTGCACTTTATCTGTGATGGCCTCTTACCAGAATCTAAGCTGGTGTCTCTTATGGTGATGTTGTCTATTCCCCTTCAAGAAAGGTTGTGTCTTCGGACCTGCCCTTGACCGTTATTAGCTATGCCACTGGTGCTTGGTGTGCTACTGCCTCAACACAGGAGATATGTAGGCGAGGTGAGAAAAACAAACAGAGGGTTTACCTTAAAAAATGTGTTTATTAAATGTTAAAAGTAGGTATTGTACTCACAAGATGAAAAGACAGTCAAAGGCACATCGTGAAGGAACATCTCTGTCCAATCCACACTACGTATCTGTCCGTAATGGGAACTCTAGACCTCCAACAGGCTGACGTGTTTCTAGGACTTGCCTCTTCCTCAGAGCCCTGAGCCCTGACTGTATTGTCATTTTGTGAGTACAATACCTACTTTTACCTACGCCCTCTGTTTGTTTTTCTTAATTCAGTGTATTTGGACTTCCCTGGTCTTTTGATGGCAGCAAGGCGTGCATATCCCAAGAATTTCGTGATGTGGTCCTAACTACACTGAGTCCATCCCTAAGCGCAGGTGTATTTGAGTTTACCATTTCTTTAATGTAGGCGAGGTGGAGGAACCACCCTTTTCATTACAGCCATAGTACCTTGGGGACATCTACAGCTTACCATCTGGTCAGGCTGCAGATCTTAAAGCCAGAGGTCTTTTTTTCCTCTGCTCAGCCTTCAGCTGCACAGTGTATACAACAGTGTTTACATTTGTGATTGCTATGATTTATTATCACAGCAATAACATGGTATAGAGCCACTCAGGTTGGTTCTGTACACTGTATCTGTGAACAATGCTCATTTCACAGCCATTAACAGGTGCACTGTCCACCCAAGTGTGATTTCTGCTGTGTCATTTACATCTAGACATGCTTCTGTGCTGATATATCACAGAAAGTGTTCAGAGTACACATGACAACTCTGAATTTCTAAGCAGATCAACAGGGTTTTTAAGATCCTTTTTTTTATTCTGCACAGGGACAAAGTGATCTTGATATCAAGACCTTCTTCTCTGCTCACGGTGGTTTCTCCCATCCTCCTCAGTGAGGAGATCATCCTCCCTTCCCTTTTCCTGCTCCAAAACACAAACAAATTTTCCTATGCTGCTTTGATGTTTTAAAGGTCTTCCTGACAGCCACGGCTTCTGTTGGAAAAACTGAGTTTCTTTTGGTCATACAGTACCTGCAGGCCCTTGTAGAGGACATCTTGCCTACTGTTTCACCATTGTAGGGTGGATCAGAAAAGTCACTTCCAAGGCCCACACCATTAAGGAAAAAGTTCCCTCCTTTTTCCTTATTGGAGCCCATTTTGTAAGATTATTAGGTGTCTCATGGGCTTTACAGAATCAAGCATCTCTATTCCAGATTTGTAAGGCTACCACCTGATCCTATATACACCCATTCTCCAGGTTTTACAAGGTGGATGTGCAGGCCTCAGCAGATGTAAGTTTCAGGTGCTTCAAGCTGTTTTAAGGTTCTCAACCCCTGTGTTTGTTTGTTTTTTGGAATTTTTTTTGTGGGCTTTTTGGCAATTCTCTTTTATTATGTTGTTGCACATCCCTCAAGTTATTGATTGGGGACATCCCATGGTCTATGCATACAAGTCTTGTTTTCTGTACTGTACAATTAAAGTTTTGGGAATTTAGACTTAACTGTAAATCCCTTATCTTGGAATACAGTACAGGACACATGGCCTTCTAATCCATCTTTTGTGGTCACTCTTTATTGCGTCAATAAAAGCTGGAGCGTGAAATAGGGTGGCCGCTAGCAAAGAATTTTGACAGTTTCCAATCACCTGAAGGTAGCCTGCATATCACCCATGCTCTATGAATGTGAGTCCTGTGTACAATACTGCAAGCTAAGGAATTTACAGATCTACTCAAAAATTCCCTTTTTTTTTTTTTTTTTTTACAAGTATAGAAATAAGCAAATAAACAGGTAAAACACATTCAGTGCATGTGAAAAGTGTTTACACATGCACCATAATACACTTTCACCTAGAACTACCTAGAACCTAGCATCCTAGAACTGCACTGAGACTGCATGAAGTTTAAAATATATGCATATGAACAGGTCCCCCACATGCCACCTGTTGAGCGGCTACTTCTTTCTACCTGCAGATTTTGGATTTATGTTTGAGAGCTCTCCAGGAGGCAACCTAGGATGGGAACCCGACATAAAGCTGACTGATGAGATGGTGATGATCATGGGAGGCAAAATGGAAGCTACACCTTTCAAGTGGTTCATGGAGATGTGTGTGCGTGGGTACCTGGCTGTGCGGTGAGGGCTATTTTTGTTTTTCTCAGTCAAAATTTTTTTTCCCTATTTATATTTTTAGCTATGTAATACTAACTGTACCTGGATAGTTAACACATTTAGAGTAGAGGAAAAAAGCAGCAAATTTTTTTGTTTGTCGCTAAAAAACAAAACAAAAAAAAACCCCTACATTACCCTGATCAGATATGCATGTCATTCTTTTTTGTCTTATAACAAAGGAAGGATATTCTGCATACTGCACTATGTCTTTGTTCCCAGACAAATCTTCCCAACATATCCCTGAATACTTTCTTTAAACATATTTGCAGTTGTTAAATACTTTAGTACTTCTAGGGCTTTTTGATACCACAAATAAAAACCTTGGTGTTAGTAAGGCTGCGCATTCCTCAGTACTGTAACTTGATGAGCTGCCAGTAAGTTCTTAGTTAGCTACTTGAATTAAACTTACTTAAACTTACTTAAGGCCACAACACAGTTATATTTATTAGTTTATCCAGTAGTACAGAGAGGTTCCCTTCTTACTCTCCTTTTAATTAGCTGTAGATGTCAACACTTTGGAATTATAACCTATGTTTTCGAATTACTAATTTTATACACTTTGTATTGCAGGCCATATATGGATGCGGTAGTGTCATTGGTCACCCTCATGTTGGATACAGGACTACCATGCTTTCGTGGACAAACCATTAAGTTGCTTAAGTGAGTTAATGGATACATGCTAATCTTTAGTAAACAGATGGTCTCTGACTTTTGGTCACATCTCCCTACTTTTTTCAAATACAGGCACAGGTTCAGTCCCAACATGACGGAGAGGGAAGCAGCCAATTTCATCCTGAAGATTATTCAGAACTGTTTCCTAAGCAACAGGTTTGAAATCTTTTTCCATCCCTGAAAATGCTTAATTCACTGAACTATTATTATTATTCATTATTATTCAGGATTTATATAGCACCAACAGTTTGCCAGCACTTTACAAGGTGAGGGCAAACAAACAGTACAGTTACAGTACAATTCAGTACAAGAGGAATCGGATGGCCCTGCTCCTTGGAGCTAACAATCTAAAAGGGAGGGTCAAGTGATACAAAAGGTAATAACTGTGGGGGATGATCTGATGGAGAAAATAAAAGTACAGTTATTAGGTGGGGCAGGATAGGCTTCTCTGAAAAGATGGGTTTTCAGGGATCGTCTAAAAATAAACAGAGTAAGAGACAGTTGGACAGATTGGGAATTCCATAGGATGAAAAAGACTAAAAAAAACAGTCCTGGAGGCTAGCAAGGGAGGAGGTGACAAGGGAGCTAGTGAGCAGAAGGTCTTGGAAGGAACAAAGAGAACAATTTGGTTGGTATTTTGAGACTAGATTAGTGATGTAGCTGGGGCTGAGTTATGAATAGCTTTGTATGATGTTGTTAGTATTTTGAAATTATTTTGTTGAGTGAGAAGAAGCAAGTGGAGGGATCAGCAAAGAGGAGTAGTAAACACTGAACGGTTGGTAAGGTGGATGAGACTGACAGCAGCACTCATGATGGACATAAGGGGGGATAGCCTATGTAGAGGTAAGCCAGTGAGGAGGCAGTTGCAGTAGTTGAGGTGAGAGATGACCAGGGAGTGAATTAGAAGCTTTGTGATGTCATTGGTTAGGAAGGGGAGTATTTTGAAGATGTTGTGGAGGTTGAGGCTGCAAGCTTTGGACAGTGATTGGATGGGCTGAAAGGAGAGTTCAGAGTCCTGGATTACACCTAGCACCTTGGCATTTGGTGACAGGTTGATGGTTGTGCCATCGATCTTGACAGAGCAGTCAGGGGAAGAGGCACATGCGGCAGGAAATATGAGCTTGGCTTTGGGTAGATTGAGTTTGAGGAAGGGGTGTAACATCCAGGCTGATATGTCTGCTAGTAAATTATTAATGCGTGTGGAGACTGATGGAGTGAGCTGTGGGGTAGAAAGTTAGATTTGGGTGTGATCAGCCTAGAAATGGTATTGAAAGCCATGGGAGGCTATCATCTGACCCAGGGAGGAGGTGTAGATTGAGAATAGGAGAGGTCCAAGAACAGAACCATGGTGGACCCAGACAGAGGAAGTAAAATTGTAAGCGACGCTGAAGATGTGATGGGATAAGTAAGATGAGAACCAGCAGAGTACACAATTAAAGGTAATAGGGAGAAATTTGTGCCATTTTTGGAATCAAACTTACCCAGGGACAGGTCTAACATTCGAGGCACCAAAATGTGTGTTGGCCTGTGTAATTCATAGCTTTGATTGCAGGATTGCTGAGCTCTATGAACCCCATTGTGAGGTGCTTGCAATAGATGCCAGTGCATAATGGTCCCTCCTGTTTGGTGGTCAACCACCACCTCCTATATTTGAGTATGAATAAATTATGTCTTATGTCTTGCTGATGTTAAATATTAGAAGAATGTGAAAGGTTAAAAATCACTGCTTATACAATCTTGCCTAGCTGCTTATTGTGTTTTTTGTTTTTTAATATTACAGTAATTTGTTTTATTTCCTCTTACAGGAGCAAAACATATGATATGATCCAGTACTACCAGAATGACATCCCATACTGAGGTCCTTTTGATCTAGTGCACCCTTGCTGTGTTCGTAGTGAACTGTAGTCTCCAGTGTCTCTAGTCACGCCCTAAATCACAAAATCATGGTATCATTGGATAGTGTGAAGTGTAGGGACTGCGAGACTTGAGAGGTGAGAGAGGCAGAATGCTTGACTTGTGACAACAAGTGTTCTATTTCTTGCACTGGTTCTTCATATTCCTTCCATGCAATATACAATTGACTATGAATAAGATGAATTAGCTGTAGTTCTGCATTACAGACTGAAGTGCAATATATTTTTTGCTGGGTTCTTGTAACAGCATGTTATTTTGTAAAAGTGGCCTTGTGGGAAAACAATATTTTATTTATGTTTTAAACCACCACTCTCATCATTCTTCCCAATGAAAACAAATTTGCCAGTTTAGCAGCACTTTGATTGGTCACAAGGACATTCTCTCTCAGGACTTGAGCACCTACTGGGTGCTTCTGTTGGCGAAATAAATAATAGATGAGAGCTCACCAACGGTTCTTTCTGGAATGTATTGCACTGCACCTCCGAACATGAGGAAGCCACTTCACACAGGATAGATGAAGAAAGTTTATTTCCTCTTGTGTGTGTAAAAACTTGCAAATGTGTATTTAATCTGTAAACTGTAATTAAACTGTTACATATTGGTTTCCTATGTCTAAATGGGATGGGGCTCGCTGATGTTTTTAAATTTAATTACAAAATATTTCAATGTATATATGTATATTTAGCATTTTTTTGTATATGTGTATGAATGGGCAACACAAGCATTCATATATAATGTGAGTTTGAACATCAATGTCACTTCATACAATGTAAGATCCAAAATGCATTTAGAATTCAGACATAAATTAGGCCATTTTAATTCAATAGAAACATGTGCACCCTCCCCGCCCCCCAAACTCCCCCTTGGGAGGGGGGGGGTGTTTTTAACATAAGAACGTATGACCTTACACTCAAGATCAGGCATAAATATCATTAGTGGGTGGCCAGAGAAGAAGAAAAAGCTGGCCGCCGATGATGTAGTTTTTCAATTGGCTGGCATGGGGCTGACAAAACTTATCATGTCAGAAAGTGCCATTATTTGAAAGATAAAAGCACTTTTATATGGGAAAGTGTACTGGCCTCCCTATATACTTTTACTTTATGTTGGGTTTTTAAGAGGGGGGCAGTGTCCACTTTAGAAATAGCTCTTGGTTTGTAGAGATGGGCCTATTCGTGTTTCGTGGCCAGTTTCCATTCAAGATACTCCCTTACAAGCCTGCCCCAATATTGTTTCCTTTTTGTGTTTGACCGCTAACAAATAAAGACCATCCAATGTTTGTCACAGTCACCTTTTAGATTCTCTCTGTAAGCTACATTGGTTGAGTTGGATTATGTAGTCCAGAGCTCGACAAATTCCGGGCACCAGGTTGCCATGGTGACTAGAAAATACGGCCTGGCGCCTGGGCTGTTGTCAGCCCCAGTAGTGTAGCATAGGGGAGCGCAGACAGGCGCAACATTGCCGGGCAGCCTGCAGGTATCACTGCCTCGTATGTGAGGCCGGCGGGTAAGGAGGAACGGCGTTGTGAGGGCTGGTTAAAGAGGTGAGCAGTGGGAATGTGAAGGGTGGATTAGGGGAGATGCGGGGCTATACATTAGTAGAAGGGGTGGGTCATCAGAGGACCGGGGCTGGCAGAAAGTGTCCCCTGTGCGGCTCTCAGTGACACCTGCTGCTCCAGGTAGATTCTCAGCCTCACCTCGGAGCAGAAACCGGTGGCGTGACAGCCAGTGTGGCCACCTATCAGAGCCCCATCAGTGTCCCATAAGTGCAGTCTTATCAGTGCAGCCTCATTGCTGCACATCAGTGAAGTAAAAGGTTTTTTGTTTTTTTTTAAGTTTTAGTCTTTTCTTCTTGTATTTAATAACAAATAAAAACCCCAGTGGTGATTAAATATGACTAAAAGAAAGCTCTCTGTCTCAAAAAAAAGATAAAAATTTAATTTGGGTACAGTGTTGCATGACCGCGCTATTGTCCTTTACCCTCGGTTCACATCTGTGCGGGTGGTACTGCTGTGGGATCCCACAAATACCTGCAGCCGCACCACCCATACAGAGGAATGCGGGACCCGTAGCAGGGTAACATTAATTCTAATGGCACACCGCCCGCACTAGAAATCGCAACCGTGTTGGGGACCTTGGTTCCTGTGCAGGCTGCGATTTCCAAAGTAGTGCAGGGATTTCTTCCCTGCCTGTTCCAGGGCACAGGAGTCCATTCAAATGAATGGGCTCTCATGCCTGCGCAAATTGCGGCCTGCACGACCGCACAGATGAGAACCAGGGCTTAAAGTGTGACAGTGCTGAAAGTTGAAAATTGGCCTGGGCAGGATGGGGGCGAAAGTAACCAGTAGGCAAATGGTTAAAAAAAACTGGCTCCTAACTTTTATAGCTGGCTCCTAGATTCAAAGCAAATTTGTCAAGCCCTGATGTAGTCATTCTTATAGTATGGAGTTCCCAATTCTTTCTGTGAATGTACAGTCTAACTAAACAGCCCAGAGTCTGTAGAAAGTATATTGAACCTGGAACTCCTTATCGTTTTCCATTGTTTCGTTAGTGAACTATCCCCCCACAGTGGAAGCCCTACACTACTTCTTCATAAACATTATGAGACATTTGGCTGAATTGAAGAGGTGAGGCACTGGGGCTTTAGGGTTTTTAAGATGCACGTGCTGTACCTAGATATCAGATACGAAAAGGATTTTTATACTGGACAACCTTACCAAAGATAGAGAAATATAGTTCACCTCCCCTACAATAGCCATCTGAGACACCGGATTACATAACTGCTAAATTACCTGGTGCTGTTTATGACCTCAAGTATAGTTCGTGTGTTCTGTATTTTGATACATGTACCAACCTCAATATTTTAGCTTTTTGGGTCTCCGTCAAGGTAAGGGAAAGATCTTTTTATATAAACTATTATTCCTGCGCCAACAGATTCCCACAGGTGCTATACTGCTGCTGTGCACTGTGCAAAAACACAAACCACAATAAATAATAAATAAACCAGCGCAAACATAGACCTCTACACACCGTTAATCAATAAATCAAGTGCATCATAATAAAAATTAATAAAATAATAACAACAATTAATATTATTAAAAATCAAAACGGAAAGTCCACAAAACAGAAAAAAATATTTTTTTGTCCGTGAAATATACATATATATATCAAGTGAAAAAAAAATATATATCAAGTGAAAAAAATATATGAAAAAAATCAAGTGAAAAAAAACTCAAGTGAAGAAACATTAATCAAGTGACTTTCTTCTTTCCCAAAGACTCTTCAAATACACCAAAAAGAAACTTTCACCTTCCACCCGTGAGACCAACATCAAATACACTCACCAGATTTAGGTGAATGGGACACTTTTTAGGACTTTAAGGGATCCTAATACCCTCTTTGCTGATCACTCTAGGGGGATCTTCAACGATACAAATAGGCTCCACCGTTCAACCAGGGAGAAAAAAACTTACATAGTGTAATATTGCCACTTAGAATCATCCTTCATAATAAAGACTATTACCACTCACATTTTTTCTCCTCTTTCAAAAAGCAATTTTATTAAAAGCCAACATCTTCCAGATCGATAATGGACACTGTTAATGCCTCCTTAGAACTCTCACATCCCAGCTCAGGATACAGCAGCAGCTATGCAGACTATGACTTTCCACAAATCCCAGAAAATGGCCGCTGGAACGCACCGCTCGGCGTGCGTTCCACTCACGGAAGTGACGTCAGACGTACGGGGTAGACCGGAAATGCGTCAACGCGTTTCGCCCTTCCCTCAGGGCGTTCTCCGAGCGGTGCGTTCCAGCGGCCATTTTCTGGGATTTGTGGAAAGTCATAGTCTGCATAGCTGCTGCTGTATCCTGAGCTGGGATGTGAGAGTTCTAAGGAGGCATTAACAGTGTCCATTATCGATCTGGAAGATGTTGGCTTTTAATAAACATGCTTTTTGAAAGAGGAGAAAAATGTGAGTGGTAATAGTCTTTATTATGAAGGATGATTCTAAGTGGCAATATTACACTATGTAAGTTTTTTTCTCCCTGGTTGAACGGTGGAGCCTATTTGTATCGTTGAAGATCCCCCTAGAGTGATCAGCAAAGAGGGTATTAGGATCCCTTAAAGTCCTAAAAAGTGTCCCATTCACCTAAATCTGGTGAGTGTATTTGATGTTGGTCTCACGGGTGGAAGGTGAAAGTTTCTTTTTGGTGTATTTGAAGAGTCTTTGGGAAAGAAGAAAGTCACTTGATTAATGTTTCTTCACTTGAGTTTTTTTTCACTTGATTTTTTCATTTGATATATTTTTTCACTTGATAAATATATTTTTTTCACTTGATATATATATGTATATTTCACGGACAAAAAAATAATTTTTTCTGTTTTGTGGACTTTCCGTTTTGATTTTTAATAATACTAATTGTTATTATTTTATTAATTTTTATTATGACGCACTTGATTTATTGATTAACGGTGTGTAGAGGTCTATGTTTGTTTGCGCTGGTTTATTTATTATTTATTAAGGGAAAGATCTGTCTTTCTTTTTTTTTTTTAGTGACTCTACCCGAAAAGCAGGAAAGTGATGGTTTAAAATCCAGGTCCTTTTGTTGGACACTTTTTTTTTTTTAATAAATCTGATCACTAAATCTACTATTCTACAGGAACCACCCAGTCCCAAAACAAAGTGCTGGGTTTGAAGTACCTCTATGCATCAATTGGTAAAGGAGACGCATTTATCTTAGTCATCCTGGAAGTTTTAACTTACTAGTGCAATTTCAGATGCGGCTTGAGTCATACAAAATTGCATGAAAACAGAAATCACACTGTTTTCATCGGTGTCAATTCACAACAATGCAACTCAGCAAGTAGTGGTTTTGAAAAAGCTTCCTGTTCTACTTTGATGTGATTCCATTGGGATTTTGACCCCATAGAATCTGCAGACCTTAT